GGCCTGCTGCGCGGCGAGCCGGGCCGTCTCGTCGGCTTGGCCGCGCCGCAGGAGGAGGGCCTGGCGGGAGGCCAGGCTGTCGAGCGCGGCGCGCTCGCCGCGGTACTTCTTGGCCACGGCGATGCGGCGGGCGCGCTCGCGCAGGCGGCGCTCCTTGCGCTCGAGGCGGCGCGACTCGGCGGCCAGGCGGTCGAGCTCGGCGCGGTACTCGGCGGCGCGGGCCTCCTCGTCGCGCTCGAGCTGCTCGATGAGGGCGAGGGCCTCGCGCAGCCCGCGCTCCTCCTCCGAGGCGAGGCTCTCGCGCTCGACGCGCTGCGCCGCCACGCGCCGCTTGAGCTCGCGCAGGTCCTCCATGCTGCAGGCGCACGAGCGCCAGGCGGCGCCGCAGACGTAGCAGAACTCGCCGCCGCAGCGGCACGTCATGTGCTGGCAGGCCTCGCCGTGCTCGACGAGCACGCCGCACCGGGGGCAGCGCCGCCAGCCCTCCTCGGCCGCCAGGTCGTTGGCCAGCCGCGTGTCCGCGTCGCCCGGGCACGCGGCGGTGCCGCCGCCGCCGCCGCCGCCGTGGGCCTCGCCGCGGCAGAGCAGGCAGATGCGGTGGCCGGCCGGGCACTGCGCCGCCGCCGTGGCGGCTGCGCTGCCGGAACGGGAGTAGCGCGGCACGAACCGGCCGCAGTCGGCGGCGGGGCAGTAGAGGCGGTCGCCGACCGGGGTCGCGAACTCGCCGGCCTTGGCGGCGTAGCGCCTGAGCAGGTCGCCCGGCACGTTCTTGGTGATGGTGCGCGTGGGGACGTTGTTGAGGCAGCACTTGACGGGCCACTGGGCCTCGTTGTCGAGGGCCGCCTCGACGAGGCGCGCGAAGCACTCCTTGCAATAGCTGTGGCAGACGGTCTTGACGGACGCCTTGACGGGGACGTCTTCGAAGCACGAGACGCATTCGCTGTTGTTTTTTTGAGCATTGATACTTGTCAGTTGGGGGGGGGTTGAGATGTGGTTGAAAAGGGGGCGCGGGCGGGCATCGGGTAGAGAGACGTACACTGTTGCGACGACCTTGTCCTTCTTGAGCTTGGCAAAGAATGACGGTTTCGAGGAGCTGGCCTCACCCGGGGTCGTCTGGGGTGTATCCCCCCGGCTCGCCGGGCGTTCGAGGCTCTGACGATCGACCAGACCTAGCACGGCGCCCATGGCACTGCTTTCTCCCTTGTCAGAGCCCTGGACATGGCGGAGTAGCCTCCGTGCAAAGCCTCCGGACCATCGTCGCGGTTCCTGGGCCGGTTGTACGTCGGGAGTAAGTAATGATGGCTCGTTCTGCCACTCCGAAGGGGGCTGCTGGGTTTCGGGCCCGTGGCCAGCCTGTGGACCGACATTCTCGGCCCTTTGCTTTCCCTTTGATTCGAACTCCTCTACCTCGCGGACAGCATCGTGCATCATCCGCACCTGCCTTCTAATGTTTTCGATGGACGAGCCGACGATCTCGGAAACAATCTCCGACTCGACATCCTCGACGACGAACAGGGCGTCTGGAGGGTCGTACTGGGTCCAATCCACTTCGCCGAGGTCGTCAGAGACCGGCCCTACGTCAAGGTCTCGTACAGAGTCTTTGTCCTGGCTGTCATCTCCAGGCACGCTTCGCGTTCTGCTGAGACCGGGAAGGGAGTTTATGCTGCTAGAGTAGCCCTCGTCGAGATGCACCACATCGAGGGACTTGGCCTTGCCGTGCGGAGGCACCCAGCTGTCTATATCGTCCATGTCGGGTCGTCTCTGCTCTGCCAGCGGATGGCTTGACACCAGGGTGCTAGCCATCTCGGCGAGGACGGTCGGACACTCGGCCAGCTTTTGGTGAAGGGCGTTGAGCAGATTGGTGGCGGTCCTGGGTTGAAGGAAGCAGAGCACAGTCAACAGTATGGGCAGGAAGAGGTCTGTCAGCCAGTGAGCCGTCCACTCGGCCGGTAGTACGTGAGATGCATGGGATGGGGATGGGGATGGGGATGGGGATGGGGATGGACAAGAGAACATGGAATGAATGGATGGGAAATCTGAGACTAGGACTTGAGAACAGATGGGAAATCCTTCCTCAATGGCCAAAAGGGCAGGGCGCCACATACGACCACATCATATACTGCCTGACATGATGGGCCAATGTCATGACCCAGCTGCTGGCCAGGCAAGGCTCACTCAAGAGTAGGTATCCATGGATACAAAGCCTGTCCCACCGGCATCGCCCCCCGGCGCAATCAGCCTTGGATCACCACAAAGTGCATATCTTGTGATGCAGGCTGTTCCAGATTTGGTCCTCGGTCGGGACGGACAAAGATACTAGACGGAGGGGTTAGAACAGCGTCTGCGCCTCCGTAGTGGATGTTATCTTCTGGAACCGGCCGACCGAGCTCGACGGGCCCCTTCAGGAGCTGGTCGTGGTTTTCGACCATCTTCTTTTAGGGGCTCCGGTACCATGGACAGACAGGTCAGACTGGCAGAGAAAGCCGGACTTGGGGGCGAAGCGTGCACCGCTCGGAGTTGACGGCACGGGGAGTGTGCTCGATTCACACGCTGTGGTTGGACAGTAGCGTGTGGTTTAGGCACGGCGAGCTGAATGTGCCAAGCCGCAGTTCTGGCACAGCTGCTGGTTTGTGCTAAGGGAGCTCCCCACCTTCTGTTCGGCGCCTCAGCCACCATTAGAGCACTTTCGAGACAGTTCAACACTGCGGATAGGGTTTAGGCTGGGAGTCTACAACCTGGACAAGTAGTAGACTAGGCGCACCTATGCTCAGTGCTGCTGGTATTGGATTGTTGTGTGGCTATGGCAACAACCTGAGATGATCATCAGTGGACTGCGGATCCATGCGAGCGATATCTTTTACAGTAAAACCACCATGAATGACGGCATTCCAGAAAAGCTTGAATGGCAATCTGTCACGCGACCAAAGGGTCCTTACGTGCAGACTCCTGCACCATGGAACCAAAAAGTACTCAGTGCGGGTGGCTATGCTCTGCTGTCCACCTTGGACCCAGGACGGTTATACATGTATACGCGTGATTCATTGCCCGATTGGGGAGATCTATGGTCTTGAACACGCAGATCGCTCATCCATCATAGCCTGGCGGCGTCCCTCCTGGTATACTCGACCTTGTTGACGCACTTGCCGACACCCTCAAGCTCAACCTCGACAACATCGCCATCCTTCATCCAAAGCTGAGGGGACCGGCCCATGCCAACACCTGAGGGACTGAAGATGGTGGAAAGATTAGTGTCAGCATTGATCACAAGAGAATATTAAGCATGAGATGAAATCCCACTTACGTTCCAGTGAGGATGATGTCGCCGGGCATCAGTGTCGTGCCCTGGCTCAAAAAGGCAATCGTCTTCTTGACGTTGAAGATCTGGTCGGCCGTGTTGCTCTCCTGCATATCACATGTCAGCTGGAGGCTCATGCATGGGATCTCATCTACGGCCCAAACCCACTTGCACGGTCTGCCCGTTGAGTCTCGTCGAGATCTTGAGGTTCTGAGGGTCGATGACGTCCCTGGACACGATGCCAGGGCCCCAGGGAGCCCAGCCGTCAAAGCCCTTGCCCAGGCACCACTGGCCACCGCCCCTCTTGATCTGCCACTCGCGCTGCGAGACGTCGTTGGCGACCGAGTAGCCGAGGACATAGCTGAGCGCCTCCGACTCGCGCACGTTGGTGCACTTCTTGCCAATGACAATGACCAATTCGCACTCGTAGTCGAGGCCATCCAGATTCTGGGCCAGGGCGGGGATGGGGATGGGGTCAGTCGGGCCAGCAAGCGCGGTGGGCGGCTTGTACTATACCATAGTGTCAGTGCCTGCGAGTAGGCCACAGACGTCCAGCGTCTCACGAAAGGGGGGCGTTCACTTACAAACAGGACCGGATACTCGGGGATCTTCATGCCAGCCTAGTGAGGAACAGCAGTTAGATCTTTCATCTCATACTAACGAGCGCTCCGCCCACCCACGGAACACAGCATGGCTTTACCTCTTTAGCGTGCAGGGCGTAGTTGAGTCCGAGACACCGGACGCTGCGCACATGCTCCTGCGCCAACGGGCCGAGCAGGAGGCGGATGTCGGCGACCGCATCTGTCACGTCGTGTCTGCCAAAGATGTCGCCCTCGATGACGCGGGCCTGCCTGGCCTGAGAAATGTCGCTCACGCCTTGGGGGAGAATGGCGTCACCGTAATAGGTGCGGCCGTCCTTGGCCAGGAAGCGGACTAGACGCTGCGAGCATGTCAGCCGGTCTCGGCCCAGCGGTCGGGGTTCACGGCCCCTGCTGCCTCACGGACAGCAGGTCATGACCGGCACGGAGATACTCACCTGGAAGTTGGGCATGGTTCTCGACGTAATTGGGAATCGCATGTAGAGCGGAAGAGACGACGAGATTCGTCGTCGGCGCTGTGATGCTGCTGGTAGTAAATATTATATCTCAAAGGCCAGATCCCCGCGATTCGGAACCAAAACTGTTTCCTTCGGTTTCGGCATTGCACCGAGAGGAGGCGGCCACGCGAGCTCAAGCTTCAGCGACGGCCGACCTCGCTCTTGGGACAACACCTCCGACACACAGAATTTCAAGCCTCTCCACACCCTGCGGGGAAGGGTCGTCCGCGCCGGAGACTTGGGGACCAGGAGGGGAAAGCTCGCTATTCGGAGTCGTCAAGCTGTCAACACAGCACCTCCGATTGGCGGACGATAGGCTGAAGAGCAATCCCCCAACGAGTTAGCGGCTTGGGACAATAGCTACCGTACTCCGTAGTGTCTTTGCACCGAGAACTCCACTAATTGGCATTTGCACCAATGCTGAATCATCCGTCCCGAATCGAATTTTGGAATTTGCTGCCCGGCAATATTCCAGGTCCCGAGACTGAAACTACCGAGTTCAGGTGTGCTCGGGAGTGTAGTGTGTGTTAATAGGCCGGATTTGTATCTGACTGCACACGAAGCAGCTTCAACCATTCTTCTTTCAGGTCAATCGGCTGCATTGGATCGCCTGGCGACCCAGTGCGGTGACGCCGTGCTTCATCAGGGCGAATGGCGCGACTGTCTGGCCTCCAGAAGGAGGTGTTGGGCCTGTATCGACAGTGTCTCCGTGAGATCCGCAAGAAGCCAGAAGCCACGCGGGCTCATTTCTTGACCTTTGCCAGGTGGGTGTGGACGAGAGAGCATCGGCAATACGAAACAAAAGACTGACGGGAGGACTAGGTCTGAATTTGAAAAGAGCATCAAGATTGACAAGCGAGACTTTGCCGCCATTGAGTTTCTCCTGCGAAAGGGCCGACGGCAACTCGAGACTTACTCGGCTCCGGGCATTCGAGATATTCGGTGATGCGACTTCTCTGTTCACGCCAACAAGCACCACCGCTACTGCCTGCCCCCTTTTAGTTGTCATCATTGATCCTGGGCGAGCGATCGTCATGCCTTCCCTTTGAAAACCCTCGCTCAACCATTCAAGGTTAGGCAGAGCCTTGCCACCACCTCAACTCACCACTCATCCTTCCTTGCTGTACCTCCCTCCCATCACACGAGAAATGTGACAGCTTGCAAAAGGCCGGTCCGTCTGCAGCTACACCATCATCTTAAACCCCCTTCAGAGGGACCGCTGTTCTTTTCTTTTTTGGAGTCGACCCCTTCTTTTTGGAATATGGACGATGCCTACATTTAACTTATCTTAGAAGGGAAGTTCGCATCGCTTCCCCAGAATCCGTCTTGGATCATCCAAGCGCGGTACCGATCAGAGTTCTCCTCGTCAGCCAGCCCGAGCTGCCCTGCAGGCTCCTGCCCCGTCCCCGACCAAATTACGCAGCCGCCAGCGAACTGTCCTGCGCCGCCGCCGCCGCCCTGGCAAAGTCCGCGTCTCGTTCAGTCACACTTCGGCCAGCGGCGTCTCCTGGCCCAAGAAGAGGGGCTGTCGTGGACGGCGTAATGCGAGGCCGCAGACAAAGGCGAGCAAGGTCGAGTCATGGGTTGGCGACGTCACAAGGCATCTGCTCGTCCCCAAGGACTCGGGTCCGTATCCATGCCTGGACCGGAGCCAGATTGGGCGCCCTCAGTTGCAAGACCCCGTGTTCGGCTTTGACGGACACAACTCATCCAGGCCCACGGATATCTCTGCCCAGTATCGCAGCGTACAGCCCCCTCTACACGGATCGGGTTCGGCGCGGTACTGGGGGGTGCTGCCTCCGCCACCCTTGCCACCCCAGGCGAGTCCTTGCTTGGATGTCGAGACCCGCCCCGCCGGCACGGAAAGGACCTTCCATCCATCCACCTTGGAATTAGACCGGCCAGATCTCCTTGTTGACGCCCAGGATGGCTCGGTGGACCCGTCTGGAGCAGTGTATGTGCCGACGCCCACGCAGCCTATCGCACATTCTCGAGACGTGTCCCGACTTCCCGCGACTCCTCTTCGAGCACCGCCGAGGCCGGGAACCATGAGGACTTCGAGGCGAGACAAGCGGCTTGGTATGGCTGATCCTGCTGTCTGGGAATCGGTAACCAGAACTTTGTCCCAACAACATCGCCTCTCTTCTCTCGTATCCCCCGAAAGCCCTGGGCTTCCTGAGAATCGATCCCCTTCTCTGCCTTCCCGGACCTCATCTCAGAGGATCGCGCTGGACCGCTTCTGCAGGGAGCTCACACGGTATGCTCGTGCCGCCGGAGCGTTTGGAAAGGCACCACAGTGCGCCTCCTCAAGTACTCAGACTCGAAATTCTCTGCATACGATCAAGGAGCTGCTCCCATACCATGAGCAGTTCAAAGCCGCGGGCCTGTCCGTCACGTCCACTGAGCAGATGGGCAAGCGTGTCCAAAAGAGAAAGATCAAGCGTCACGAACGCAAAAAGGCCGCGATTCAGCCTCGTTCCCAAATTGATGGAGGATCCACGTCATCCAACCGAAGCTCGAGGAGTTCTAATGGCCTGCCACCAGCATCTCGAGATGATTTGGCTTTCTTGCTCGTTGACCCGGTGCCGCCGCCGAAACGTCGGGGAACAGATACTACCAAGAAGAAACACATGTCCTGGATCCGAAGGAAGCCCAGGCCAGGCTCAGGGGCCCAGACCACTCGGCTGCCACAGGTCTTGGAAGAAGAGCACCATCAGCTACCTGATGTCTCTCAGGTGGAGACTACTGGTCATGGTACTCCATCGGGGCCGACTCCTCTTGCCTTTTCTCCAATTGTCTATGATACGCCACCTCCGGTCCCAAAGAAATCAATGGGTCGGGCCAAGACAGCATCACACTCGATCAAATCCGAAGGCACACAAAGATCCTCGCACGCAAGCACAGTTCAGCACAATGACAAAGATCTCCCAGCCCCTCCGGGCAGCGTCATATCACCAGGCTATCATGACGAGAACGCCGCCAAACTTCAACGACATGGGACATCGACTGGTCGTAACAAGCCGGGCAGACGCCACGCAAGAGATGCACAGACACAGACATCCCTAGGCCTGGCTTTACTACCTACTAACGAGACTATCGGGCTGCTCTATGCCGAGAGCTCCAATGCGCAGCCACCAGTCGCAGTTAGTCCTCCCATGAAGTCCAGGCAGCAGAACCAGGTGCCGGTAACGGCGCCATTTTCGCCATCAAGAAATGCGTCGGCTCCAGTCCTGGATCTTCCCTTCACCTGGCGCTATGCTGTTAGCGGTACCTCATCGTTTGAGAGAGCCCTGGACGCGGTCGTGCAAAAGCTCGATGATATGGACAATGACAGCCGCAGGGGGCCGCCGACACCGCCGCCAAAGCCTTCGGAACCACGAACCATGCTGCCGCCACAGGAGCAATCACAAAGACGCGGACAAGATGCGGCCGGTCGCGATCGCGGCTACCGCGATCATGACATCAGCGACAGGGACGTGCTCAAGGGGCTCAAGATGGCCGTCTCTGCGGCCTGTGACGAGGACTTGGATGCCTGGATTCGGAGCAGGACCGGCTTGCGGCTGCGGCGGTTCTTGGCGGATCTGACCGTGTTTGACGACCTCGGACAGGAGGCAGAAAGGCAAAGAAGGACACCTGGGTCGCAGTATATCTAATAGGGGCGCGATGAAGCTTCCGCTGCGAAGCTCTGGATAAACGTAATGTATATAGTAGATGGGCTTCTCTCGCCCCACTCTCTCATACTGGGGCAACATTGTTTTGTAGAGTGTTGAATTAATAGACGGCTTCGTCACGATTATCGTTGGTTCCCAGGCGGTTTAGGAACGGATGGCATGCATTCAGCCAGCTCAAAAGAGCCAGTCTAATCCTATCCGTAAAAGATGCCCTTCGACCTTCTCAACCGGGTTGCCAGGGCTTCTCCAAGGTAAAGAGTGCTATATTTGCCAATTTTAGAACATCAACAGTAGATTGGAGATCGTTCTTGGGGCACCCGTTGGCAGGTCTTGTTCCGGATCTTGTTCTGGGGGCGAGCTGCGAGATGCACCGCACACATGTAACAAAGTAGATCGGGGCTGAACTGGAACGCGCCAGAGTTTCGCCCCACCAGAACCAGCGCCATGGGAACAGCAACTTTCACATGCTTTCAATCTCTCCCACGTACGTCTCCCGCGTCTGGCAGGCATGCGTCGTAAACTTACTCAAGTACATACTTCATGTAGCTCCCGCCCACAACCTGAAATTACCACCGGTCGCAACCAAACTTCACATGCATGACCGTTCCGAGAAGCTTCGACTGTCCTCGAGCGTCGCAGCCCCCACAGCTGCTGATCATGACGCCCAAGAGTGCGAGACTGCGCTGAACTTCTGCGGCTCACCTCATCCTCCAGCGCTTCCGGGGCGTGTTTGCCTTTCGACGTCCTCAAAGACGGTCACCTTATCCATCTTGATACAACGAGTTATCTTCTTTGGAAGGGTCTTTTTTTTTCCATATCTTTCAAGTCCCTTGGCGAGTGGCGCTATGTTTGTTTGGCTGCTCGAGCTCTTGTGCTGCCTCGCAGTCGCGTTCATCTACGGAGCCCTCTGCTGGGTCAAGGTATGTCGCATGTGCTGCTTCCCGCGGAGCCCCAGCAAGAGTCTGTACTGAAAAACGAGTAGATACTCAAGGACTGGTTCTATCCGGTGACGGAGGAGAGGTCCTTGCTACGTAAACTGCACGATGCGCAAAGTTTCGAGGAATGGGAACTTGCGGCCGAGGCTCTGGATAGCTGGCTGAACAATTCGGAATGGTAGGATATGGCCCTTGAGGCTCACCTGGCGACCGAGCTGACGGGACTGTGCAGGCGGCTGAATGATCAGTCAAGTGGCTACAACTACAAGATCATCCACGAGCGCATTCATTCCCTGGACGATGCCCTCGTCAAGGAAGACATCAACGCCTTGATCGAGGTGATCCGGTCCGGCCTTGTCCGGAATCTAGGCGGCATTACTAACCCCGAGTTGTACAACCATTCATACCAGGGCACCAAGCACCTGATTGAGAACTACATACAGCGAATGGTGGAGGCCATTGCCGACCTCGGGTCGCTCCCGACGACCCCCAACGACCAGCAGCAGGTGGCCAAGGCCGCGTATGCCGTCTTTGCCAGCGACGCGCTGGCAAAGAGGGTCATGGCTTCGAAAGCGCCCCTGATCACCCAGCAGGAAAAGCTCGACACGACTAAGCAGCTCCGTCAGGCCTTTGGCGTCAGCACGCTCGTGATGCAGGGGGGTTCTATCTTTGGCCTCTGCCACCTCGGCGTTGCCAAGGCGCTGTTCCAGTGCGGCCTCCTGCCCCGGATCATCACCGGCACCGGTACCGGAGCGCTGATCGCGGCACTCGTCGGGATCCATGCCGACGAGGATCTGCCGGCCGTGTTCGACGGGGACAGGGAGAAGATCAACCTCACCGCCTTCTCCGGGCCGGCCCTCCATCTGGGCTACAACTCACCGCTGAAGCAAAACTTCAGCACGAGGTTTGCCACCCTCAAGCGCCGCGTCTCCCGCTTCTGGCGAGACGGGCACTTTTTGGACATTCGCGTCCTGGAGCAATGTGTCCGGGACAACTGTGGTGATTTGACCTTTGAGGAGGCGTTCAACCTGAGCGGCCGGGTGCTCAACATCACCGTAGCCACTGGCGACAAGGCGGGCATCCCGCGTGTCTTCAACTATATCTCTACACCCAACGTGGTACGTCGTTCTTATAACCCTCTCCCGGGTGTCCCGTCGTTTTCTAACCACCGTGGGTCTGCAGTTGGTGTGGACGGCTGCCGTGGCATCCAACGCCATCGATGCTGCTTGGTACGGCGCCAACCAGACGAAGTTGCTCTGCAAGAATCAAAAGGGTGTAGTGGAGCCCTGGGCCCCGGCCGCAGAGGTCAGGTTCCGCCACTGGACGCAAGCTTCCTACCAAGGGCGCAACTCGCCGCTCCAGCGGCTCAGCGAGTACTTCAATGTCAACCATTACATCATCAGCCAGGCGCGCCCGTACATGATCCCGTTCCTACAGTCGGACATGCACGGGCCGTCGTCGACGCGGGACCAGACCATCTGGGGCGGGTGGAAGTACCGGCTGACCAACCTGAAGAACGGGATCACGGGGTTCTCTGTGCGGTTCGTCAAGCTCAGGATGACGCAGCTGGACATGATGGGGCTCATGCCGCCGTCGATCCGCAGGCTGCTGCTGGACGAGACGGTGCCCAAGGAGAGCATGACGCTGGTCCCGCAGCTGGCGACGTCGGACTTTGCCAGGCTCCTGGACGCGCCCGCGCCCGACACGCTGCAGTACTGGATCCGGAAGGGGGAGATGAGCGTGTGGCCGGCCATCGCGGCGCTCAAGGTCCGCTGCTCGATCGAGCTCGAGCTCGAGAGCGCCGTCGACCAGGCGCTGGAGACGGAGAGGCGCCGTAAGGAGGTGATGAAGGATCTCGCGGCCAGGTCGCCGCCCTCGGAGAGCAACGGGGAGCGGCGACCGCAGGGGGCGGGGGTGGCGCCCAGGACGCCGGTCGCCAAGAGGGACAGGGGCGGCGCCGCCCGGGGCAAGAAGGGCAAGACGTACGTCCCCGCAGGCGCTGGTGGTTGAGAGAACGAAAGCCAAGTTTTTTTTTTTTTTTTGGATATCGGTATATACGGAGTACGTTATAGCGCAGGCAGGGATGGGCGGAAGAGATCCGGGCCAACCAACCAAGTATACATGGGAGCACAACAACAACAACAACAACTTTTGTGTGCGCCACTGGTGGTTTGTCGCGGGAATATTCCGGATAGCCCCCCCAAGTTACACGAGGAAGAAAGAAGAATGAACAAATGTGCAGATTATTGGCATATGCGCTTGCTTTTGCGTCCCGGTCACAAGCCCCTGCCCGCGTAAGGGGCACGAACATAATCTGTGCGTGCTGGGGGGGCATGCGGGGAGTCCTACTTTTGCGTCCGATGCAGCTCGTGCTTATGGTCGGCTCCTTTGCATGCCCGGTGTTCCACGGCACCTCCACAGGGGGGTGGTTCCTCCCGATGCAAACGCCATATACATGTGGTGGGTGCTGTGAAGGGGGACTGGAGGTTGTAGACTGGTGTCCCCCCCCCCTGTGTTCAATGTGAGAGTTGGTGCGACCGGGGAATGACCCGGGGACACACATCGCACGAGGCGGCCTATCTCGAGGGTTTGAGGCTCGTGTAGTGCTGCACGAGATCGCGTGTTCATCTCACCGCCACGTTTGAGATATACCCAAAGGCATTCATTAACTGTGCGACCCCCTCCCCCCCGGGCCGGGGCAAGTAGTCCGGCAGGCAGGCGCCCGGCGAAGATCTAGGGGGGTCAGGAACATCGGACCAACCTTACAGGGAGGGAGGGCTTCGCCGTCCGATGTTGGGCGTGAAGTGTGTGTGGCACAGCACAGTGTACATAGTTAGATAGCGAGTTATGACTTCTGTGTGGTCGGTTGACATTCATTCGAGTACTTTCGGGCGACCAAAACTAATGTTTCACGGGAGACCTGGTCGGTCGATGTTGCAGGCCTTGCTGTGCCGTCCGTCCCGCGGACCGTGATCCGGATGCCTTTGATAGGAGAGCCTGCGGCCATATGGGTGCGGGCTGAACGCTCATTTGGTCGGTGACCCTTGGAGACGCAGTTGGCGATATTATTCTAGAGAGGTAGTTACCTAAATATGTATATGCCAGTTAAAGTATAGTAGGTAGGTAGTCTAGTAGGTAGTGGTGGATGGGGCTGACGAAGAGGCCACCTAAGCACCGCTAAGCAGGGGCTAGGGGTCAGCGGATACAGTGGAGTCCAGGGGCCCCTGGCAGCGAATTCTTCCAGAAGCTCTGGGGGGTGCCCAGGTGGGTTCTCCAAAAAAAACCAAAAAAAAAAAAGCCGGGGATGCAGTGGAGTCGATCCGGTCCACTGAGGACAGGACAAGATGACTCAAAAGACCTTCGATCGAGCAGGGAAGGACAAGGACGTGTGAAGTTTGGAGATGCACATGATGCGGCCTGGCAGGGTTGATTACGCCATAGTGGATTTCACGCTCATCAATGGCAGGGCATTGGTACGTAAGTTGAAGAAAAAAAAGCCTCCTCCTTTCTTCTCCATCGTTCTCGACAGCCTGACTCTATTGGCTTGTCCTCGACCCGGTTCAATCCCAATTGAGGGAAATCGAGGTGAAGAAGCAGCCCGATGCGGGGAACACTTTGTCGAAAATGTGAGGCTTGCGAACTGGTTTGGGGCGGCTGGCCGGCAGAACACGGGCTGATCATTGCGCTGTTTTTTTTTTTACCCCAATCTCCAGGTAAGCCAGCACGGTTACTCCGTAAGTCGCTCACCTCTTGGGCCCCCCTCATCATCACAGGTGTGGGATTCGCTACAGCGGCCAGCAAGGGGGGGGTGCGTCATTCGCCCTGCACTTTACGGTGAATCTCTATTAGTTCTCCTCAGGCAGGGAGGGGGGGCTTTGACGCGGATCCTCGTTTGCGTAGAAACTGGGCAACTGGTTCAGACACAGCAACCATCGTCGGTATTTGGAACCCGGCCAAGCTTTTGGGGGAGCAGATCAGTTGCTGAGATCCGATCCGATTCGAGGACTGCCAAAGCAAATTGCCAGTCAAGGGGCACCACGTTTGGAGTCACTTGCCAAACACTGCAGAAGCATCTCGGTGCATGGCCACAGGTGCCAGATTGCATGCAATATCCGTTGGCGTACATGCCGACCTTGCATACCTAGCTAGGTAAAGTAGATTGACATTGATTGATTCGATTCAACATGTTTGGGGTAGGTAACTACCTAATGGTGTGGTGGAAACAGCCCTGGAGGTGGGTACTGCAGGGCGGGGACCCGCTGGAGCCAGGGCCTCCATCCTCCACTTCGTCGTCCTTCAATGACATGGATCGGTGCGATCCGCTAACGACTACTCCGTAACTACTTGTACCCAGTAAATACGGGATTTACAGGACTGAATCATCGATGCTTACAACCTGGAAGTTGTTGATGTATGAATCTACATGGACCCCCATCCATGGCAAACCTTTCAAACCCCGTGACAGCTCAAAAACGCCGCAACCTAACTACCTAGGTATATTGTTTACTTACGAGTCCTGCAGGACATTCCGCCCGGGTCCATTGAGTACTCCCTCGAGTGGCTCTCGTAGGTCCAGTACACATATCTGTGCTCCGGCATATGTCCCAGGTACGGTGGTTACCAACTCACACGGAGTCCAAGCGGATCCCGTCAGCTGCGAACGGTGGAATGGCGCAGCAGCTTTCCGGCGCCGTTTTGTTTTCTAGGCTTGCCCGTCTATCACTACCTCAAGCCAGCTTTCGGTCCTCCTCGGCCCCTCCCTCACCGGGCTTGTCCACCGCTCATTACAAGCGAGCAATGACAGCCCTGCAATGCCCACAGCGGTCTGGGGTTCCTTGACCTGATAGATCATCTGCATCCGAATCAACCTCTCTCGCTGACCTTCGACCTTCGGGTGCTCTCGGTCAGCCCAGACAACGACAGCCCAGGACGCAATGCTGGCCTCACCGACCCCAGAGTCTCGCTGCTGTGCAGCGGCAATGCCACCCGATTTGCTGATGTACCCAGCAGGGTAGTATCCATGTAACACACATCATAGTATCTGGTTATGTGTCGTACACAGGCCCCGGGTTCCGTCCCCGACCCAGAGTGCCTAACTCCACGAAACCCCCGACTCTTGACTGGTCTCGCGCGACACCTCGGGCAGCATGTACAAGGCAAGCTTGCAAGGTACCCGCCAGACACCACATTTCTGCAGTGCTCCAGTCCTCGACTAGACAAGGTACCAATGGAGGGAGGTAAGGTACTAGGTAGTTCCCAAGGAGAAGTAATGATGTCTGGCTTGCATGGGTGGCAGCTCTGCCACACATGCAGCCCGACAGCGACACCGTAATTCCTGTGTGTTGCCCATCGTGGCTTGAGCTCTGGCAATCTTCACAAGTCTTAAAAGCTCTGTGTTTCCTCCTGTTGCTTCAACCCGAGTCCTTCCTCGTTTCTACCCTCACTCTCATTCCTTCAAGGCCAAGCTTGCACCTTAACAGCCAGATTGACCTATCCCTGCTTCGATCTGCCTGTTGCCTTTTGAACCCTCCCCCCCTGTGTCTTCCCGTTCAACGCATTGTACTTTCTTCTCTTGCCTCGCCAAATAGATTTGTATGTTTCTGCTCTGCTCTACGCCCTCCTTCCGCTTCCCGCCTCGCTCTGCCTGCCGTTCTAACATCTATTACGCTCGTGGAAAGATTACACCTCGACTATACCTCTATCCCCCCCTACTTCTTCAACACCCCACAATGGCCAGCTCAAAGAAAGTCTCCTTTCATGACCTCCCCGAGAAGGACGAGTGGGACTTTGTCGAAGACGTCTTCTCCCGCACCAGACCTCCCCAGCACAAAGCCGCCAACCTCTCCTCTGTCCAAGCAGCAGCCGCTTCCGCCGACGAGGCCTCGGACGCCGCCACCGTCTCTCGCTTCAGCATCCTGTCCCTCCGCGAGGCCGAGCTTCCGCTTGACTCGGACCCTGCGACTGAGGACTCGAACAAGTCACACCCGGACACCGAGCCCAACACGCTGGCCACCGGCAGCGACGGAGAGGCGAGCAGGGCGAGGCTGCAGCAGCTCCGAGACACCCCAAGCTCTCCGCGCCACACGGACCTTACCATGTCGATGCTCGACCTCCACGGCCTCGTCTGCCCCGCCTGCGACAGCAATGGCGATATCGTCCGCTGGCTGGGGACGGCGCCCGGCCTGCTGTACAGGAGCGGTGCCCAATCTGCCACTGCCACTGTCACAGGCACCCGGGCCGGGCCCAGGTCCAGGTCCAACTTTAGCGATGCCAGCTTCGGCAGCAACGCTGTCCCAGTCCAGGCTGCAGACGAGATCCCCATCATGGTGCGGGACGTGGGGGTGCAGTTCGGCAGCACCCCGGTCCAGCGTGAGCTGGTGCTGGACATCCTTTGAGGGTAGGTAAGCAAACCCCCGGCCGGCAACTGCCGCCTATTGTCGGCCTGGCCCGTGGGGGTTTTCCCAGCCGTGTTCCTGGACCTCATTTGTTGCTTTCCGGAACCGGGACGCAATGTCGCCCACGATTGGACACCTCCTCCCTGCTTTTTTTCTTCCTGCATATAATGATTTTGCGAGTCAACGGGCATTGGTAGCTGATGGATGGCTGGATACCGAACGGCGTCCTTTTTGATTTTTGTTATCCTTTCGTAATGCTTGTCTGGCGTGACGGTTGGCTAAAACACGCTCTTGGGGATGTCTCCTTACTACGGGCATTTCATTGTCTCTTCATGGGAAATTCTTTGTAAACGTCATACATATGTCCCCCATCTTTCATTCATCCATGTATTCGTATAATAGGTCTCTGAGTCTGTTAGTTATGCTTGCTCTTGTCATCATCAATATACCCCCATCTGCCTTGATTGAGACATCACTTCACCTCTCCCATAAACTCCCAATTTGAACGCCAGGATCAGTGCCAAATTCTAGGTGTGTCGACCTGATTGGGTAGCGACTTCTTGAGCACTGTGGTGGCTCGTCGTCATCCACGATTCTTTCATCACAGCCCATTCTCTCAAGGGTTATCCACTACTTATATGAGATCGTGTAAGCCAAGTCCTTGTCAGTGGATAATCCTTTTCTTCTACTTCTATTGGTTCCTGTCCTTTCCTCTTTTCTTTGGGCTTCCTTTTTAATATTGTTTTATCTTTATCCTAGCCATCTTTACGTGTGTAACTAGTGTTTTCATAACACATTTGCCTAAAGGCAGTCCAGATGACAAATGTGCCTTGACAAACTTGTCACGAACCTTCCTCGACTAGCCATGGGATCTTCGGCCGTCGAGTCGAAAAGGGAAATTATTGGTGGCCCTTCTCAAAATCCGACCCGTTCACCACTCTCCAACTCCGCACTTTCAGATGGGGATAGCTGGCGATGCTGCCCTTTAGCCTGATTATCCTTGGCACGATGCCACGCCAACCCGGGTTACCGGAACCACCCCTCACCAAGTGAGGAGGTGGCATGCATTCTACGTAGAGACATGGACCAGTTCCTCAAGTTGACAAAATGGGGAGTCAATTGCTCTTATATACAGGATTCCTTGGCGGTTCTTCAAGCTGAAGTCATGGACTATATCGGCCTGCTCGACAGATCATCCTGTCCCAGCTCCCGTTTGCCAAACAGCAACCATGTGGGCACTATTGAGAAAGCTTGCTGTTGCGAGTATTACATTGGTCAATCTACCTTCAGCGGTAGATGGGAGTACGGGCTCGAAATGTGGCACTCATCGATGGGTCGATATCTGGGGCACGATGCCCCAGCTGGTCGAGCCGGCGAACCTGCCGCCAGCTCCTTTTGTAAGTGAGAGTGTCATATATATGTCGTACACACAAGTCGAAACCTGACATCATTCTCCAATAGAACCAAACGGGCGTCGTCTTTCAAAACGCCACGCTCCGCCAGACGGTGCGGGTCGGCCTGGCTGCCAAGACCATACGGCTCCGGATCAGCAACGCCTTCGGCGGCTCCGACCTGCCCATCACCGCCGTCTCGGTAGCCATACCGGCTCCGGGCTCGGGCTCGGTCAACGGCTCCGCCTCGGGCTCCAGCGCCATCGTCCCCGGCTCGTCCCGCCCCGTCACATTCTCCGGCGGCTCCTCCGCCTCGTTCACCGTCCCCAACGGCGCCCTGGCCATCTCGGACCCGCTCGACCTCCCGCTCGAGGCCCAGTCCGACCTGGCGGTGACGATCTACCTCGCGCGCGGGCAGGCCACCAACGCCGTCACGGGCCACCCCGGCAGCCGCACGACCAGCCACATGGCGCCGGGCAACGGCCTCGACGCGCCGGACCTCGCGGCGCTCCCCGGCGCCGGCCGCGCGGACCACTGGTACTTGCTCGCCTCCGTCGAGGCGTGGCTGCCGCGCGCCGCGGCGGCCCTGGTCGCCGTGGGCGACAGCATCACCGACGGGCGCGGCAGCACGACCAACGGCAACGACCGGTGGACCGACGCGCTGCAGGCGCGCCTGCGGGGCGCGGGCGCCGCCGTCGCCGTGGTCAACGAGGCGGCGGGCGGCAACCGCGTGCTGGCCGACGGCCTGGGGCCCAACGCGCTGGGCCGCATCGGGCGGGACGTCGTGGGGCGCAGCGGCGCCGCGTGGGCGCTCGTGTTCGAGGGCGTCAACGACATGGGCACGGCGGGCTCGACGGCCGCGGCCCAGGAGCGCGTGGCGGACGGGCTGGTCGGCGCGTACGAGCAGGTCGTCACGCGGCTGCACGGGCGCGGGATGGCCGTGTTCGGGGCGACGATCACGCCGTTCACGGGCGAGGGGCAGGCGTACGGGACGCCCGAGCGGGAGGCCGCGCGGCAGCGGGTCAACGCGTGGATCCGCGAGGCCGGGCGGTTCGACGCCGTCGTCGACTTTGACGCGGCGGTGCGGGACCCGGCGGACGGGGCCAGGCTGCGGCCCGAGTACGACACCGGGGACCACTTGCACCTGAACCCGGCCGGGTACCGGGCCATGGCTGCCGCCTTTGACCTCGGGCTGTTGGAGAGGTTTGCTGGGGGTGTGCATAGTATGACATGAGGGCACGTCCAAGGCCATCGGTACCTGTCAAGAGTCTTTTTGACACTACGGCATAGCTTGTGCTCTCTGAGCTCGATAAACCTCTTCTCTGCGTAGGACTTGCTGTGTTCTTCCGAGATACTCGTCTTTGTGGGTGCTGAGTTAGAGACGCTGAATTGACTTGTCCCAGTTGGTTGAACAAATATAAATAATAGTCTGCTGCTCACATTGATATGATTCTAGGCGTTCCGGGGGGAAGAGAAGGACTTGACTTGTGAACTCCATCGTCATAAAGACTGATGTTTGCTGAGATCTCAAATGATCAGTGATATTCACTCTATCACGGGCCGAGGGGTAATGAGAAGGCAACAGCTTGGACGGCGAACACTCATTCAAATTGTGGTCATTTGCTGCATCTACCTGTCATTTCTTGAACTACTCACCAAGGTGCAAAATACAGTACAGAATTATGCAAAAGCGCGCCAGAACGCCTTGTAGAGATGGCCCTTTGATCTCGTTCCCTCCCTTGTAACCTCTCCTTCCAGAACCTTATTCCTCATCCTCATCGTCATCGATGATGTGCCTGCGGTTCCTGCGCGACGAATCATGCGCGCTGGGGCCGACGTCGTCATCCATGTCCGCCTCGGCATCCTCGTCGTCCGCCTCTGCCGTCTTTTGCCGCTTGGTCCGCGGTGCCTCATCCTCGTCATCGTCGTCGAGAAGGTCCTCCTCTTCCTCGTCGTCTACGCCCTCAGACACCTCCTCGTCGCTGGGCGCGATGAAGTCGTCGGCCATATCGTAGTCGTCTTGGCGCCTCGCGCCTTGCGGCAGGTCGTCGTCCGAATCATACTCGGGACGCCGTCGCTTCTGCCGCGGTGCGCCGGGTGCACCGCGCTTCCGGCCCGCGCCCGGCGCACGGCGGCCTTCCAGGTCACCGATAGACAGCGCACCTCGGTTGTAGCCCCTGGCCCCATCCATGCGCGCCGCAGCGTTCTCCCGACGGCGCCTCGCGCGCTCCCGCTCCTTCTCTGCGAGCTCGGCCTGTTTCTTCTGCAGCTCGGGGTCCTGCGTCGTGCGGATGATCATGTCGCCCTCGGAGCTGCGCGAGGCTTCGGCTAGCCTGTCCGTCAGGCGCTTGAGGGCATCGTCCTGGATCTCCTTGTTGGGGCGGACTGTGTACTGCTCAGTGACGTGGCCGACGATCAGCAGAGAATTGCTAGAAAGCTGTGCTGCCGCGGCGTAGTAGTGAGCGTCTTGGAGCTCCTGGTAGGGCTTGTCGCTGGGCGGCGCGAGGGACTTGGTCTGGATCTCGTACTGCTCGTCGCCGACAGCCAGAGTCACCGATCCGTCGCTCCACTTGTAAACGACTGCGTTGCTTTGCAGTTCGCCCGTCTCGGGGTCCTTGCGGAACCTGACGACAGGCCGGGGGTTCTTCTCCAGCGAGTTTTCCAGGTCGAATTTGGAAGGCTCGTAGGTGTCGGCCTTGTACTCTTGCGGGTTCCATTTGAGAAAGTTGGGCACGCGAAGCGAGGTGAGCTAGCGGTATCAGTCAGTAAAGAGGCAATTCCAAGTTGCGCGTCGGTCTTGCTAATGCGCCTGCATTTCAATCTCGCGGCTGGCGGCATGACACTCACATTTCCATCCTTGGACTTGGGCGTGCGGTGCCGGAACATATGCACTCCCATCACCAGCTTGGTCTTGGTCTCGGGCTGAGACCGACGGCCGTCCTCATCGCCATAACGCTCTTCATCCTCCTGGTCTGAATCGAGGCCGAGGCCGTGGTCGCTAGCAGCACGCTCCTGGTCCGAGGGCTGATCGACGTCGTTGTCGCCGAAGAGATCGTCGCCGCTCTCGTCAAGAGGGTCAATGAGCTCTTCCGAGTCCGACATGGCTGTTGCGTATTTGTAGTTTTTTGTACGCGTCGGAATGCTTTGGACGCAGGATAGCTGGCAAGGAGCGTGGTGTGGTGGAGAGGAAGGGTGCGCAAGGCGAGGCTGTTTGCAGGGAAGCTGGAGGTGTCAAAGACGAAAACAGAAATTCAGTTGGCGTGGCTGGAGCTCTCAATTGGCGCCCTTGCAGCTCAACCACCAGCCCAGAGTAGCGCCTCAGGCCTGATGTGCAGATACTAAATCAACCCATTGTTGCTTGTTATCTATTGTCACCCTACGAATCCAAGGAACTATAGTACTCGAGTGAATCAAAACTATGAATGAGGTCCCTTTTCAAGAATAATACAGCCCGGAACATGAGGCAACCATTTTTTCAAGTAAAGTGAGAGCTCCAATGGAACAATGGATGCTTCACCGCTGAGTGGAATTGAATTACCCAGCCTACCTACAGTAGGTACTTATTACTTGTACAATAGTTACAGCGATAAGATACGCCGTGACCAAGGCTTTCTCGCTTAACTTGCCCCTTTGGCCCTAGCGCCATAGTGTCAGGCGCGGTGTGTGAAACTCCCCCCCCCACGAGGCAAAGAGGGAGAGGAGAGCCAAGGGATTGACGCCTCACACATCTAATAAACCGACCTTCCAGAACCCCCTATTTGAGGCGCCCATCAACACAACATTGCTTTGTGCCTGCGCCCCTTGCCGACCCTCGGATGAGAGTAGGAACTCTGCTACGCCGACATCTGCAACCCTGGATTCCACGCCCTCTCCGCCATTCTTTGTTCTGAAGAAGGAGTGAGCGCGCCGTCGGTGGTACATTGGTACCTTTTTCACGTCTCATTCCCCCCTCTCTCTGCAAGACTGTCAGGTTCGATTGACAATATGTCGAACCTCTTTTCGGGCATGTGAGTTGTCATATTCCTCACGCGACTCATCCCTCCCCTCTATATATATACATACCACCCTTTCATTCATTCAACCAAACAGCAGCAATATTCAAACTTATGCACTCTGAGCGCTGCACTGAATCCCTTTTTGTTACTTTACAACTTGCAGAGTTGCAACAGTCAAGACTCAAGCCGGCCAGGCTGGCGGGTGGCTACAAGCTGGGTTCCCATATTGTGTCGTTGCGGGCATCGCGATGGCTTCCCACAAGACGAGGGGTTGAGCCCAAGCGGGTCCTGGGTCAAGAGCTTTGGCCGCCTGCTCCAGTCCTCAAAACAGCGGGATCCTGCCTTCAAGTGTCCTGTCACCTCTTTGACAGCCACAACATCACCAAAGGCCAGAGTCGAAGCACCGGACGTCCTCGAACACAATGGATTTCCTCGATGGTTAGGACCCTTCGAGGCAGGAGGTGCTTCTCCAGCTCCTGGAGATCTTCGTGACGCTTGTCTGGTTCGTGCTGAGCCGCCGTCGGCGTATACAGAGAACGCGGGATACAGCTCGTGTTGCTCACGAGATTTCCTTCTTGGCGGCAATGTTGATCAGATTTCTCACGACCGGACACGCTGTCAGCGACGACTGGTGGTATCCTACCATGTGGTTAATGCGGGACGACCTTGTCCGCTGCTTCATGGACCTCATGCTCAAGTTCGAGTTCATCTATCCCTACGTCATGCTCTGCCGGCTCGTGGAGGTGCTGCATTATGTCAAGTGGCTCGCATGGTCCATCACCCGCCACCATCTCCGCCACCTGCACCTTCTGTGCTCCAGTGGCTCGATTGCCCTGCTCAGCAGCCGCCATGCTAATGCTCTCCAAGCAATGCCCGCTTCCGCGGCACCTCTTCCAAGTCTTCGGGTGGCCAGACCAAGAGTCCCACCTCTTCCACCTCCGGCGCGCCCTCGCCTGTTCCGACCAGCCACTCGCAAGGCAGCCAGTCATCGATCAACCTTTCGGCAAAGCTACCTCCCCTCCCAAACTCCCCCTCGCTTGCTCAGACCATCGGCATGGACGAGTCGAGCGGCGCAATGTCCAGCGGCGCCGACATTCTCGCCTCCTACCACCTGCCCTCTCCCCTGCCCATGTGGCTCAATCCCAATTACGCCAAGCACATTGTGAAGGGTAACTTCATGACCTTGAGCGCGCGCCCCAAGACGGTTGAGCAGGGCGAATGGATAGCGCACCACGGTATGTACTCCATCCCACAAGATTCGACGGGACGTCGCGAGCTGACGGGACGCTTCCAGTTGTTGAACATTATCGAAATCTCTGGAATTTTGTCCGCGTGCTTCACGAGAAGGAGGATGACGGAACCTCCATCTGCAATGCCAGCACTTGCCCACGAATGTCTGCTGGAGCGTAGGTTGCCCCTTTCCGCCTGTGGAGTTGCCGTGCCGGTTTTCGCACTCGGCTAACATGCTCATGTCGACAGTAATCATTCTTTCACGTGGCTGAATTCTCGCCGCGAGCCCGTTGAGCTTCCTGCTATGGAGTACATGACCCTGATGCAACGGTGGATCTCTGGCAAGATCGATGACACAAAGATCTTCCCCACAGAGGCGTCTGGTGTCTCCTTTGCACACAACCCCAGCATCACCACGACTCCCCTATCGCAGCTGACGAGCCAGACCGAGCGAGAGTGGGTTGGCAAGCGCAGCGGTTTCCCCGAGAACTTTGTCGACGTCTGCCAGACCATCTTCCGCCAGATGTTTCGTGTCTATGCCCATCTGTACTGGGCCCACTTTGTCGAGCCTTTCTACCACCTCAACCTCGAGAAGCAGCTCAACAGTTGCTTCAGTCATTTCGTTCTCACGGCGACGGCTCTCGACATGCTGAAGCCGCACGAGCTGGAGCCTCTGCAACCCCTGATCGACCTGTGGGCCGCCAATGGCACCTTTCCTCAAGGCTCCAAGGCCTATGAGTATGCCAACCTGCGAGCTGGCGAGTTGCTTCTCCAGCTAGGTGGAGCTTCTTAGAGAATGCAGATGACGCTCATGCTTTTACGAGAGTCAACGGTTGGACAGAACGGAAGATCGGACAATCATGTGCGTAGGATATGGAAATGCGGACCGTCCCATTTGTCGACGGAGGATATCTGAAGAAGGGACTGTGTCGACCATGGAAATGTCCAAGCAAGAGCAAGGCGGGGGGGGGGTTGCATAGAAGCCGGGCCTTGATTTACTGCGTTTGCAATTATGTTCACCGGCATAGCGGAGCAGGCAGGCTCCGCAAGAGCATGAGAGGCGGCGTTTTGTGTTCATCTTGTCAAGGTCTAGAGACATTGCATTAAAATCAAAGGTACATGGAAAGGCGTGATTTGAATTATTGAGTCGTGTGAGCCGATGTGCACTTCGTTCTTGGTGGACGAGGTTGAAACGTGCAAGTCCATACATGCAAACACGGCCCACCGTCATCGACCGGCCTGCTACGCAAAGGTGAGGGAACATCTAAACCGTGACCTCGCTGATCTTGTACTCGACAATGACGGGCTTGCCCTGCTCGAGGATGAACCTGCCGGCGCCCACGAAGACCTTATCCTCGAGGGCCTTGAGCTTCTCGTCTCCCGACTGCAGCTGCCAGGAGGTGACTATGGTGGTTGCCCAGCCGTGTCAACATCCTCTCTGGTGGATTACTTGAGCGAGGAGAGTGGGAATGCGAACGACTTACAAGCATCTCCGAAGTCGGTCGTCTTGGCATCGGCCGCACCGCCGAGGACCTTGCCGGCGGGGCTGGTGAGGTCGATGACGCCCTGGTAGTTGACGCGGACGAAGGCGCCGGTGGCCTTGTCCCTGACGAGGCTGTTGACGTCGAGGCGGGCCCGCGTGCCGTTGGGGTCGACGGTGATGTAGTCGGCGCCGTGCTCGATCTGGCCGTCGAGCTGGAGCGCGTAGGACGGCTCGGACTTGAAGGTGCCGAGCCCGGGGATGAAGGGGACGTGGACGAGCCCCGCGGCCTTGGTGGAGCCGACGGGCGAGGGGGCGTCGATGACGACCTGTTCGCGTTGTGTGCGGAAAGAGCTGCGCGTAAGTCAAGGCCCGGGCCCGGTCATAGCGAAAGCAGTTTTGAGAAGCGTGGTTGTTGGGATGGTGAATGGGGGAAGGTTCATTAACAAGTAGGTATCATACATGAGCCGTGAAAGCGGGGGTTAGCTTGGGGAAGCCCATCGTGAAGGAGACGGAGCGAGGGTTCTTCTTTCTTTTCGCTTGACAGTCTAACAGACGGTGTTGGTGCTTCTGAAAAAAGGTAATTGGAAAGTGCCAGGGCTGTATGCTTGGACGCTTTCAAGTGAGATAGATGAGATGGTGTTTGTTGTTCAACTGCCCCTCTTCCTGGCTGGAAACCGGCAGAAGTGGCGCCCTTATAGGCCGGGCGAAAGGCCGGTCGAATTCGGACATGTGAGTTAAGCAGGTATGGACCGGGCCAGATCCACCAGGGCACCGTCACGGAGGACCTCGAGTTGCTAGATGATGCATCGCAAACATGTCTTGTACATTGAGCATTGCATCATTGCGAAAGATGGGGACCAGCACAATAGACATTACCCCCAGATTCCACGGTGCTTACTGAGATATAAGCGTTGGCAGCATTGCACAAACCAAGCTCACATTAGCGGAACGTCTCTCTCTCTCTCTCGTTCTTTTTTGCCTTATTTGAATATGAGTGATATCATCCAAAGACGAGCTCAATTGGAATCATTTCACCGAGTGAGCTGACAAGTGACGCCCCATGCATCGAGACCCCGACTGTTTCCCACGCAAGTGGTAAAGTCGTTTGGGCTGGACGAGCATAGTTCCCGCTTTAGCTGGCGACATCACGATAAGCATAAATTCTGAAATAATTAGAGTCATTCTGAGCATCGTACTTGTAGAGCTCGCGGATACCTAGCTGGAGCTGAATAGCCCGTGCTATCCATGTCTTAGCGTAGCCGTGGGTCCTAAGCCCAACAAAGTTAAAACATTTGCCGCTATCTCTCTCAGGAACTGCTCATATACCTACCTATGTAGGCGCTGACATCACCAAATTGCTCCCCCAGACCATCTCCAACCTCTCGCCACACACAGGCACCAGCGGACGAGACAGAGAGCCGTGACTCGGAAGACCTCAACTCTTCTCCTACGAACCTTCATCATTGACCTGTAGCGAAAGCATCACTCGTTCATGCTGGATCTATTTCCCCGCAGCTCTCGGACACAAACGGGTCGACTCCAAGGTTCGATTGACCAATTGCATCCCCGCATCACTCCCTCCGACAGCACCGAGGCCGCGCCAACATCGCTCTCGCGACTTCACTTCGGCTCCAGGGCTGCCGAATTGGCAGCCAAATACTGTGGATGATACCCTGAATCTCGCATCTCGCATCTAGTCAGAGGCTATCTGGCCGTGGCAGGAATCTGTGTTGTTGCGTCTCTCCCCGATCTTTGAAGGCGCAAGCCTTGCCTGGCTCCGCTGTCCAACACCCAAAACGGCCTCAGCTTGCAGCGGATCACCCGGCCAGGTGGGTGATTGTCGACCAGAAAACACGCACGACAAATAAAGAGCACTCGCTCTTCCAATAGCGATATGGACAGCAGGGTCTTGGAAGGCGAGACGACCGCCCAGAGCTCCAACGCGCCGTCTCAGGCGGGACAGTCGAGCCGGGCCCCTCGTAAGAGGAAGAACCATCGAGGAGGGAAGAAGAAGCGGTCCAGGAGAAAGTCGTTCGCCATCTCCCAGGACGACGTACCGCACGATGAGGACACGATCCAGGATCCGGCTCTCGATGCCGCTCGCCAAGAGTTTTATCGGATGCATGGACGAAGTTTCAGCAATACCAGTATCGACAGCGAGGTATTACTAGACCATAGGTACGGCATCACCCCATGCATGAACTTGGCCCCTGAAGCAGAGCTGACCGGTCCGTGGACTGCAGAGAACAGCAACCATTCATACGACCCCGTCGACCGTCCGTTGCCCCGAACATGTCATCCTCCTTCCAATTCACCAGCAGCAGGCTGCAGACTGTGCAAGGCGGTGACAGCGCTGGGGACGACGACGAAGACGATCATTTCGATGAGGATGCTCCCTTGCTCTCGAGCTCCGGACGGCTGAAGGGAGATAGCGCATTTGCCACCGGTGGCTATGGATCCAGTGAGCACCGGAGGAGCAGGCCACAGAGCCAGCGAGACTCGAGCCGGTCCAGCAGCCGGAGGAAGCATCTCAGACCCTTCTTCCCCCAAAGCGAGAGCTACAATGTGAACTACCCCCCTTCTGTGCCCGGCAGCCCGCCAATGCGGCCCACCGAGAGAAGCGGGCTGAACTTTGGCGATGCTCTGCTCAGGGACGAGATCGCTCCCGAGGGCTCGCCCCGCAGGCTCGACTCTCGCGGCGATCTGGGAGAGTCGGACCACTCTCCGCACATCTCGCCCATTCAGAGGCGGCATACCATTGCCCTGCAGGCGGAGGAAGATGTGTGCTTCCCCCAGGAAGGCCTATCGGAGTTGGGCGACGACGAGGCCAATGTCCGCGACGGTGCTGTCTATCGCGGCGGCCGCGGAAGACGGCGTCGCGGTAGGTGGCCCGATCTCGGAATTCTGGACGAGTGGAGCAGGCTTGAAAAGGAAGGCAGGAGCGACGAGCGGCGCGCCAAGAAGATTACGGAACCGCAGCTGATCAACGGCCGACTCAGGCCGGTGCACAAGGGGTGGTACCGTGCCGAAGAGGACGCCCCCTACCGCTTCACCTACTTCAACGAGGAGTTTCAGAGCACGATCCATAGCCAGACCATATCCGAGCTGGTGCAGCCGGGAGGCAGCTTTAAGGAACTGTTTCTCCCCGACCCGCCAATCTTGTCGGATTCGTCTGATGACGAGGAGGAGGAGCTCGGCCCCGATGCCGCTTTACATTATCGCAGCATAGACAGCCTGAGGAATGGCGAGACCAAGGTGCCGACCCGTCAGTCCTCTCTGCTCGGTCAGTTACACCACAACTCCGAAACTCTGAAGGAGGGCCACATGTCACCGACCAAAGAAGGGGAGACTTCCAAGACGTCGCAAAAGACATCTGGCACCGCTACGCCAGGCTCGGTCAAATCTCCCGCGACGGAGAAGGCCACCCTCCACGAGCAACCCGAGAAACCCGAGAAGCCGACCCGATATGGTGAGCGACCGGTCTGGTGGCTAGATGTCCTGAGTCCCACAGAGGCGGAGATGAAGGTCCTCTCCAAGGCGTTTGGCATCCACCCTCTCACCGCCGAGGATATCATGATGCAGGAAGCGCGAGAGAAGGTCGAGCTTTTCAGGCACTACTACCTGGTCAACTACCGGTCTTTTGACCAGGACCAGAGCAGCGAGAACTTTCTGGAGCCGGTCAATGTCTACGTCGTGGTCTTCCGCGAAGGCGTCATCAGCTTTCACTTCTCCATGACGCCGCACCCGGCCAATGTGCGGCGCCGCGTGCGCCAGCTGCGCGACTACATGATCCTGTCGGCGGACTGGATCTCGTACGCCATCATCGACGACATCACCGACGTGTTTGTGCCGCTGATACAGAACATCGAAGAGGAGGTCGACGACATCGACGACGCCATCCTCCGCCTGCACTCGTCCTCGGACCCGGCGTCGTCGGACCACAACAAGAAGGACAGCGAGAAGCGCTCCGACGGCGCGGGCGAGTCGTCGTCGGCCCCCGAGTCGGGCGCCGACATGCTCCGGCGCGTGGGCGACTGCCGCAAGAAGGTCATGATGCTGTACCGGCTGCTCGGCAACAAGGCCGACGTGATCAAGGGCTTCGCCAAGCGCTGCAACGAGCACTGGGAGGTGGCGCCCCGGTCCGAGATCGGCCTCTACCTCGGCGACATCCAGGACCACATCGTCACCATGACGGCCAACCTGTCGCACTACGAGAAGATCCTGGCCCGCTCCCACGGCAACTACCTCGCCCAGATCAACATCCGCATGAACGAGCGCCAGGAGCAGACGGCCGACGTGCTCGGCCGCCTCACCGTCCTGGGCACCATCGTCCTGCCCATGAACATCATCACCGGCCTCTGGGGCATGAACGTCTGGGTCCCCGGCCAGGAGTGGGAGGGCGACCTCAAGTGGTTCTGGGCCATCACGGCCGGCCTGCTGTGCTTTGGGCTCGCGTGCTACGCCATCGCCAAGAGGGTGTACAAGATTGTCTAAGGTAGATTGGTGGAACTTTTCTGGTCTCTTTCTTTTGGAGGACAAATTTTTTGATGCAAGTTTTTGTGTTGTTTCAAAAAGATTTTGGTAACCCTTAAAGAGGGGGGAAAGCGTACATTTGCAGACATGTGGTTTTCTATTCTCAAGGCTTGAAAGGAACTTTCCACGCGTCAAAGCGGTCGGAGGAGCTAGATATACGTCACGGTAGAGTTGGAGAGATACATGCATGGCACCGGGCGTTTAGCATAGGAATCATACACACGAGCAGATCACTGCAGTAGCTATTTGTTCATCATTACTTTGATCTATTCTACAAATCCACTTAGACAGGTCCGATGGGGAGTGTCGAGAGGTGGAAATTGCACAATACGCTCTGGGCTATGTAATGTGTCGTTGAGTGCAGTTTTACGTTTCTGTCGAACGTAATTTCTCGTCTAGATCCAAATCCCATGCAGATGCCGACGCCCAACGCCAAGATCGTCGATTACCATTCTTCCCATCAATAACAGGGCTTTTGCCCGTCCTCGGCATTGTTGTCTCATCAATGCCAATGCCATTGCTTGGGCTTAGCCCCTGTCCCGTAAACGGCTATTCTCACCTCCGCTGAGCATATTGCGGGTACTGCGCGGCGTAGGTCGTCCTCAGGGCCATGACCTGTGCCCGTTCGGCTTCGGGTAACTGGTCAACAACAGCCTGAGGCAGCTCGAGAACCTGCTTGATCAAGGCGTCTGGGTCTTGTGCCGGCTGAGCAGGTGGCGCCGCAGCAACCGGAGCGGGTGCGTATGCACCACCTACTGGCGGAGTGCCGGTCGCAGCAGGGGGATAGCCGTACACTGCGGGCGCGGCTTGAGGCGGGGGAGGAGCGGCGGAGCTGTCGAGAACGGAGTGGATCGCTTCTGGGGAGACGAGCTCCATGAGGAGGAGGGCCTGGAACACGGCGTATGCGAGCTGAGGGGCCTGGTTCAGCAGCTCGGTGGCCCGCGCGGGATCTGTCGTTGAGAGTGCCTTCATCTGCGATAGGATGTCGAGGAGTTGCATTGGTGGGAGAGTGCGCAAGATGCGCGAGATTTCGTCCGTCGCGCTGGCTCCCGGCGGGAGGTCCTTGCCCTGGGGGAGAGGGGGTAACGCTGCCGCTGCTGGCGGCGGCGCATAGCCGTTCTGATCTGACATGTTGGCATGGCCCGAGCCCGTGTAACCCGCCGCGCCGTCGTCGCCACCGCTTCCTCCTTCGTTAGAGAAGTCTACCCGTAGTTTGCGGCCCATGATCTCGTGGTCGTTGAGGTTTCGTACGGCAGACGCTGCCGAGTCTATCGAGGCAAGCAAGCATGTCAGTAAATCTTGGTATGGCTGATCGGAGAAATATGCAGCCGCGGAAACATACCGGCATCTGGATATTCTGCAAACCCGAAACCCTTGGGCCTGCCAGTCTCGCGATCATACACCAGGCGGAAGTTGAGCACCCGTCCGGCACCGCTGAAAATGTCGCTAATCTGTTCTTCGGAGAGTCCTGGACAATAGTCAGTACAGCTCCCTGCGAAAATTGGGGGAGTTTCCAAGCTTACCATAGGGAATATTTCCCACAAAGACTACCTTTGACGGCGGTTTTGTCGACATTGTGAGGTTTGGAGGGAGAGGAGTGATGGATGGAGGGTTCGAGTCGGCGGTGCCCCTTTCGTAAAGGTCGCCTTAGAGAGGGCAGGTAAAGGGGTTGGCCTTGCAGTCTGCGACACTGACTGCTGCGATCCGTCCCTCGATATCGTATCGTGGTTGAGCTTCAGCTGTGGCTGCCCTGGCTCGGAAAGGAATATAATCTTTCGTCTTGTAGTCGTCTCGGTATCGCGAAATTGGACCAAGTATGAATGAAGTCCAGTAATCTTTGAGAGGGATCTAGGTCAATCGTGAGCACCAGAGTTGGGTTGAAGGTGTGAAGAGCGTGGCAGGTCAGCCAGGCAAGAACATGAATGTAGTTATCGCACATGTACCTACAATCAAAGAAAAGGGCAGGGATCTTAAGCTTGCTGCCGGACCAGGCAAGGACGGTGGGTCCCGCCTGCCCCAGCTTTCAAGGCGCTTAGCTAATGGACGAGCGGCTCCACGTGACTGGTGACCCGCCCATAATCTTGACCACCACGGAAGCTTCGCAATGTTCATCGAGGCACTGGTGGATACCAAAGCTTTACCCAGCTCCAATCCCGTCAACCACGAGCTGACACGAGGCCTCGGTTACCATATCCCGTTGCGTGCCTAGATCTCAGTGAAGATGGGTGATCGCAATCCGATGAACGAGTACCTCCGCCGTCTGCAGCAGGTGGCTCAGACCGGTGGCCGCGGAGGCGGCGGCATGCCTCCAGGACCTCGCATTGGCGGTGCGCTCAGTGGCCTGGTGCTGCTCGGAGGCGGTCTCTACTTCTTCCAGAACGCCCTCTTCAACGTCGACGGTGGTCACAGAGCAATTAAGTACCGCAGGTTAAGTGGTGTGAGCAAGGAGATCTATAGTGAAGGTTCGTCTTGAAGGGTGAATCGATGGTTGAGGGTGTCTCCTGATGTGATGCTAACTCTTGACGACGCAGGAACCCACTTCATGGTCCCCTGGTTCGAGACGCCGATTGTCTACGATGTGCGAGCGAAGCCCAGAAATGTGTCCTCCCTGACCGGCACCAAGGACTTGCAGATGGTCAACATCACCTGCCGTGTCCTCTCCCGACCTGAGGTCCAGGCTCTTCCCCAGATCTACCGGACGCTCGGCTCAGATTACGACGAGCGTGTTCTGCCTTCTATCGTCAATGAGGTCCTCAAGAGCGTCGTGGCGCAGTTCAATGCCAGCCAGTTGATCACCCAGCGTGAGATGGTCGCCAGGCTAGTGCGCGAGAATCTGTCCAAACGCGCCGCCCGCTTCAACATCCTGCTGGACGATGTTTCCCTGACGGTATGTTTATTCGCATGCGCCTAAATCCGGTATGCAATGTGACTGACCAAATTGACAGCACCTCGCTTTCTCTCCCGAGTTCACCGCTGCCGTTGAGGCTAAGCAGGTTGCTCAGCAAGAGGCGCAGCGTGCCGCCTTCGTTGTTGACAAGGCCCGGCAGGAGAAGCAGGCCATGGTTGTCAAGGCCCAGGGTGAGGCTCGCTCTGCGGAGCTCATCGGCGATGCGATCAAGAAGAACAAGGCCTACGTCGAGCTGAAGAAGCTGGAAAATGCCCGGGCGATTGCGCAGGTGATGCAGGATGCCGGCGGCAGAAACAGGCTGCTGCTCGATGCCGAGGGACTGGGTCTGAACGTCTTTGAGCCAAAAGACGAGAAGAAATAAGCACGAGCGTGTATTCATGTGATTAGGAATCGGGACATCTCCACTGTACGTCTAGTATATGAAGGGCTACCGAGCTCTTTGTGTAAAATAGTGATAATCAAAAATCAACGACCACACCAGTCGTCTTTCTTGGGCGGCATCTTCATCCTCCAATCTTCTTTCTCGTACGCGGATAACAGGGAGAAATGAATGAGCCATCTTGCTGGTTATGAAACGTTGGCCATGTAGCAAGCACAAGAGCATCGATTTATTTATACATCACTCACGATTTCCACATGATTGAATGGATGTTAGTACTTAATTACTAATGCCGGCATAGCGGCAGGCAGTGAAGTGTAAGGGCCGGGGCGCGCATCACCATCAGATCCGCGCCGCCGTCGTGACGCTGCCCCACCACCCCTCAATAAATCTACCTTGTAGGCAGACAGACCAACGGCTTCTCAACCTCGCTCACGCCAAACGCAGCCCATATCTTCCATACCAGCAGTTCCTTGCCGACTTTCCTTCTCTGCTCGTGCTTCGAAGTTTCACTCGCTTTAGAGTTTCGTCGAAGTGAGAAGAAGCGCAGAATCGTTACGCTCTTTGCAGTCCTGAGCAGTTCCCGACCACCTGCGGCGCACAGCTCCATCCGCCATCATGTTAATCAAGTGCGTGCTTCTCGGCCTTTTGATCGGACCCGGTCACCCCATATTCTTCGTCTACGAGAGGCCTTTTCTAACCACTTGTGTTCTTACTACTGCAGAGTCCGAACCCTGACCGGCAAGGAGATCGAGCTCGACATCGAGCATGACTACAAGGTGCGCCAAGCGCTGCGGTTTCCCCAAACAAGGAGGCCCTGCACTCCTCTTTCCCACCAGGAGAGATCACAATACTCATGCCGAACTGGCGTATACAACAGGTCTCGCAGATCAAGGAGAAGGTCGAGGAGAAGGAGGGCATCCCGCCCGTCCAGCAGCGGCTGATCTACGGAGGAAAGCAGATGTGAGGACATTCTCCTTGTCTTTTTTCGCCCAGGGGGGGAAATCCCATGCTGACAAACTTCGTTCGCAACGTTAGGGTCGACGATAAGACGGCGGCAGAATACCAACTCGAGGGAGGCGCTACTCTGCACTTGGTCCTGGCGCTCCGAGGAGGCGCTTTCTAAAGGGCATCATGGCTGGAGGGACCGGATCATGCGCGAAGAGGAATACACCACGGCAGGGACTTGCGGCGGGAGAAACGGATTACCATATGATTGATTAAGCGACCTAGAGAAGAATCGTTCTACAGCCCTGGGGTTGTCTTGCCAGCTCCAGCAACAGCGTGCTGTGAGGACATCGTGGCACGTCACCAGGGTCAAATCCACCAGAGGTCTGCAACCATAGACAGGGTTACTGGGAAGAGTCACGTTTGGTAGACTCCATTGGCATGTCAGCGGCATAGTGACAGGCTATTAGCAATACATGGACCTCTTTTTTTCCTTTTGGCGACATGACGTGCCTTTAAATGTCACCAGAGTTGGAATATCACAGACTTGCCCAGAGATTTCCTTATATTTCAACACCACATGCATGATGTGGCTCTCTTGTCTAGTATGACTTTCTATTTCACAAACCAGCATTGCCTCCTTCGGTATAGACGCAATCGGAAAAGGGGTATCGTATTCATATCATCAAGTGTAAACGCTCCTCCCATGACCCAACCAACCAACCCACGGCCCAGCATAACCGTTCCTGGGAACTTATCGCACAACCTTCTTCTTCGGCCGCATGAAGATGTCCACAGGCTTCTTCTTCCGCGGAGTGCCTGCCGCAGCCGCCCTCAGACCCGGAGGCGGGGACCTGGTCGGCGAACCTGACGGTGATGCCGCCGCAGGCTTCCGGGCGGTCGATGTGTCAGCACTCTGCTTCGGCGGTGCTGCAGTGGTCGAGGTGGTGCTGCCGCTTCCTGTGGCTGCCGAGCTTCGGCGCAGAGCGGGCTGGGGAGTTGCGCCGTGCTTGTTGGAGAGCAGGCCGGTCGACTTCTTGGCGGCTGGGGATCGGTCCGGAGACAGCCTCGGCCTGGGAGCCCTAGTAAGGCCCTTCTTCGGCTTCGGCGGGGGCTGATCGAGGTCTTCGGGGGTCAGCTCGACCCGGGCGCGCTTCGCTCCGTAGCTGACGATGCGCTCCGCAAGGTCGTCCAGGTCGTCGCGGCTCCTCTTCTTGGAGCGAGCGAGCTCCTCCGGCTCGCCAAACAGGTCCTCTAGGCCGTCATAAGGCTTCTCAGCAGGCTCGGAGGACTTGCGGGCTGTCTTGTTCTTGATTGCCAAGAGCCGGGATTCCTTCTCGTCCCGCTCGGTCCGAGGCTTCTTAGGCTTCGGGGCCTGGATCTTGATGGCTGGGTTCTGGGCGATGCGCTGGTCGTTGATCATGGCCTTGGGCGCCTCCTTGATCTGGCCGGCCTTGACGGGCAGTGAGCCGGTCGCCGTGACGAGCTTGGTCGTCTTCTGGTAGTTGCGAACCTCCTGGCGAACCTGCTGCATGATGCGGCCTCCGCCCGTCTTGGCAGGCGCGCTGCTGCCAGTGGTGCCAAAGCCAAAGCCACGGCGACGACGGCCTGGCAGTCGGGGGAGGTTGGCCTGGCTGACGATGGAAACGGTCTTGTCGTCCTTCTCCTTCTCGTGAGCGGAGAACCTTGCCTTGAGTTCGGCCGTGGCCTCGGCGTCCCGCTTCTTGTGGATCGTGTCGAGGCTCCGATACACTTCGTAATAGTTGAGGCCTGGTGTGGGTTCCTCCTGCTGGTAGAGGAACATGAACTTCTTCTTGAGAAGCTCGTGCCAGATTGCCGCAGTCTCGTCTGCGATCTCGGGCGAACTCATCTCGAGGTGATGCAGTTGCTCAGCGTTGGAGACCTTGGCCAGTATCGGGCGGATCAGCTCGATGGGAAGATTGCCAAAGTCCCAGACGTGCCGCACGTTTCTCATGGCTGCTTTGAGACACATTGCCTGGAGAGACGCGGGGCCGATCCTCTTGGTGGTTGAGGAGTCCATCTTTGTCAGGCTCTTGGCTTGCAGGAGAAAGAGAGAGAAGTTGACTATGGGTTGTGCTTGTGAAGCAGGATGTCTCAATTCTATCCTTGGCAGAGATGGGCAGATGAAAGAGAGAGATAAACCCAGTGAGAAAGAGAAAGATGTGGTTGAAAAAAGAACAGAACAAGTTGCAAGGGCGAGAACAGTCGGTCCCTTTTATGAGTTTGAGGGCACGAATTTCTGAAAAGATTATGAATAGCGGTTGGGGACAATGGACTTTTGCACTCTTTAAACCATTGATGCGGCCTTGTCAATAGGCAACGAGCCCAGCGACAATAGATGGGTGGCAGATCCAACAAATTTGCCCAGAATTATTCAACATAGCGCAACAATAAGAAGAGCAAAGGCCAGAAATAATCGTTATATAATGGATTCACGTGCAGAATAGCGGAAAATAGTCGTGGCTGGCTGTGCAGGTGATGATGGAAAGTCATCAATGAATCGGTATACCAGATCTCTGGATACAGCGCGACAGTAGTTAGATGAGCTCGAGGTCTGGTGCATTGTGCTCTCAGGCGCAAATCAGCTCAAGCACCAGCGCAATCAGCGATAAGATAAAGGCAAAGGTTCCACATTCAGAGACGACATCAATCCTGCCCAGACGACCCAGTGAGTTACGGTCCGCTTTGTTCCTCCTCAAAACAATCAAACTAGCAACCACAATGCAATAATAATTTGACTGCTCAACTCATATTCAACCACCAGCCAGGGCCCTCCTCCATCCCAAGGTTCGCTGACAAGCGCACAACGCGACACGGCCCGCGCCAACATGGCCTCCTATCACCTGCTGCCCGCCCAAGAAGAGGAGGAGATCTTCAAGATCCGCCTCCTCAACGTCGAAGAGAAGCCGTTCAAGCGCATATCTAAGAGACTCGCGTCCCTCCACACCCTGACGTCCGCGAGGGCGCGCCAGTTGGCCACCCCGCCGCCCGACGCCGCCAATCAGGGTGCCGGCGAGGCCGCCGCCGCAGCCGACGAGCTCCCCGACCTGCTCAGGAGCCCCGAGGAGCTGTCCAAGTTCCGCGAGGACGTCATGCTCGACTTCGCCGCCATGGAGAGCGCCATCACGCGCTTCCAGTTCCTCCTGTCCTCCAACGAGCGCGAGCGCGCGCGGTACAACGACGACAAGGTCCGCATCATGGACGAGTGCGACCGCGTCCGCGACAGGACGGGCCAGCTGCGCGCGCAGCTCGACGAGGCGCGCGCCACGCTCGAGCAGCGCAAGAAGTTCGACGAGCTCGCGGGCCAGATCACCAAGGACCCCAAGCTGCGGCCGCGCAACGTGCAGGAGGCGGCGCTGCGGAAGCTGCAGGAGGAGTGCGCGCAGCTCGAGGAGGAGAGCGGGACGTACGTCGAGACGGCGCGGGAGCGCAAGGAGCAGTTCAGCCGGATCATGGACGAGAGCATGCGCCTACGGCGCCTCATCCGCGACGAGAAGGAGGAGGTCGAGCGCAGGGAGGGCATGGACGACGAGGGCGAGGCCGGCGGCGCCGAGGCCGAGAACGAGGGCGCCACGCCGCGGCCTGGCATCTCCAGCGGCAACGCCACGCCCAAGCCCGACAGTGGCGCCCTGCCGAAGCTTGTTCCTGGTCTGGATGCGGCCGATGCCAGTACGCCGCGCCCGAGCTCTACGCTCGGCGGTCAGACCCCGGCACGGGAGACCCCGGGCCCGGATGAGAGCCTCAAGGATCCCCAGCAGGGCGAGTCATTCTCAAGAGAGAGCCGGGCGCCTAGCGCCGCTCCGTCTACGAGGGTAGTCGATGCGGGAGAGACGCCCAAGGAGGCTGAGGGAACAGATGTGGACATGGAGGACTCGTCTCGCGCGATCGGGACACCGCAGCAGGCAGCCGACACACCTCGCATCACTGTAGAGGGCGACGAGGCTGGGGAGAAGATGGACACCACATGAGATCGTGTTGTTTGGCGAGTTCATCTGCCTGTAAAATTTGTACCTCTAGAAGCAGGCGTAGCAACTACAAAGTGCTCCTTAATAGCATATCATACACGCTCCAGACTCATCGCAATTCGGCTGCATGCCCGTGATAGAGCCGACACTCCTTTTCCTGTTGACTTTTTTCTTTTTCCTGGCAGGCCGCACCGCATAGCAGCGCCGTCATCCCCAAAACCCTTTATGACTCCTCCTTATCCTTCTGGACCGCTTGCTGTCCCTTCTTCAGGGCCTCCCTCGCGGCCGTGAGCTCATCGTCGGCGGCCGATCCGCTGCTCTCGCTCATCGCCAACTGCTCCTCCAGCTTGGTCACTGCCGCCTCGGTGCGCTCTTTGAGCGGAGTGAAGATGGCGACGGTCTCATCTGCTGCTTGTTTCTATACCACGCAGTCGCATTAGCGAACGGTTCCTTCCTTCAAATTCCCTGCCCCTCCCTCCTCCGGAGCAATCTGCAAAGCAGAGTGATGAGTATCCACACGGCTTACCTCCTGTCGCAGGATGAACTCGGCGTTGGGGTCGAGGTCCGCGCCGCCCTTCTTGATCTCCTCCTCGAGCTTCTGCACGCGCTCCTGCTGCCTGACCAGCTCGGACTGGTAGTAGCGCTCCTCCTTGGTGAGGCGCTCGACCGCCTTGGTCGCGATGGCGAGTTCGCTCGGCGCGGGCATGGTGTCGTCTTGTTCTCGTCTGAATGGCAAAGATATTTGTGGCGAGGATCTTGCTTTTGTTCGCTGGATTGCTTGGAGGGAGATCCAGAGTGTTGGAGAAAAAGGACTGTCACGGTCGGTCCGGAGAAGATATAGCCGTGAGTTGTTGTTTGATTGTTGCCTTCAGTTGACAGGACCTACCGCAGGGGATAGGTGATATCAGTGGGGTTGGCGGGGTAGCTATTGCAGCTCAAAAGTGCTGCCTGACGAAGGAGCAGGGAGCTTCCATTGTCAAAGTTTGGGAGATTGGTCAATCAGTCCAACCGATCATTTCTCCCTGTCAAGTCAAACAAGTCAAACATAGGATCATTTGTAGCATTGCGAGCTGCAGGCTACAGCCAGTGTACCGTGTTGGAAAAGGGGTCATAAACAGGAGGCGATTTCACATTTGGTGAGACTATTGGGTGATCTCGCTTGAAATCAACGATGGCCCTGCTCGAGCCGGCTTAATGTAATCTTGCGCAATGTGCTAAATACAATGGTAACCGTATCCTACAGCCTGTCATCTCTTTGGAAGAGTGAAAAAGAAGATACACCTTGCCGTCCTTCCATTGTGTCCCCTACTCCATTGTCGCCTCGGCCAACGCGCCCATCTAAAACCACCGGAGTCAGAACCTCAATCGCGCACCTAAGTTTTGAATACCATAGCCTCCCTCATGAACTCTTCGAAACACGAACATAATATGGTATCTTCGACGCCAAACGCCACCTGGTCTGCATGACAAGACCAAGAACCAAACATGAAGAAAGTACACCCAATTAAAACCTGTGCCTGCCAATGCCATTCCCAAAGGGAGAAATGATGCTGATCGTTCCTTTACTCGTAACGAGGTTGGCGTGAGCAAGTCAATCACGCCTCGACGGCCACAGCCGCAGAGCCCGCCGCAATCGCCGGTTCGGGCTCGTCCTGCGTGCTGATCTCTCCGCCGGCCTCGCGTTCCGCCCAGGCGCCCCAGAGACCTCTCTTGCCGCGGACACGGATGGGACCGCCGAGAGAGCCCTCGGGCTGCTCAACCTTGATAGCATCCTTGGTGGCGAGCACGAGGCATTCGAAAAACATCTTGGTGGCATCGGCCTTGGTTGTCCTCTCCTCGGGCAGAAGCTCCTGGAAAACAACAGAGGTCTTCTTGCGCTTGTCGGCGTTTGTGGCAGCCTCGGGGCCAAACAGGTCCCGAAGGATGTGAACGGCGTGCTTCGTGCCGAGCGAGACAGGACCGCTGTCGGCAGGGTGCACATGAGGGGCGACAGTGTCGTCGAAAGCGGGCATCACGGTGCCGTCCTCAAGGGTACGGTCAGCCTCCGCACGAACCGACTCGTCATTGGCGAATGTCTGGTTGCCGAAGTCTGCGCCGTCCATCATGAAGCCGTCATCCTCGCCAATGTTAAGGCGAGGCGACTTGATGGCCTGATCCTGGTCGCTGTCCATATCGGCAATACCGCTATCTCGTTTCCTCTTGAGGTCATTCGGCTTCTGGATGGCCTCGAGTGATATAAGACCCTTCAGTTCCGGAGCCCAGCCGGCGCTGCGGCCGTCAAGCATGATGCTCGATACAAAGCCGCCCGACTTGTGCATCTCCGCCAGGGCCAGCACGTAGGGGTCACGCGGGAGGAAGGATTGAGGCTTGAGGATGTTGTCATGCTTGGCCTGCTGCTCGCGGATGTGCGTGCTCGACAGCATCGTCTCCTCATCGGCCTGCAGAATCTTGCGCTTCTTGGCGCGTTGGGTGGCGCGTCGAACGACGGTGTGCTCGGTCTCGTCTTCGGGCTCGTACAGGTCACCGTACCGTGTCACTTCCTGCTCCAAATTCTGAGCAGCCTGGTCGTCGATATCGGACAAAGGCGACTCAGAGATGCGAGCTCGGGACAGGTCCGGTAGCGCACCCGGAAGGACGGACTGCTCGCCCAGGTCGAATTGGAAGTCGGCATCGCCCATCTGAAGGTCGTCTCCGTCTGCGATGCGAACACCGTCGTCCCCAAAATCAGCGTTGAGGGTGGTGTCGCGATCCTTGCCGCGTGGGTGCATATCCAGTTCGCTGAAGATGTCGTCTTCCACGGCAGGCGCGTCTCGACCCATTTCCACACTGGGTCCCTCGTCAAGATCCATACCAAAATCCAGTTCCAGATCTAGATCGTCCATGTTGGCCAGGGCCATCTCGTCGTCCTTGCCGAATCCTTCTTGCAAGAACTGAGAATTGTTGAAGTCCTCTTGCAGGTTGATGTCACGGTTGCTGACCCGGCCCTTCCGGCCCAGGGGCGTCGCGGTGACATCGTCGATCTGAGATAGAAGGAAATTTGCATCAGGAGGTGGCATCAAATCCAGGTTATCGTAAGCGGTGATGCGGTCTGGGAGCATGAGTGACTCCTTGTTGGGCATGTGCAGATTTGCGGGGATATCGTTGTTCCCGCTTGATCGGAAAGCCTGCGGTTTTGTCAGTCAGATCGTCAACGAGAGGAAGGGCCGGTGACTGCATACCATCTTAATCTTAACCAAAGCCTCGTTGCAATCGTCTAGCAGGTATCGCGCCTTGCGGCTGTAGATCCGGACGACGCCGAGCAGCAGCTGGCCACTGAGTCGAAGCGCCATCGGGGCCTGGTTCGGGGTGATGATGGCCTCGACGCTGTCCTGCAGATTGGACTGCAGGATGTGAGTCTTGGAGAGCTTGCGCTCGAGGTTGGCAGAGAGCCAGACCCGGGCCAGCGGCCCGGTCTTTGAGAGAAGAGTCTCCGAGTAGAACATGGCGCCGGGGGCGGCGACGTCAACAGCGACGACGGCCTTGCTCTGTTCTCTTGGTCGGCGGCAGTGTGCTAGGTAGGTCGGGAAGGACGAGCAAGCTTTGTATCAAGGTGCAATGCAGCTATAGGTAGAGCTGGAGAGGGCGCGACGGGGGTCGAGCAGCGAAGCGGATGGCGGCGGGAGTAAACAAGGGGGGGTGGTGAGGGCGCGTTGTTTGGGCGAGGGTGGCTGGTCGCGTCAATAACAGAATGCAGACTCCACCAGCTAGCGTCGCATAATATGAACGCAAATCGGACGGAAATCAATCGCGTCCTGTCTAAGATGATGCTTAAGCCAACTGCGACAGCAAAGAATGCGTTAGAGAGCGAGACAGGTCGATGCGGGAGAGTTGGGAGGGAGAAGAGAGAAATGAGAAGTCGAGGAGTGCGAGCGAGCGAGCGAGCGAGCGGGAGAGAAGAAGTGGAGGGGGAGGGAGAAAGTTGTGTGGCAGGAACGTGTGTGGTTGTGGAATATGGGGAGACTTTTGGGTGCCAGGGACAAGTACAGAGAGGTAGATATGGGGCTGTGGCATTGTGCAAAAATGCCAGTCAGGCCAGCCAACCCCCAGGACCATCACCGTGCTTTTTGGCCCATTTTTCCAGGTAAATTTGAGTGGCTGGGACGGGTGGGGCTCCTGTGGTTGCAGGTACCTTTCGAGTACCTGGCAGCAGCCAAAGCCTGCCAGACTCGACTCCGAGAAACGCGCCAGCCACTCGATTTCGTCTCTCAGCTTTCCAGCCAAAACTGGGTCCTCGATGCACGTGATGTCCACTCGGGGAGACTTTGGCAGTACCTCGAGAGTTAGTTAGCTAATTCGCTCTTCCAGTCTCAAAATGCGGACAATGTTCCTTGGCTCCCAGGACAACTGAACTTGTAACAAGTGCTTTCACAAATGCTTTCATTTGTTGCGAGACTCGAGCGTCGTGCAGCTGCCAGAAGACAGGGCATCATGCATCATATGAGAGATGCATCTCCAGGCGCTTTGCTTTTCTTTTTTCTCCCCATGAGAAGTCGAACAGTTGTATTCCATTTGAGTGAAGTGCATCGTCGTGTCATTTACTGAGCCCTCACTGATTGCAGTCCGATCAGGCCTCCAGGGTTTGCAGACTCATGCCGCTCTTCCCTACGACGGGTTTATCAGATCTAATGTATATTTCCAAGAATTTCTATGGTCCATCGATTTTTGTTGAAGCTGGGCGGCCAATGAATATTTCTGTGAGCCTATTGCGACGCGATGCCTGTCACGACCGCTTTGGGCGAGTTTGGTGTGCCAAATGGCGATTTGATCCGTCCAATGGGTAACTGTATGGCCGGATGGGGTATCGTCAAACCGTGCTAGACCCCAACTTTTTTTAACGGCACCCTAGTTCAGCCTCACGCACCCCTGCAGGAACGCCTAGACACGCCAAACCTTGCTCTGTACACGTCTTCCCAAACTCTCGACCTCCTGTCCAGTTCTCTCGCAAAGCTTCCTTGCCCTAGCACTTTTCGAATACACCACCTCAAAAGACACATCTCGCTACACCAGCAAACCCCGCGCAGGTTTCCAATTCGACGGAACTAGAACCTTTGCGATTTCCATGCTTCTGTAGATAGATCATCGACTACCGCAGACCTGGCCCCCAGTCTTGCATCCGGACAGCTCCGCACCTCCTGCCCTCGGTCTAAGAGCAGCAACCCAGGCCTGTCACACGATCACGTCCTCGATCGCCCACAACCATACTGCCCCGATGCCTTCTCGAAAGAAAACTTGCATATAGGTAACCGATTGGTTCGCTAGCCTGTGTGCGAGGCCCGGTTGCTGACAATTCAGCAGGTCTAGAGCTCCTATCGAGCTGATGTCCCTCCCTTGATCTTTGTCAACTCGATAAAGATGGAGCGAAATCCCGACAGTGCCTATGGGGCGTCTCTGCTCCCAACGCATAACCCTGGTGCCCCGAGGGTATCGACACCTTTCGGCGAGGACAGCGATGGCCGCCGATCTCCCTCGCCACGCCACATGAGAACATCGTCTGCCCAGTCTAGGAGCATGGCAGACGAATACTCCTTCCTGACCCCGGCCGAAACAGCTGCCAAGCTGCAGACCTCGCTGAAGTACGGGCTCTCGCCGAGTGAAGGACTGAACAGACTGCGCGATGGACCAAACGAGATCCCCCATGAGGAGCCGGAACCCCTGTGGCTGCGCTTCCTCGGCCAGTTCAAGGAGCCACTCATTCTTCTCCTGCTGGCATCGGCTGGCGCGTCTATACTGCTTGGAAACGTGGATGATGCCGTGAGTATAACTGTCGCCGTCACGATCGTCGTCACCGTCGGCTTTGTGCAAGAGTATCGCTCAGAGAAATCGATCGAGGCCCTGAACCATCTCGTTCCCGACCATGCGCATCTGATCCGGAGCCAGCCCTCCTCCAAGGGGCCGCTGGGCACCCGAACTCCCAATCACTGGCCCCACGGCGCTGAAGACAAAGGAGGTCTGGAAGATTCGGTCGGGTCGCTGGACGGCGCCCCGCCTGAAGAAGTGCTCGAGGCGTCGTCTGCCAAGGTCATGGCCGCGACTCTCGTCCCTGGAGATCTGGTGCTGTTCACTACGGGGGACCGTATACCGGCTGACATACGAGTCACCAAGGCCGTGGACTTGACAATTGATGCTTCAAATCTTACTGGAGAAAATGAGCCGGTCCGCATCACCAGCGATGCCCGGTCGCGGAACATGCTTTTCCCAGCCGGCCCTGGCGCATCGACACTTCAGCTTCCAAATCCCTCGTTTGCATCCCAGCCCGGCCAAGAAGGCGCACAAAATGGGAGTGATGCCTCTCAAGACGCTAAAAACATTGTCTACATGGGCACCTTGGTCAAGTCGGGACATGGTCAAGGCATTGTCTATGCTACGGGCGGCAATACCCTCTTCGGCACCATCTCCCTCAGCGTCTCCGGCACCGAGAGCCCCCGCTCTCCCCTGCAACTGACCATGGACGATCTCGGCGCTCAGCTGAGTAAATTCTCCTTCGTTGTCATTGGTCTGATATCCATGGTTGGGTGGTTGCAAGGCAAGGCCTTCCTCGATATCTTCACCATCTCCATCTCGCTCGCCGTCGCCGCAATTCCCGAGGGCCTGCCCATCATCGTTACTGTCACCTTGGCCCTGGGTGTCCATCGCATGGCGAGACGCAATGCTATCGTTCGCAAGATGCCCAAGGTGGAGACACTCGGCTCTGTCAATGTGGTTTGCACAGACAAGACAGGTTTGTCTTTATGGTCTTCTCCTTGCTCCATTCACGTGCTTGCTAACCGGATAATACAGGCACCTTGACGATGAATCATATGACTACAACGAAGATGTGGTACTTTGGCCGTGATCAATCTGCCGACGTTGACTCGGACGACGAGTTCACAGAAGCGTCGCCAGACCCTGCCACTCTGAGAATACTTCGCATTGGCAACATTGCAAACAACGCTCGCCTGGCTCACAAATACACCGAGAACGGGGCAGCTGCAAGGAGCGTCTTGGCATCGACCCAAGGCCGTGACGAGACCAACTTTGGCTACACACGCTGGGTCGGACAGCCGACCGATGTCGCCATGCTAGATCTCCTGGACAGATTCAAGGAGCATGATGTGCGCGACTCGGTTGGGCCTCGTACGAACGAGACTCCTTTCAGCTCTGAACGGAAATATATGGGGGTGACCATTGGCAGCGAAGGTTCCAAAGGCGAGCGGGATTTTGCCTATGTCAAAGGGGCGCTCGATAGAGTCATTGGCCTCTGCGACACATACATCAATGGAGATGGCCGCGAATTTGTTATGGACTCTAACCGCCGCAAAGAGGCCCTGGATGCGGCTGAAAGGATGGCGTCCGTCGGGCTGCGTGTGCTTGCTTTCGCCAGTGGCCCAGTTGCGCGTTCCGCCCGCGCGAAGGGCAGTGCCACGCCGACCACTCGAAGCAGCACGCCCGGTGCCGACGCCCACGACGATCTGTACAAGGGCCTCACTTTTGCCGGGCTGGTCGGCATGAGCGATCCTCCCAGGCCGGGCGTGGGTCGCTCCATCCGGAAGCTCATGCGTGGCGGGGTCAAAGTGATCATGATCACAGGCGATGCAGAGACGACTGCCGTCGCCATCGGCCGACAACTCGGCATGTCCATCGCCACGCCCAGAGAGCACGCCGGCAACCAAGCCAGCGTGAGGCCTGTGCTCCGCGGCGACGAGGTCGACGACATGTCTGAGGAAGACCTCGCCCAGGCCATGCAGACGACCACTATCTTTGCGCGCACCAACCCGGACCACAAGATGAAGATTATCCGCGCCCTCCAGTCTCGAGGCGATATTGTCGCCATGACGGGCGACGGAGTCAACGACGCCCCCGCGCTCAAGAAGGCAGACATTGGCATCGCAATGGGCCGGCACGGCACCGATGTGGCCAAGGAGGCCGCGGACATGATCCTGACCGACGACGACTTCTCTACCATTCTGCATGCTATCGAAGAGGGCAAGGGCATCTTCAACAACATCCAGAACTTCTTGACATTCCAACTGAGCACAAGTGCTGCCGGACTCTCCCTCGTCCTGCTCTGCACGTGTCTTGGATTCAAGTCGCCCCTAAACGCCATGCAGATTCTCTGGATCAGTAAGTCACCATGCACCCCCTTCCAAATATAGCTTTGAAGTACTAAATCTCTGTTCCCAGATATCATCATGGATGGCCCTCCAGCCCAGTCTCTAGGTGTCGAAGCAGTGGACAAGGACGTAATGAACCGGCCGCCTCGAAAGCGTAACGATCCCGTGTTGACTCGAGCTCTCGTTATGCGTGTCATGCAGTCTGCCTTCATTGTCATGTTCGGCACCATGATGGTGTACACGCACGAGATGCTCGAGGACCGCGAGGTCACTCGTCGTGACACGACTATGACGTTTACCTGTTTCGTCCTTTTTGACATGTTCAACGCGCTGGCCTGCCGCTCCGAATCCAAGTCTGTGCTGCGGGGAGAGGTTGGACTCTTTGACAACAAACTCTTCAACTGGGCCGTCTCTCTGAGCCTTATCGGCCAGCTGCTCGTCATCTACTTTCCTTTATTGCAAGAGGTCTTCCAGACCGAGGCCCTTGGGTTCTTTGACTTGGTGAGCCTGGTCGTTCTGTGCAGCACGGTGTTCTGGGCGGACGAGTTCCGGAAGTGGTACAAGTACGGGGGAAGGAGGATGGGAAGCAACTACAGCTCGGCGGTATAGACGGTCTCGGGGCGGGCATGTGCTGTCATGGCTATACAGATGTACACGACGCCCGCATGCAGGATGTCATTTTACTATGTTTCGAGATGCCACGACTAGATGTACATATTTCCATTCAGTGTCTCTGTAGAATTACATGGGACTTTTATCTGGAAAAGTCAAACGCACACATACACCATACGTCCAACAAGTAGGTATGAAGTACCAGTGTAGATGAAGTCTATTGTCAATTTCTTTGCAACTCCAAGCTGACAGTTGGATGTTCCATGACCGCCGCACTAATACGGTGATGATGGAATGGAACCCACTGAAGCTGCCCGAAGACCTCCACCAATCCAAAGCTCAGTGGAGCTAAAGCAAGTCTGGCCCCTAGAAACTCGGGGACCCGCCTTGGAGCTCCAGTCCACTCCACTGGCGGCGGGCTGAGGGGCTACGTAGCAATCATCCCAAGCCTCACTTTTTGGACGACGACGAACCTCACTAGGTACAATTACTCACCAATTCGATCATACCTCCTGGTCACGACCTCCACCGGCAAAGGCACTCGAGGAGCTATGCGCCGCCACCAGGACAGGCCGCCACTCCAATGTCTGCCCTCCCCAATGGCGTCTCCTCCACCGCTGCCGCTTCCCCTTCGAAAATGCCGGGCAACAAATCAGACCCTGCGCTGAAGCCCATCGGTGCTGCCGCGTCTTCTCCCGCCGCCGCGGACCCTGCCAGCGCCCTTCACTCCGCGACCTCGACGTCCGATGTCCGTGCCGCCCTCGCGGCCCTGCACGCCCACGAAGATGAGCTGACAGCCCGCCTCGACGGGCTCCGGGCCTCCCACGCCGACCTCAACCGCGACCTGCTGCGGCTCGACTCGCTGCGCGCCGCGCTCGGGTCGCAGGTCATCGTGACCCGCGGCATCTCCAACACGATGCTCGCCTCGGCCGCCGACACGGCCGGTCGGCTCTCGTCGAGCGTGCGCGCGCTCGACCTCGAGAAGTCGCGCGTCGAGGAGACGCTGCGGGTGGTGGAGCAGGTCGCCGAGCTCAAGGCCTGCGTCGCCGGCGTGGTGGGCAGCATGGGCGCGCCGCAGGACTGGGAGGCCGCGGCGGGCTACATCGCCCGCGCGTCGAGGATACCGGACGAGATCGTCAGGAGCGGCTTCGCCAACGCCGTGGTGCCCACCGTCGAAATCCCCGACGCGCCCTCGGAGACGCTCGAGGAGGCCAGGGAGAGCCTGTGCGGGCTGTTCCTGCGCGAGTTTGAAAAGGCTGCCAAGGAGGGCGACGGGGCCAAGGTCACGCGCTTCTTCAAGCTGTTCCCGCTGATCGGCAGGGGCGACGTCGGCCTCGACGTCTACGGGCGCTACGTCTGCCAGGGCGTCGCGGGAGAGGCGAGGGCGGTGCTCAAGGAGAACTCTACGCTCGCCGGCCAGACACGCAAGGACGGCTTCTTTTACGCCAACGCCCTCACGAGATTGTTCGAGCACATTGCGCGCATCGTCGATGCCCACGGCGGCCTGGTCGAGAGGCACTACGGCTCGGGCAAGATCATCAAGGTCATCGAGCGCCTGCAGATGGAGGCCGACGTCCAGGGCGGCATCATTCTGGACTCGTGGAGCGACGAGCGCGCTGTCGAGAGAAAGATCACTGACGTCCGGAGTTACCCCTTCTCCTTCCTCGTACAGAGCTTCGTATCGCAGCATAGAGGTCCGCTCGGCACGTCGAGAGTGAACTCGCCCGCTCTAGGGGGCGGAGCGGATAAGCCTCGTGATAGCGAGGATGAAGGCGTCAATATGAAGGAAGTGGACGGTCTCCTGAATGAGATCGCCGCCATGCTGGGTAAATGGGCGCTGTACACCCGATTCCTAGCGAGCAAATGCAAGGTCAGGCACTAGCATCACCTCCCTGAGCGCGGATTTGGTGACTGACATGACGCCACAGGACCCTGATGCTTCGGCTGACGCCGCCTATGGCATACCATCCCTGATTACCAAATCGAATCTGCACCGCAAGGTGGCTACAAAGCTCATTGCCCCCTATGAATCGATGATGGCATTCTACTTTAGAAGATCGGTCGAGAAGGCTTTCCAGCTGGACGAGATGCCCAGTGGCCTCTCCCTGACCATGTCCAGACCAATCGACAGCAACCCTCCCTACATCATCTCAGCCGTTGACGACGTCATGTACATTGTCAGTGCCGTCATCAGGAAGTCTCTTTCAACATGCCAGAGAGACGTTGTCGCCTCTATTATCCCGGCCATCGGCAGGATCCTGAGCTCGGACTTTGTCGTCATGATCCAAAAGAAGATGCGTGACGAGTATTATCCCAAGCCAGTAGTCCGGGACGGTCTGCCCCCAGAAGACAAGGTCATTGGCTTCATCGTGCTCAACAACACCCTCGACATGGCCAACGAGTACCTATCCCGCATCATCTCCGGCCGACTGGGTGTCTCGCCTGACCAGCCGACCCTCCCCGACATCAGCACTTCGCCCCTCAAGGAGTTCTTCCCCTTTGAGCAGGACATCGCGCTCGTGACGTCCTGGCTCAACAACCTCAACACCAGCTTCCAGGCCAAGACGACCGAGCTCCTCAACGACGGCCTCACCGCCCTCTTCAACAACGTCATCCGCGCGCGCCTCCGGCCCGTCCTGCAGGAGACGTTTCGCGACGCGGACTACTCCCTCGCCGAGGACGAGCTCGCCGAGCTGGCGGCGCAGAACTTTGACGGCGACGAGGAGCAGCTGCTCGAGCAGGTGCCCCGGCGCTTCGAGCACGGCTGGGACGCCCTCATGCGGCCCATCGCGCGCCTGGCCACGCCCTCCACCTTCGCGACACTGCTCGACCTGACGGCCCGGCACCTGGCCCGCGTGCTCGAGAAGCGCGTGTGGAGCTACGGCGGGCGCACCAGCGCCTACGGCGCGATCCGCATGGAGCGCGACTTCAACGGCGTCGTGGCCACGGTCGCGCGCGAGAGGTACGGCGTGCGCGAGCTCTTTGCGCGCACGTCGCAGGTGCTCATGGTGGCCAACATGGAGGAGGACGAGTGGGAGGAGCTCGCTGGCGAGAGCGCCGACGACGACGACGGGATGGTGTGGCACATCACCGAGGAGGAGAGGAGGAAGGCGAGGACGCTGGTTCGAGACTAGACGGAAAAGCTGTCAGACGACATCTGCATGATGAGAGAGAATGTCTTTACAACAGCTAAGGGGTAAGCACAGCTGTTTGATTACTTATAGATAGATACTTCCGGGAGGGCACAGGTCGAAAAAGTCATGTCGTTTCATCATGAGACATGTTAAATATGACAAGTTATGAATTCTCATTCTCTCAGCGGGCTTGTCATGGGGCCCTTCTGTGCAAGATTGTCGTCCGGAAGGATACCTTTCCTAGGCGGCCTGTTATTCTATCTTGCTTTCCACAATGAAACATGAGCCATGGAAGGCATAGACTGGGCCACAAGACTCCTCCTTTGATCCAGTGATCAGAACCTTGACACGGAATGTACTGCTCAACCGGAAAAGAAAACCGATGTTCAAGCCCATCGTACATGAGCATCAGAGCACGTGTTGTCGAGACGACTTTTGATCCTTGCGCTCGCTCGACAGGTCTTTCCTTGAAGCCAGCACGTCAATGCTAAAAGAGAAAGACCTCCTTCTCCCGTGACTTTGGGAGCTCCTGATATACAGAAACCTTGAAGCAATCGCGTTGCTGTGAAGAGCTTGTGCAGGTTCTGAGGAGCGTGTATAAATTCAGCACACTCCTAGCTCCAACTTACCATGATTTGGAGAGCTGACGTGAAACACTCAACCCAAACCCCGCTCTCAAATACAGCTCATACTCCAACATAGTACTACTACTACTACTACTACTACAACTCATTCTGATCCCATATTTACCGCCACACCGTCAGACGGGGTATGGATCTCGGGCCGGCCGAAGAGGGATAGGATGACATTCTGCTGGAGCTCTCCAGACTTCACGTTCCCCAACCGCCAGACGAGATCATGAACTCGACCGAGGAGGACGCCGACGAGCACTTTCGTCGCTGTTGGGGGCATCAAGAGTGCTCCGGCTGCCTGCACCAGGACCGATGTAGCTGGTGTCCATATGTAAGAAGCAGTCTGACTGGCATTGTCTTGACTATTGAAGTTCTTGCTGACACGGCCAACAGACGTCGGCTTGTGTCCCAAACAAATACGGAGTCCAGCTGCTTGCACCAGCCTTTGAAAACATCTGCCCGTCGAATTCGGAGCGCTGGGAGCTCCGTACTCGGCCCTTTGGCTGTCACAGCTCGTCAATCACCTTCTTTACCGGGCTGGTCTCCTTCCTCTCCACCGTCATCCTCATCTTACTGGTCGCCCTCTGCTCTGCAGGCATCGTCAAGGTATTACAGCTGAACCGAGCTAGACCAGGCTGGTGGAGAATCCATCCGGGTGACTGGCGCTCTTGGAGGCCAGTGAGGTGGCTACGAAGGCCCATCCAGCCAGAGGACCCTGAAGATCCTGAACAGGCCCCGTTGCTGGCGGGATGAAGGCCTCTTTTGTTGTTTGTCTTTGCGTTTGAATCACAGCGGTAGGAATGTACCATTATAGCATGCACAGCAATCAAGCAGCGAGCTCTTAGAGCACAGCAGAAAACGTTTCAGCCAGAGCTCACGGGCGGGATGATTGCGACCTCGTCGCCCTCTTTGATCACGACGTCTTCATCGCCCGTGGCCGGAGCACTCTCACTGGGAACATCGACGTAGTCCAGGTTGACAGTGACCAGGCAAGAGCCGAGTACTTTGTGCTTCATGCCTGGATAGCGCCCCTCAAGGGTGCTGAAGAGCTGCTTGAGCGGCAACGGGGCCTGGAGCGCCTCGTGCTCCTTCTTGGTGTAGGAGCCCGCGCTTGCAAAGTAGAGAATGGTAAAGTGGCCCTCGGGGGCCTTGGGTGCAGTAGTCATGGCGTGGTACCTAGCATAGCTTCGACTGTTAGCAACCTTGGTCTTGATCGAGCAGTCATGAAGCAGCGAAAGAGTGTGTTGAGTTGATTGTCAGAGATCTTGGTGATAATGAGAACATCAAAGAGTTTCAGGTAATACATGCTATTAGATGCATCATACAATCGTGTTGAAATACAAAGGAGGTGCGTGTGGTTGAATTGGAGCTTACCTTTTGGACCAGCTGGCGAGGAGTTGCTGTACAACATGAAGCCACTTCAATGGTGATTGAGTAGAGAAATTTTGATTGAAGAATGAATGGTCAGTGGAAGAATTTATTGACGTTTTTTTTTTAGCTTCCCAAATCTGCCCGGCGCTCGGCGCATGATTTGACCGACTTTTGTCCATTACATGTACGGTCAGTCGTGCTCCAGCGGAGCACTCGAGAGCTACAGCAACTAAAGCCGCTAATTTTGAAGACCCGTGGACGCGTTGCGCCGCTAATGGAGCAGCTCCAGGTCGCGTACCACCTGTGGATCTCAATGCCCGAAGCACGAGCCCTTTGAAGGTCCAGGGGCTGTATCGAGCTTCGCTCTTCTGCTGGCAACTCAAGGCAAACCCCAGGAACGGATCTTGAACGACTGGCGCGCTGTTCATTTGAGATATCTACTTTCAAGCCTCGCAATTAGCCTTGGTGAGCTTCCTGCATACTCGAACCATGGCTCTCAACAGAAAGTATTCCGCACTGCCTGACTTGGTCCGTTTACCATGACCTTGGCGACCCGAGTAGCAGCTTACACCTGACTAGGACACGGCACCTGACATCTACGAGACCCCCGAATTGACAGACGACATATCAACTGTGCCTGTAAGTTCCTGCTGGTGATATGCGCCTGTGAGCCATTGTCGTGGCTAATGGTGCTCTCCAGACGACCACAGGTCAGTCGGTATCGGACAACGACTTCGACGACGATGAGGATGACGCCGCAGGTATTTCGCGGACGCGCCTGCGTATAGATCAAGCCAGATCTCGGTTTCTACCGGCCGATGTCGACGCCTCCGACGTCGACTTCTCAGACCGGGTCAACGGCAAACGCAAGTCGTATAAGACGTCCAGCAGGCGGCAGCGGGTGCTGGAGGACGGCACGCAGATCGAGCTGGGAGACTTGAGCGACGAGGACGATGCCGAGAGCCTGGCGCGCAAGGTCGCAAGGCTCAGACGGGAAATAGAGGAAGCTCGGGAGGAGTACGGCAAGCAGAGGGCGGCAGCCGAGAAGAAGCAACCCGACGAAGCGGCTGCGCAGGACCTGGAGTTGGACTCGCTCAGCGTGGCGTTGAGCGAGATCTCGAAGCTTCCAGATGGAAGCGCTGCACATCACACTATAAGAAGCATCTCGGCTCTGCCCGGAGAAAAAGCCAGCACGCAACAGGTGCCCGTCGCCGGTGACTCGGCCACCTACACTGTCACCTATGCCGCCTCGTATGAGCAGAGCCACGCACTTGCAAAAGCGGCCGACTTTGACCGCCGCCTCGTGTTACTAGAGAAGTCAATCGGCATCGGGTCTTCTACCATGCTTGAGGCGGACTCGAACGGGTTGCCACGTGCAATCATGCCCACCTTGGAAACGCTGCAGAAACAAGTGTGGACCTTGAGCGACACTTCCACCGCGTCTTTGGACACTATCAGCCGTCGTGTGCGGGCCCTGATCCAAGAGGCAGAGCAGCTGGACAAGGCGAGGAAGTCGGCCAAAGCTGCCCAGGACGCTCTGGCATCGGCCGGCGGGGCAGCCCCCGTAGAGGGCGAGGACTCGGAACAGACGGCCAAGATCAACGCGCTCTACGGCACACTGCCTACGATAGAGAACCTGACGCCACTTCTGCCGCCTCTGCTGGATAGGCTGCGGTCTCTGCGTGCTATCCATGCCGACGCTGCCACCGCGAGCGACTTCTTGGACCGCATTGAGAAGCAGCAGAGCGAGATGGCTACGGATATCAAACAGTGGAGGGAAGGCCTCGGCAAGATCGAAGAGGCGATCAAGTCGGGAGAACAAACCATGGGCGGCAACATGAAGGTCATGGAAGGGTGGGTCAAGGATTTGGAGCAGAAGATCGCAAAGCTCTCTTGAACGCCGCCTGTCGCTGCCTGGTGCATGTGCAGATCTGAAGGTGCGCCTTGAGATTGATAGATTACGCAATAGATACCCCTGGCTTCTCCGTACTTAGTGTGAGCTGTATGCTTGATTTGAGAGGCCGAGATGCTGTGTAAGAAGCCAATAAGGCAGATAAAGAACGCTGGAAGGAAGCTCATGGAGAGAGGTGTCATTACTTCGTACTGGTCACTCCGCTGCCTTGCCTGAGAGTCCTGATGATGTCAAGTGCTTTTCTTTGCTAGCCTATCGATGAATCTGAATGCCAGCTATTTCCACTTCCACTCAAGGCTCAACTCATCGTCAGTTCAATTGAGCTTGATAAAGCTCGATCAGGGCGAATCGCATATGATCTCGCTTGGTCAGTGCATAAACCACTTTGATGCAGGCACTATTTTAGGGGCCGAAGTGGACGACCCACCTCGCTGCTACTTCAAAAGCTAACACCCGGAACGCGCTAAGCGATGTCACTGCTGGCACGCGTCGCACCTTAAAATCGACACTTCAAGCGACCACTGCACACAAACGCCCTTCATTGTGCTCCCCATTCACTCATGATCTCAGTCCCAGTCAATGCAGGACGCTGGTTGACCTATGAGTCCAAGGCTGCCATCGCAGTGACCTCACATAACGCAGTGAGCACGGTGCTCGGTGCAGCCATCGACCCGGAATGAGAAGCGCCCCAAGTCCGATCCCAGCCTGGACTTCGCCATGTCTACCTCCGGCCGTAGGGTTGGTCTGAGCAAGAATGCGAACGGCCCCTCACTGCTGTCGACATATCGCAACCGTAAATCTGAAGTCCGTCCGATAGATGCGCCTCCTGAAAGCAGTAGCTCAGATGAGGCTCAGGAGAAGAATGCGTCCGACTCTTCAGATGCTGGACTTGCTGGTCGTGGAAACATCACTTCAACAAACTTCATGAGCAAGTCTAGAGGCCGCCCTGCAACGGCACCATCCAGGGTCGGCGGCGGGAAGGAACGAAGCAGCGGTGTACAGAGATCAGCTGCATCCTTCAAAGATGGGAACAGGAAACGAGGTAGCCCATCGTATGAGGACCAGGATGAGCTGAGCGAGCCTTCCCGACCTTCAAAGAAAACGAAGCCTGCTACCACACCACAATCCAGTCTTGGAAGCCATCTGGAGGATGAACCTTTCAAGAGCCAAAGCAAAGGAGCTCGATCGCGGTATGGTGAAAAGAAGTACTCGAGCTGTATGTCGCCATTCCCATGGATACCTCTGCCGAACGAACCGACTAACTAGTATGCTCGACTTATAGCCCAGTCAAGCCAGGGTCGACGGGAAGGGCCTAAGGAGCCCAAGTCGAAGTTCAAGGTGCCTCGGGCAGCCACACCAGATGATCTGTCGCCCAGAAAGACGTTCATCAAGCATGATGGGGCACGCCGTCGACCCATGGTGTCACCCTCACCTGTGAAGGCCTTCAAAATGCCCACTGCTGCCATCGTCTTGTCTAGCGAGGATAGCTCTAAGGAGGCTTTGCCTAGAAAGAAGATGCTGCAGAAGCGGAAGAAGCAACCGGGTCAGCTGACTGCCCTCGATGTTGATGACATGGATGCTGGTGTATCACAAAAAGCGGTCTTCATCATACCTGAAGATATAACTATGGATCTCGAAGAGCCGATAGACGAGCTCAGCGCAAAAGAGAAGGACTCGGACGAGGCAATGGGCCCTGAATCGACAGAGCCAGCGGAGACCACGGTCCCGGAGTCAGTGTGCCCCATGTGCAGCAAGCCGGTGGACGGGGCGCTGCTCAAGCAATTCTCGAAACAAGCACGGATGAACATCGACCAGCAGATGAGGTTCTGCGCTCTGCACCGCAAGAAGGAGGCCCGTGAGACTTGGGTATCCAAGGGCTATCCCGATATCGACTGGAGCACCTTTGATCGCAGGATAGCTAGCCATCACCAGTTCCTCAAGGGCGTTCTCGAGGGCGAAAAGTGCTACTTCCGCGATGCACTTGACGACAAGGTCAGGCAGGGCAAGGGCCGGACGCTCAAAAAGTCGGACGACAAGATGACGCCGGGCTACTACGGTCCCCGCGGGCTACGGGTCATGTCCGAGAGTATCGTCAAGGACTTTTCATCACTGCTGCGGAAAAGGGCCGTGGAGGACAGTCTTGTCTCGGCCAGGGGATATACTAGCTACGTGCAGACGGTCATGGTGCCGGAGCTGGCCGTGCACCTCATCATGGAAGACATGGATGTGGGCAGGGACGAGGCCAGGAACATCCTGTTCGACAGCTGCACCGTGGGCGAGCTCGTGAACGAAGACATTGCCGATGTTGTGCTCAGGGACAGGGGAAGTGACACCGACGAGTCGTCGGTGTTGTCAGAGGTGGAAAGCGATGATGAGTTCCCGCTATGACATGGTCTGGACACTTGCGGCCTCCTGCTGCAAGGGAGTGGCTAGGGTCACCTCCGGGACGGAGAATACCTAGGTAGCTATTCTACGGGTGCCACGGTTTGATACCTCGTGGTTCTAACCAGGCTGGGACAGCTCGAACGGGCGCAAATTGCATCTTCGGTGCCTTCATAGACTGCACTGGATCACCACAAGCGGCTTTCAGGTGGCTGGTATCTAATATAGAAATGCGCTGGAACTGAGGTACCTGAAGCGCTCGAAGTACATTGATCGTCATCACATCCGTTCCGCAAGATTGGGATGAGTAATCCCGAAAGCACCATCCAATGCCGAGCAATGCCGTGTACTGATTGTAGCCATGGCTGAATATTAGCACGAGGAGTAGCTCTTCTTCCCCACACCCGAGGTAAGCTTCTGGGTTCCTCGAGTACCCCACACCGAACGAGCTCCGCACGCCTGGATGACGGGACGGGCGTGTGTGTACTTCGTAGGCCCAATCCCCCCCCTCCTCCAGTACCAACTTATGCGTCGGCCGATCTACCTTAGTTACCTCTTTTTACGTGGAACGTTCCCTCTCCTCTGCACAACACCATGAGCACGGAGCCTACAGGTCAGGACTGCACCCCCGAGCCTGTCGGACCTGACCCTCAGGAAGTCGCCCTGATCACCGACTGCGTCCGTGACGCCGCCGCCGCTTCTGCCTCTGAGCCGACCGGCGCCGCTGCGGAGCTCGACCTCGACGTCACCGCCGCTGCCGCTGCCGCTGCTGCTGCTGCTGCTGATATCTCCAACACCACCGCCACCACTGCAGAGGACGAAGACGACACCGAAGGCTCTTACTACTGGGATGCGACAACCATGGCCCCGCTAAACGCGACATCGGCGGTCAGTACCTGAATAGCCCTTCCTGTCCCCCCTCCGTACTATTATTTTATTGCCTTTTGCCAGTGTGCCAGTCTGGTCTGGCCAGGGCGTGCCTTCTTGTTTATTTCTACTACCCTCCCCTCCTCATTGTACCACATTTTGGTTTCCATACCCGCCCCTTACACATTACCGATTGCGCCGCATCCGCTATAACGCGGGGTGGCCCCCCTCAATTACAACGAGCCATGAATCGCATACTTATGAGGTCAAAGGCTGCCGTCCAACGCCTGCGCTCGTTCCGGCCGCCCGAGTTCCCGCTATGGGACCAGCTGCCGCTGAGCCGGAGGGCCGCCGTGCTCGTCCTGCTCTACGCGGATAGGAAAGGAGATCTGAGGGTCGTCATCACGATGCGGGCGGCCAGCCTGCGGAGTTACTCGGGGCACGCGGCGTTCCCCGGCGGCAAGGCGGACTCGCTCGAGGAGACACCTTGTAAGTCGTTGCATCCTCCCCAGCACCCAAGCAAACTACTATGTATATATGTATATATGCTGACTCCCCTACGCGGAAAAAAACAGACCAAATCGCCCGGCGCGAAGCATGGGAGGAGATCGGGCTCCCGATCGACGACGCAAAGCTGCCCAAGCCCTTCCGGATAGAGCACCTCTGCTACCTGCCCTTCAACCTCGCCAAGACGGAGCTCGTCGTGCGGCCCTGCGTCGCCTTCCTCCACTCGTCGCCGGACCCCTCGGGCCCGACCGTCGAGGAGGCGCTCATGCCGCGCCTCGACGCCAAGGAGGTCGCCGCCGTCTTCTCGGCGCCCTTCCACAACTTCCTCCTCGCCACGGACGAGGTGCTGCCGGCGGGCGGCGGCGGCGGCGGCGGCGGAGACAGCGAGAGCCCGCAGGAGAGCCCGCCGCCGCTGCCCAAGGGCGAGTGGTACAAGGGGTCGTGGATGAACTGGCACGAGGAGCCCTGGCGGCTGCACTACTTCTTCGTGCCCGTGCACAACCAGCGCGTGACCAAGCCGCGGGTGCGCGAGGGCGGGCTCGCGGCCATCGCCGAGCACCTCGAGGAGGAGCAGGAGGACGCGGGCCGGTACATGGTCTGGGGCATGACGGCGCGCATGCTCGTCGACGCGGCGCGGCTGGCCTACGGCCGCGAGCCCGAGTTCGAGCACAACTCGCACCTCGGCGACGAGCGCATGATCGAGGGCCTGCACCGCATGGGCCGGCTCGGCGAGAAGAAGAAGGCCGGCAGCGAGCTCACGCAGGCGGACCTCAAGGAGGCGGCGAGCAAGATGTAGACGGTGTGTGTGTGTGTGTGTGCGGGGATGTAGATCTTGTATATTTTGGGAACTCATCATCATCATCCTGGAGTCGCGACGTGGCAACAGTTATATATATATATATATGCATACATACATCTCTCTCTAGAGGAGATAGTGGCACGAGCCCGACCGTGAGCAAGCAAGTTCTCACGGGTTACTATAAGAGCAGAAATTCGAAGCTCTTTGATATCCAAAGCATTTACCCAATCTTGCCAGGCATATCCTGTTTGAATCCCGGCTGGGCAACACTCAGTGGCAGGCAGTCTCCTTGGTAGCCGGCGTGGAGCCGCCAAAGAGCAGATAGCCTACAAAAGCACCCATAGAGACGGAAATCATGACCCAGCCATTGTAGGTCATGAAAATAAGCCTGATGCGATTCTTGTCTTAGCACCCACACAAACCCCCCCTTCGCATCTTGCCAGTACCACCCACCGGCCGAGGGGCAACTCACATAATCATGAAGGCGTAAAAGTTCTGGATCCCGTAGAGCACGGCCTTGATCAGGTGGGCTCGCTTCGTGACCTCGGGGCGGTCTCGTCCTGTCCAAAGGAAGGGCGTGGTCTCAGTATCATCAGACTCGGTAGCGACGGGGCCTCGGGTCTCAATCTTAGCAACCGCTCTTTTTCCGCGCTCTCTAGCAAACCATGGGGTTTTCCCACACGCTTGGCAGATGGGTTCGAGAGAGGGATGTAGAGAAACGGGGACGATGAAGCAAAAGCCCGGTGAGAGCCATGGCACACACACACACAGGAGGATAGGCGCACAGGCAGAGAGACCCAGAAAACGGTCAAGGTACAGAGGGACTGTATACTTACGTGGCGCGGCATCTGCCCTCGAATTTAGGCGGTGCTCGTACCGGCGGATGGCCTCGCGCAGGGCCTCGTAGCCGGCCCCGATGGCGATGACGGCAATGAGGGAGAAGACGAGGCCGGCGGTGCTGCGGATGTGCCACTGGCGGAACACGATGCAGAGGTTGTTGGTGTCCCAGGTGAAGAGCATCTGCGCCCGAGGCGGGGATGAATGCATGATCAGCTTTTTGCACTTTGTGCGCGTCGCATATGCGCGCGACTGACTCTTGACTTGCGCCAAGAGTCAGAGGGTCAAGAGCTCTTACGTTCATATTGCACATGTCGGGCATGTCGCCGCCGCCGTGGCCGCCGTGGTCCATGCCACTATGGTCCATGCCGGCATGATGTGCGTGATCCATGCTTCACCTGGCTGTGCTGTGGGATGAAGCTTGGAAGTCCGGGAACGAAGCGACTGGCCACGCGCGCTATATAGTAGAAATTATGGATTGCAGCTTAAAACTAAACAGAAGACTTGCAAGAAAAGAGAGAGAGGGGTGTCCGGGAAGAGAGAATAAGGAAGCTCTCGCAAGTTGCCTGACGAAATTGCGAGTGAGCAAGTTTATTAACCTGTCTCAGGTGCTTGTCGAGGGGCTGAGGAGGTGTCGTGTCGCGGGAGCTTGGGTGCAACCCTCGGACTGGCCTGTCTAGGTACCTAGAGCTTAGCTGGAGCCTGGAGGACAGAGGACTAAGGTAGTAGTTAGCGCCACACCGCACCGTGGCTGCAGCTCATCCAAACTTGCTCAGTGGATGATGGTTCGATTTGAAGACAAGCGATAGCGGGGTCATAAGGAACGCCGCGAAGGAGTCCGCTATCGGTTTCATTCTCTGATGACTCTGTTGAAGAATTAGTCAGTCGACGGGAACAACGGGTAGCCTTGTCCAATTTACCTTACATCCATACATCAAAATCAATACGTGTTCGATCTGAAGAGTCCTATTCCAGCGTTACTAGTCTAGAGCCTGGCCTGGCTCAAGTTGGACATTAGTCTCCTGCTCATTGCGAACTTGCGACTCAAGACTTTGCTTTGTCACACGAACCACGATGCTTGCGCCACCAGTTAATATTCCCAAGTGGTGAGTCTCATCGTTGCTCTTGGGGCAACCATGGATCATCGACAACTAAAGTCAATCATAGGCTGGAGGAAAACGGGCACCTCTTGCAACCCCCAATCAACAACTACTGCATCTACAATGAAGACGTCTCCGTAATGGTATGTCCCCCCCTGCTACCGTGTGGCTGCCAATAAGCACGGGGGACGAGCAAAGCTGTGCAGCCATGCTCTGTTCCTTGTTGTTGTTATTGGGTTGCCCGCTCTATTCTTCGGCTCACACTCCAGCCACACAAAAGATCGTCGGCGGGCCCAACGCCAGGACAGACTACCACGTCAACCAGACGCCCGAGTGGTTCTACCAGCACAAGGGCGCCATGCTGCTCAAGGTGATCGACGACGGCGAGTTCAGAGACATCGTCATCCGGGAGGGCGACATGTTCCTCCTGCCCGGCAACACCCCGCACAACCCCGTCCGGTTCGCCAACACGGTCGGCATCGTCCTCGAGCAGCGGCGGCCCGACGGGTCCCTCGACCGCATGCGCTGGTATTGCCAAAACTGCAAGAACCTCGTCCACGAGGCCGCCTTCCACTGCACGGATCTGGGCACCCAGATCAAGTCGGCCGTCGAGGACTTCAAGTCCGACAACGACCTGCGGACCTGCAAGAAGTGCGGCGAGCTGGTGGACTGGTGTCCGAAGCCCGGATCTATCACTGATCCCAATGCGGCATGAGCAGCGCCAACGGGATGAGTAGCAAGGGAGACGAAAAGAGACGAATGATGAGATTGGTATTTTTTTTTCTGCTATCAAAAAGAGATATCTACAACTGTATATAAAAAAGCACTCCTAGCTGATGCGAGCGTACTGTAGTTTTATGCATCATGTTGTTCCTTCTCTCTTCTTCTTTTACGTCTCGGAGAACTCGTAGGCGCCCTTGGATTCCTCGACGGGGATCTCAATCTTGGCCTCATCGAGCTCCTTGCCGTTCACCCTCAGACCGGCGCGCATGACATCGCCGGGCACCACGGGACCGACGCCCTTGGGCGTGCCGGTCAGGACAATGTCGCCCTTCTCGAGGGTCATGACCCTGGAGATGTCGCTCAGGATGCGCGGGATGCGGAACAGCAGCAGCTCTGTGGAATCCTGCTGGTGGACCTCGCCGTTGACAGTCAGGTAGAGCTCCACGTTGTGCGGGTCCGGGATGGCCGACTTGGGGATGATGTTGCTCATGGGCAGGAAGGTGTCGAAGCCCTTGGCGATATCCCACGGGAGTCCCTTCTTCTTGGCCTCGTTCTGGATGTTTCTGGCCGTCATGTCGATGGCCAGGGCGTAGTCTTACACACCAAAGGGACGGGATGTCAGCATGGTCGACAATATTTACGCCGGGACGGGCTGGGAGCCAGTATCAAACTTACTCTCGATGGCGTCCAGGGCACCCTGCTCGTCATCAGGCTTCAGGTCCTTGACCTGCTTGCCCATGATGAGGGCGAGCTCGACCTCATAGTGCATGTCCACGCCCTTGGGACGGATGCATGGCCCGGCGCCAGGGAGCACGATAGATGAGGGGGGCTTCAGGAAGAAAAAGGGCTGCTTGGGGCGCGTGTTGTTCAGCTCAGCCACATGGTCCCTGTCAGCTCAGCCAGTCAGCATCACGGCAAACCAATGGCAATGCGCCAACAATCACAGATGAGACACTGGGGGGTTTGAGAGCGTCACCTACGCATAGTTGCGGCCAATGCAGACGACCTTGCTCGCCTGCTTCAAGGAGGCCATCGTCGATAACTGCCGGCGGAAAACGTTCATACTGCCCAGAGTCTCTTTTTTTCTGGAAGGGAGGCGAGGTGTCAGCTAGTCCCAATACATATAAATAATAATACCATGCATATTGCGGAGGATGCACTGGAAAAAATGAGCCCGAAACAAAAACGCGGGGGCGTCAGCCAGCAGCACGGAAGCCAAGGCCGATGGCTAGGCCAATCCGGACGTTTTTTCACCGATACCGGCAAGCAGTGGCCGGTTGAGATGACCGACCGTGCGCTACGTAGTGATGTCCCCCAGAATAACAATAACAACCAGATAAATATAGGTAGGTTGAACCACATAAACAGCGCTGGGTGGTTCTCTGTTGCAGCCGACTTACCACAAGTGACACTACAGTCTGCACGGAGGTAAAAGTTTGTAAGCGGGCAAGGCGGGTTAGGTATATCCGGTATGTAAGAGCTGTTGGCGATGCTTGCTGACCTATCGCTTGTCGACCTGTGGGGGAAAGACAACGGCTCGGCTGGGGTGAAGCTTGAGCAAAGCGGGCGAATGAAACAAGAGGTGAGATAAAGCACGACGGACGAGAATGGGTGGAGGGGCTCCAAAGTTGGGGTCTGCAGAAACAGGCAGGTCACAGTGTGATCGGATGCAGGCTCAAGAGTCTGGAACTCGCAATGGGGAAAAGGGAGAAAAGCGCGAGAGGCTAAAACCCGCAAACACACCAAACACACAGCAACACATTGGCGGTGGGAGGCGGGTATGGCTGTGCCTTTTTAGGTCTTGTCCAAGTCCCATTGATCCCCCCCGGTCCCGCTGCCGTACCGGCAAGGCTGCCGGTACCAAGGGAGAACCAGGCTCACTCGAGCGACTGCCCATCTCATCCCTAGCGTGCTGGCCTGGTGGGGGTGTTTTCGAGTACCCTGCAGCGGCAGAGGACCACTAGAGTACACGCCAAAGCAACCAGCCCTTTGCGCCATGCCGTCACCCACCCTCTGAAGCAGTACGATCAGGCTGCTCATCCCCCCGCCCGTCCGGGGGCACGGGGGGGTTATCTTTGTCATTTGATGGCGCTTAGTGTCATCTTTTAGTGGGTAGCTTCCCCCGCAAACAGGATCCCATGGATGCGGATTATGCGCAGCCTGTCCTTTCGATCCATGCGCCTTTGCACCAAAAACCTGCGCTGCCCTCCCTGCCGGTTGTCTGTTCTTTTTTCGCCTTCCCTCCCTCCCACATCATCGACTTCTTGCGAAATAGCCAAAACTCTCTACCGATTACAATTAACATAGCTGGCTGGCCCTTGTGGAACCGTCGACCTGCCTGGACTCTTCCATACATGATCGCGAATGTAGACACAGGCCCTCTGCAAAGTAGAGCACAAAACCACCAAAGATGGAGACGATTCAGCTGGCGCAGATGCTAGCTGACCTCAGCGACTTGAACGCAGCCGTATGTTGCCGGCGATGTTTTCCCCTTGCACAGTGTCGCCGAGTTGCCCAGAAACAGCGGGCTTCTCGTGATGGCCGATTCAGGGCGAGCTGGGCTAACCTACGACGTCATCACAGGAGCCAGAGGCCGCGGCCGCCCTTGTCAACGTCAACAAGACGGTGACGCACCAGAGCGCAAACGGGACCACGACGACAACAACATCAACTACTTCTATGACCACGACGACGACGACAGCGCCCGTGATGCCCAAGACGCACGAGAATCGGCACCACCAGCGCGTAGCCTCCGCATCCGCAGCCGTAAACCGCACCGCCTCTCCCGCCAAATTCGACAACTTCGGGCGTAGACTGCTCAGTCCTCCCCTGACACGGACAAACTCGGCCCAGGGCTCTATTCCAGGCACGCCCAGAAGGGGGGACTCAGAGGTACGCCTTGCCAACAGAGTGTATAGTACTCCGCGCGGTCCAGCTAAACTCTTACTTTTTTCCTGGTGGTATAGCCTGATAGCGATGTCGATCGAGCCTCGGCCTTCATGGCACTGTACGAGATCCGAGCGAAGCTGAAGCAGCAAGACAACACCAGCCTGATGCGGGCGCGGGAGCAGGTCGCTGCCATGGCGGCCAAGCAGCAACAGCAACAGCAGACGGCCAGCATGGAACGGCGTGACCACATGGACGCTCGACATTCGCGATACACCTTCCCGAGAGCCTCCTGAATACCTTCTCGCCCTCGCGAGCACGGCTCATGTATGACTATAATCGAGATACAGTGGACGGGATGAGGTAGAGCGGAGGCGTTATGGCTCAAATGATTCATGAGGAGTTATGGGCGTTCAAGGGCAAAAGTACATGTAGGATTTCTGCGGGTTGAGGGCAATATGCCTGCTCAGATATTTATATCTATTTGCGATATTACAACATCCTTATTCTATTGTTTCAGCGCATTGCACCTTTTGTGAGAGATCTCCATGGCACCTGGCAAATGTTTTATCGTCATATCATAGCCAGTGCAAGGCAGGACATGAACATGTTCTTTGCACTGCGAAGGCATGATTGTGGGAAGACAGCCAGATGCTTTGTTTATTTCTGACCTGTTTCTCTCTCTCTCTTCATACAAGGACCTTCTCGGACGGTAGCACAGCATCCGACCCAGAATTTGAAAAGAGATCATCCAAGGTCTGTGTCGCGGGCCCTAGCAGATGCATCCACCAGTTGCCCACCCTTAGTTTGCGGCCCATATTCTGACATGACGAACGAGACAAGATAAGCGTTGCTCCCATGCCCAATCACCGCTCCTAGGAAAGGGACTGCTGGTCAGCCCAAAGCCAGCTGAAGCAAGAAGCCCAGGCACATTTGGTTCTCTCCCGCCCAGGAGTTTGCTGTGCACATAAGAGATGAAGACACTGGGCGGACCCCCCTTGAAGAGCACGCTTTTGAGCTGTCAGCCCAGCAAACAGAGCACTTGTTTAGCGTCACTGTCCTGGCACGGCTGGGCACCTTAGCGTCTTCAGGACTAGCGCGAAACTCCATACATTTTATCCGCGTCCAACTGGACTCTCGCCAAATCTGATGTCACTTCTTTTCCAAAATCGGGCGTTCACACTTTTTGGTCTTGAGATCTCCCAGCAGAGCTGCACGCGCAAGCTCCGGACGTCTCGTCATGGCCACCGGTGTAGACGCGAAGCTCCTTAGGAGCACAAAGTTCCCGCCCGAGTTCAATCAAAAGGTGGACATGCAGAAGGTGAACCTGCAAGTTCTCAAGAAGTAGGCACCCGACCCGACTCCCCACCCAACACTTCTGCCCCTGTCGCGTTCTGACCAACGGCACAGATGGATTGCGAGCAAGATCCCCGAGATCCTGGGCAACGATGATGACGTTGTCGTCGAGCTCTGCTTCAACCTGATTGAGAATGCCAGATATGTGAGTCGAAAAACACCTCGGGAAGGTGACCAGCGCCATCGGACAATCAGACTGACAAGGCACTACAGCCCGATATCAAAGCCCTGCAAATTCAATTGACCGGCTTCCTTGAAAAAGAGACCCCGGCCTTCTGCAAAGAGCTATGGAATCTCTGTCTGAGTGCGCAGGCTAGTCCTCAGGGCATTCCTAGGGAGCTGCTCGAGGCGAAGAAGCAAGAACTCATCCAAGAGAAGGTTGGTCCTATGGACCCCACAAAGCACGTCACACAAACACCAATCTAACAGAATCTAATCTAGATCGAGGCCGAGAAGGCAGCAGAAGATGCCCGCAAGCGACGCGAAGAGTTCGATCGGCGCGACCGAGGTCGAGGCGGTCATCGAGGCGGCGACTCGTGGCGCGGTGGAGGTCGACGTGGTGACCGGGACTTTGAGAATCGTCGCGGTGGCTTTGGCCGTGGACGCAACCGCTCGCGATCGCCTGGCCCCCGTGGTCGTGGTTTTGGTGATCGTGACAACTACCACGGCTCTCGACGAGACACGTATACGCCGCGCGCTGGACGAGGTGGTCGTGGTGGTGGTGGTGGCAGGCGTGGGCGCTCTCGAACCCGGTCCTCGTCTGCTTCCTCGGGAACACCGTCTCGTGCTAATAGCGCTGGATCCGATCGCTCTCCCTCTCCTCGTAGGCGGAGGAGCCCCGATCCGCGATCTTCGGCCAGCGACCGTGGAGGTCGTAAGCGGTCTCGGTCACCCAATCGCACCGACAGACGCCGCCCTTCTCGTTCACCCTCTGCTTCGAATCAAGGCTCTCCGCTACCTAAGCGACAGCGCCAGCTTGTATCTCGGAGCCGATCAGCCGATCGACGCCGCCGTCTGAGCAGGTCTCCGTCTTATTCCGACTCCGACCGGGCATCGCGATCTCTCAGCCGATCACCCCGACCTCAAGGACACAGACGCCGCGAGGACAGCAGGAGCGCTTCGCCCGATGGAGACCGCCGTGATGATCGAGATGCCCGCCGTGGTCGCAGTCCGTCTTATGCGTCGGACGACGGCCGAAGTGCGCGACGGCGTCGAGCCGATAGCAGAAGCTCGAGTCGCGGGCGCTTCCGCGGAAGGGGCAACCGAGGCCGCCGCGGCCAGCCAAGAATTAATACCTCTTCTGTATCTTCATACTCAAGATCGCGAGACAGATCAGCTGATGTTGCCTCCCCTGAAGGCAGAGTCCCGCCACGCGGCCCCGAGCCACCGAATCCATCCCCCGAAAAGGTACGTCGCGCCGACATGGGAGAGACAGATATCTTGGGCGGGGGCTGACCTCGGAACTTTTCCTCCTTTAGGCCAAGACTACCGACCGCGAGGCCAGCGAGCGACGAGAGAAGGAATTGAGAGAGCAAATCATCAAGATGAGATCCTCGCAGAGTTAGACATGGCGACGACGTTTGAAGCTAACAGTCGGCTGAAGCTTTATTCATGATATTTGGCTCTCTAGCGGGGCCCCAGTGCTTTATCGGTTCCCAGGCTGCATATGGCAGGACCAGGGAAATACGCCTCTTCTTGCTAAGGCGATTACCACTTTGAAGCCTACGGGCTATGGGTTGCGATGTCGCTTGACCACTTGATCATGTCAAGCTAATCATCATACTGGACTATCACTAAATGGATTCGGCAACAACGGATGTTCACTAGGAACAAATCACAGCAAGCCGCAAATTAATGAATGAAACTGCAACCCGACAGTATTCTTCTGATCGGTACATGAATAAATGCCTGAGAGAGTTGTACTATCCGTCTCCGACCTGTGTGGTCGGGTAGGTGCTTTTGGGGGTGGTCACGTGCGGGACTTGGCAATATGACTAAGCGATGGTTCAAAGTGATGCGCATCCAGGAACGCTGCGCGTGGGTTGAACTTTGTCCGTCCATCCCCATCGCGAGATTGTGCCTTTCACCACTTTGAGGGTAATCCAAGGGCCTGGACAACAACATGGCGGAGAATGTGGCTCCCCATCCGACGACGAACGGCGATGCGCCGGGGCTCCCCTTCTACGAAAAGTCGAGGCAGCAACTCAAGGAACTTCTGAACAAGAAGCGGCAGCTTGAGCGCACCCTGGTAGGTTCGCTTTTTGGCGGCATCTCGCTGGTTCTCTCTGCCTTGAAGCAGCAGCTTCTTGGTCATACGTGCTGATCATGTGTTTCGTTATCAGGCTCAGCGCGAAGACGCCATCCTGCAGAAGGAGACCGAATACCTCGAGAATACAATCAACGGCAACATCATCACAGGTTTTGACAACTATACGAAAGGAACCACCAGTGCGGCGGCACAGAGGCGCAAGACGGGAACCACCGAGGCGAACCGGGTGTTTTCAAGATCGAGTATATCCTACAACGCCACCAATGTATGTGTTTCATAGGCGGACGGTTTGCCTTCAATGCACCCATGTTCTCGGTCCCTCCCCGCCCAAAGAAGAAAACATCATTGACAGCCGTCTCTCTCAATTCCAGCAACCAGACGCCGCGCAAACACCAGGGTCGATCAATTCAGCGCCCGGGTCGCACGCGCCCACGCCGCAGTCGGCGAGCTTTGGTAAGGACACGGGCTCGAACCACCCGACGCCCACCTCGGCCACCGGCGGCGCCAATTCCAAGGCCGGCGCCAGCAAGAAGAAGAAGAAGGGTGCGGCAGCCGCCGCCGCCGCCGCCGACGGGGTGGACGATAGCGAGACGGACACGAGGGAGACGAAGAAGGTGCGGACCAACTTTGGCGCTGTGAAGAAATCATAGAGCACCACCTGGGCGACAAGGGGAAGAGAGTCCGGTCTGGCGATGGCCATATGCATATTCTCGGCGTTTTACTTTGGGCGTGGCGGATTTGTCGTTCGGGCGGTGCGTATTGACAGTCACAAGAACATCATGACGATGGGAAGCGCGGCGTTAGGATCACCGGGAATCGTACATTATGAAGTGTTATTCAAGGCAAACAGAGCCACACCTTTGATACCATACCTCGTGCTGCCTTCCTGTCTGGATGAATCCCGAGCTCCGACCAATTCCAGCGTCCACCAGTGCTACCTAGGGAGGATCCATAGCGCATCCATTTGGAGCTCAGGGTGTGTTTGGGGATGCGGGGTACCTGCATCAGGAACTGCCTTAGTGCCTACCGGGTAGCTACCTGCCTACCCTCCTCTGGCTCTGCCGTCCATGTGATTGCTCAATCGCGGCGGCGGACTAACAAGCTTGAGCGCTTACCACCCGACCACCCGCCTGTCCTTCATGACATGTCATTTGCTCCCAGATGCCACTCCCGTCTCCGCGAGCTCTTTAAAACAAGCCACCATCTTGTTCACGGCTTGCAGTGCTGGTCGCCACGTCCCATCTTTGTCTCTCACCCAGCTCCCAGAGCTTCAACCCCTTCCACACTCATATTCCAGACTTGTCAAGCCGCCACCATGACGTTGATGGCAGCGAAGTTTACGCCGAAAGTGCTTCTCTCCGCTCCCCGCAGATCTGCCGGAGCTCCCAATTGCACTGGCGAGAAGATTCTGTATACGGTGAGCATGCTTACTCTGCTTGTAGTCGCCAGTGGTCGCTCACGCTCCGTCTAGGTCACAACCTACTCTTTTGAGGAGCACCGCAAGACGTCCCAGATCCGGTACCTTGATGCCAAGACTGGCCAGTCCACTCTTCTCTATGAGAATCCGGCTTACAGCGAGCCGACGTGGATCACCGAAGACCGCTTCATCTTTCTCAAGAATGGCGACAAGGGCACCACCACGTTGATGGTGGCCGACGCCTCGAAGCCTGGCTCCGAGTTCGCAGACCCTTCCCTAATCAGTGTTCTACCATGTGTTTCTAACGCCAGGGCAGTGTCAAGGAAATCAAGACCTTTCGGGGTAGCATCTCCAACCTCAAAGCCAAGCGACTATCTGACAAGACAGTCGCCCTGGCTTGCTCCGTGCTGACCACACCGGAGGGAAAGATGTTCGATTCCGAGGCCGAGGAGAAGCCTCATAGCTCAGCCAAGGTCTACACTTCCCTATTTGTCCGCCACTGGGATGCATGGGTTGGTAAGAACAAGCAGGCCGTGTGGTACGGCTCCCTGGAGCTGCAGAATGGCAAGACGGTCCTGGCCGAGCCCGGCCTGGTCAACGCGCATCCCGGAACCGGCCTAGAGTGCCCCGTTCCGCCCTTCGGAGGCTCGGGAGACTTTGACATCTGCGCGAGTGGCATTGCCTTTGTTGCCAAAGATCCGCATATCAACGAGGCGACACACACCAAGACGGACCTCTACTACGTGCCCCTCAAGAGCTTCACGGAGAGCAAGCCGCCCAAGCCGCAGCAGGTCAAGACGGGCAAGCTGCAGGGCTATTCTCAGAACCCAACCTTTTCGCCTGATGGCAAGAGTATCGCGTTCACCAGGATGCGCAGCATTCAGTACGAGTCTGACAAGACACGCCTGCTCGTCATCCCCGACGTCGAGGATCTGAGCAACGTCCAAGAGTTCTTCGAGACCGAGGATGGCGAAGGCGGATGGGATTACAAGCCTGACGGCATCGCCTGGAGCCACGACGGGAAAGAGCTCTATATCACGGCCGAGTTCGAGGGCACCAATGCGCTCTGGAAGGTGCCGAGCTCCCCGGCAGATGCGAAAGAGCCGCCGACCAAGATATTGGGCGCTGGCAGTGTCACCGACTTCAAGCTCCTGAGCCCCAAGAGCCGCAAGCTCTTCGTGACGACCAGTTCTCTCGTAGACAACTCTTCGTACTCTGTTCTGGACCCTCGCGACCAATCCCTCACCCTCATCTCTTCCAGCTCCAAGCAGGGCAAGTCCTTTGGGCTGTCCAAGAAGCAGTGCTCCGACTTTTGGTGCAAGGGCGCCGGGGACTACAAGGTGCACGCCCTCGTCATGAAGCCGTCCAACTTTGACGAATCCAAGAAATACCCGCTGGCGTTCCTCATCCACGGAGGGCCCCAGGGCGCCTGGGGAGACAGCTGGAGCACCCGGTGGAACCCGGCCATCTTTGCCGAGCAGGGCTACGTGGTCGTGACGCCCAACCCGACGGGCAGCAGCGGGTACGGCATGGCGCTGCAGAACGGCATCAAGGAGGACTGGGGCGGCAAGCCGTACAACGACCTGGTGAACTGCTTCGAGTACATCGGCACGCACATGCCGTACGTCGACATGAACCGCGCTGTGGCGCTGGGCGCCTCCTATGGCGGATACATGATCAGTAAGTTCCAAAGCGCTCTGTAAAATGCTAGGTCAAACAAAAGGGTCGGGACTAACCGGGGATGCGCTTTCTTCTTTTCTCACTTGCAACAGACTGGATCCAGGGCCACCCGCTCGGCCGCAAGTTCAAGGCCCTCGTCTGCCACGACGGCGTCTTTTGCGGACTCAACCAGTACTGCTCCGAGGAGCTCTTCTTCCCCCTGCACGACTTTGGCGGCACCCTCTGGGACAACCGCGCCACGTACGAGAAATGGGACCCGTCGCGGTTCACGGGCGAGTGGGCGACGCCGCAGTTGGTCCGTATTCACCCTGCTCCTCCTGCTCCTGTTGCAGTATCATCTCTCAACGTTCTGTGAGAACTGACCGTATGGCTACCTCCTCGTGGTGGAATAGACCATCCATAGCGACCTCGACTACCGCCTGCCCATCACCGAAGGTCTGGCGGCGTTCAACGTCCTGCAGAGCCGGGGCGTGCCGAGCAAGTTCTTGACCTTCCCGGACGAGAACCATGTAAGTAATCCCCTTCGGCCACATGGGCTTTCTACGATTGGGGAGTGCTGACCGCCTGTTTTTTTCTCATGGAACAGTGGGTGCTGAAGCCCGAGAACTCCTTGGTGTGGCATAAGGAAGTGCTGGACTGGATCAACCGCTATGCTTCCGCAGAAGGGGATGAGTGCGCGAGTGTCGTTGAGAAGACAGGCAGCATGAAGATATAGTGGATCAAGTGGCTATCTGTATATACCGGCCTCACGCGCGAGGTCTAGGGGATAAACTCCAGCTATTCGACCTTTGCTTCTCTCACCCGTCATTCTTGCCTGCCTGTATTTACAGCCCTTGTCCCTTCGTCCAAACGCCTAATAAACATGTCAAGCAAGATCTTTGCTGATGTGACGCAGCTCTATCCAGCTCGTGTAGCTAATCCAAGCCAAGATCGCTTCCCTCGCAGCCCCACGCCGTACGCTTATGCCCCCCCCCCCCCCTCATCTAAGATGCTCGGGGATATTGTTCATATCTATCTTCGCCATGCTTTCGCAGAGCTTCGCCCAAGTGAAACCGTTGCGAAGCGAGACGTCGTGGGCCGCACGCCCTGCCTTTTTCGCCCGATAGACCAAGTCGGGGTGGTCCTCCAGTAACGTCTTTTGAATGAAGCGCATCCATGGTATGTCCGTAATGCTTCGCAGGAAATTCCATACGAACACGACTTCGGATTTCGGCGCATCACTGCGGTAGGAAGTATTGTGCTTCTGGAGGAGTTCTCCTACTGCCATGAACCGTGCTGAAACCTGGGGCTTACCTGCACCGGTAGGTCGGTGGTCATGTTGCAGGCTGGCCTCGGGGAATGGTGACGTATTTGGTGATTCGATCGCACCCTCACAGTTTTTGTCTCCTTCTCCTGGATCTGAGGCGGTGGAAGAGCTCGTGTCAAGGGGTATTGCGGCACCCTCGGCGACGTCTATGATTTTGTCAGGGGGTCATACGCTTGGCAGGCGAGGGGAGACTTACCTAGTATATCAGGACAAGGCGAAGGGTATGTCTCTGAACGATTCAGGAGAGACAGTATGTCATCCTTGCGAGCGAAAAGCTCGGCGACAAACATGCACATCTCGGGGGTGAAGGAGGCCGACTTCTGCTCTTGAGCGGCAACACTCTTGTCGAGCTGTGCGAGCTCGTCGGTCAGCTGCTGGCTGAGTCTCTCGAGGGCTGTCGTGCTGTTTGCCTGTGCTGCGGCGACAGCTCGGGTCAGGTCAGCGGTGACCACCTCGAGTGACTGCCGGGAACAGCCAACATCTTCGGCCAAACTGTGAACTCGACTAGACTCTGCATCTAGTCGGACTGACAGGCCTGCAAGTTTGTCTGACAGGGCCGTTAGGCTAGTAGAAGAAGGGTCTTCCGTAGGTTGCTGAAGCCTGCCACTGAAGCTCTCTATCTCGCTGCGGAGTGTCTCATGGTCAGCATTGAGGTTCCGCGAGAGGCTGGATATTTGTTTCTCGACCCTGGCGACCTCGTCATCAAGCCTCTGGTCCAGCTGCGACAGCTCGAGATCCGTCTGGGCCTGGTACTTGGCCAGCGAGGACTGGACAGCCTCGAGCCGGGCAGCAAGGTCCTTTGACGCGGTCTGCAGGGTGTCACGGTGCTGGCCAGCCTCATTGCGGAACACTTCGAGCTCCTGGGAGTATTGCTGCAGGCGCTTTTCTGTGACATCCCTGCTAGCCTCGGCGTCGAAACGGGCTTTGCGCTCGAGGATCTTGGTGGCAATCAGGGCGCTGACGGCGCCCTCGCTCAGGTTCAGCGAGCTTGCTGCGGATGGCGCCGGGCTGGCCGTCCTGGAACCCCGAGTCGTGGGAGGCATGGTGCAGATCAGGCAAGCGTGACAGGGGTGTTGAGTTGATGATTGGTGTTTGTTACAGCTTCACCGCATCACTCGGAATCAGAAAGAGGCAACAAGCGGTGAGTTGAATTGATAGTCACTGCAGATCGGAACGCCACATGTAAGCAGGAGGTCTGACCTTTGGGCAGGTGGCCGGCCTGCCTCCATCCCGACTTTTTGAGGCAGGTAGCTCTCCGAGAGCACGCACTTGCCTGGGGGCCGTTGCCTGCGTGAAAGGTCACTTTCCCATGACGGTTGGCCACGGGCTACGGTGCTCCTTCCTGCTTGAACAAGGCCAATAAATGAGAGAGAACGGCAACGAGCACTGGGAGTCATCACTCGTTCTAATCTGCCAAGGGAGAGGCGTGCTTGCACTTGCAGAGGGAGGGAAGAACCCACGATCTGCGTCTGTCTCCGTCGTATTCACAGGTTGGTCTGACAAGCAAGCACGGGGCGGCTTTCTCGGCCATTTTGACCGCCTCGTCCTGGCCTCGATTACACAATCTTACTTACCCTCGGACTACCTTACTCCGCAGAGGGCTTGCTGTCCGGGCGGGCCCCTGCATCCTACACGTTTCCTCTTGCGTAGCCAACTCTGCAACTGCCTGAGGAACTGGGATGTTGCTTCTTGTGATGTAATGTGCTGTGCTTGTCTCAGCAGGCAGAGGTGGTCAAACAAGCAGGACCACTCCCCACCAACCCCGCTATCCAGCTGACAACACCCTATCAAGTCAAGGAAAGAGGTTGGGTATGTGGCCGGGGGACCTTCCCGGCCTGAAACCTTGTGTTCGTTTCCCATACGAGTCCGACTCAAGTATAAAGCAGAGGATGTCTGCCCTCCCCCATCTGTTTGATTTCGTTTTCTTCATTCCATCAAGCTCGACTTCTCTGAGTCTGCCACACTCTTCGTTTTCTGTGCTGCATCGCCTGTCGTCTCACGATCATCTCCTCCATCATGGCTGTGCCTCGGTCTCGCCATGAAACCTGGTGCCGAGCCTGGTGTCGGCTTGCCATGGGCTGAGCACCTTCATCTGCCAGCCAGATTTGCCTCCATTGGCGCGAAATCGATACTTCCCCCCTCCCCGCAACCACCCCAAACTCGAGACTCTACCGAGCATTCGTTGGCTCATGCAGCATGAGAGCCTTGTTCGGTCCGTGTCATCACGATCAGACATCCAAAGCCTTCTTGTCCATCAACAGACCCCTGTCGTCGACCTCCCTCGCAGACACGTCGCTCCAAACAAGACCTTGGTTCGCTCCGAGTGCGCCTTCAGCGGAGCCTCGTCCTGGGCAGGACGTTAAAAGGCCCACGGGCATTCATTGCGGCGGATTCATGCTGTTCAACGAATGCTGTGAAGTGTATCATGCGTTATGAATGTCTTCACGAGTGTATGGTTGCTTCTTCTAGAAGGTAGCATACACATGCACGGCGTCTATGTAAGTTGTCCCACCTTCACAGTTGCTCGATTGCCATGCTGATGTGACCCAAGGCATTGGTCGGCTTCTCGGATCATTAGAAGTCTTGACGGCAACAATGTACGACTATACGACTACTGTGTTCCCATCCCGGATTTTCGGGATACTGTGACATTTCTCAGTGACACTAGACCTCCAGGAGACTCTGCTCTTGTCGAGGTCTAGGCCGAGCGGGCCTGGCAATCCCCGCTTTGACCCTGTGATGTCTTGCGGCTCGCTAGACTACCAGGGAGGGATTTCATCGCCACAGGGTACTATTGGAGCGTGTATCATGTGGCATGGAATCCCAATTGCTATCGCACGTCCTTTATCGGTTCAGGACGGGCAACAGTGTTCATATTCGGCGCACAGCAGCTTATGTTGCTGTGCAGGACAGCCTGGACGCCTTTTGGCGCACCCAGACGGTCCGACAGGATGTGGCGGTTGGTGGATCGAGAGCGTCCACCATTGACTTTATCGTCAGTGGGCGGCAGGCGGCGGGTTGCGAACAAGGTTCTCTGTTAGTTGCCGGCCTTCGCAGCCTGTTGGGTGTCGCAGGACTGCCAAGCGGGTGGTTTTCTGAAGGAGAGTAAGCGTGATAGTAAGCGGACATGCCTGGGACAAGTCGCTTCGGCAACATGGGCAAGACTCCACACGAAGCGACAAAACGCGGCAGAGCGACTTTGCTCCGGAGCCAGCATCTCGGACTAGGCCGAGGAACCACTGACCCACGATATGCCCGTCACCGCAGCCGTTCATACTGTGCTCCTCGCGGAGCCTGGACGGCGGCGTGGTTGCGTGGGTCTAACGCTTGGAATTGTGGGAGTGTTTTTAACCTCTCCTGAGTTGGGCTGGTCACGTCTCCCTGGGGATAGCTACACCACATGTTGTGCTATTCTCGAAGGCTCTACTCTCGATCGCCAAAACAATCTTGTCACTTGTGTCTCCTCTTAGGCACAGGTACATAGTGTCAACGGTATATTGGTAAACCAACAGGAACTGGCAAGGGTGGACAATCGGGTGGGGGATTTATATCTGCGATTAGCAGAGCTCTATGAATCGAAATCTGATCTTGTCCGCTACATATCGTCCCTTTGCTTCTGGTCTCTTGTGTGACGCCGGGCTGTGCAACAGAGTACGCATACAAGAGTCGTTGTAGGGTGGCTCATGTTGTCCTTCTGTGGTTCTTGTGAGCCGGGCGAACTTGTGTGATGGGCACGACGTAAATGGCGGACTGAGGCTCTGGAACCGACAACGAACGCGATACAGGACCCTCGAGTCTAAAACGTAACGGCCCGCGTGCGACACTGCTCCGTACTTCATAACTCTCCGTGTGTTCTATTCTCCATGACTCCCGCTGCTAACCCATCAGTCCTCTGCAAAAGGACCACATTGTAACCTGTTTATGGGCGAACTGTACAAGTACAGACATGGGGAGTGGAGAGAGGCAGACAGGGTCCTGGGCGTTCATGGGTGTCGGTGTGCCCATTGTTACCAATGGAGAATGTGGGAAAGGGGGTCGGCTTCAGTTCCCCGGTGGAAGCCGGAGCACAGCGTGGTGCATGCTGGGCCGATTTATTAAGGAGTCGTCTTTGTGTAACCTCGACGTCTTGGGCGGTATGCCTCGCTCATACGTAATGCCTCAACGTCCCTGCAACATGCAATTAATCATGCAGCGAGCTTGGAAGTATGAGTTGTGTCACAACTCCGCATTGTCCGTCTGCCGTCGCTCGTTCGTCATTGAGGTGTAGGCATTGCATATCCAAACTACAAGTACCTAGAGATTGGCAACGCATGGTATGCTGTCAACTTGGCACTTGCGCAGTCGTACTAGGTACCTAACGAGCATACCTAAGGCACATACGTACGTTACACAAGAAGGAGAAAAAGGGGGGTCCGATTCCCTGCAGATTTGGGCCCACAGGGGTGCCACCAAGACCGTGACATGCCAGCACAGAAACAAGATGTTTGTCGAGAATGAAGCATTAGCGAAATTGGGAGCGTCCGCGTCCGTCTTCTTGCTTTGCTGCTGGATGCATTTTTAGAAACAGAAGGTCTCAGTGGATCGCGTGGCTTGCTCGTTGCCGGCACGCCACGGCCACGGCCACGGGAGCCAGCGCTGGCATGTCATGACTTGCGAGGACGAAACCGCTAGCGAATTGCCACATTCCAGCAGGACGTCAGCTCTTCGCAGCCGCATGGAGCGCGGGCGAGCACTGGACGCACATCCATCGCGGCGACGGATGACGGCGAGCGCGCGGTGTGGGATTGTGTTGATATACACATAAGAGGCCGGATCGGCGACATAGCTACCTACCGACCTACGTACCTACCTCTGGTCTTGCTCTTACTTCTTTGCGAATGCGCAGAACCCCGGGCGCTGCTACAATAGACGACCGCTGTCGTGGCATCCATGGATAGCTCAAAGCAACTTGCAGGCTCTGCGGGACAGGCAACAGGCATTGCATTGCAGAATTAATGACAGGCTCAACTCGAACCTTTCCACCGGAGTCGGGCGACACATACGGAGTACATTGTGAAAATTGCACTGCATGCGGCGGGTCCCCAAACAAGCAAGGAGAATAAGCACTAGAGTCCAAGCGCCAAGAGCGCTGACAAGGGACCTCTTGATGGTCCGTTCCTGAAGAGTGTGTACCTAAAAAGCTGCTAAAGCTAACTCCGACGGCTGAGTGAAATTGAAGGGTGGCCAGGATCAAACCAATCAATGAGACGGGCTCGCGGGGTGGGAAAAGCCAAAAGGACTGCTGCGCCTCGACTGGGTGCTATCCGCGAATCCGATCAGGTTTAGCTTCAGCCCTGCGGCCCCTGAGAGTTTCTCTCTGCTGTTTGGTGCCTGGCTCTCGACTTGTGCAAGTTACGCACTTGTACAAGTAAAGTAAAAAGGGGCTCCATCTTACCCACCGGCGCGTCTCGACTACCAGGGATGGCCCTGCCCCGGCCAAATCAGATCGACGCCAACAACCGGCTCATTTCCTTTTTTTTATTTTGCCATGTAGGAGGGCTTTGAGGGGTCGAGAAACGGCCGTGACCAGACTCGCACGCACAGGGGCAAGTTTGCCTCTCACAGGCGGCACCTTGATGGGACTCGTCTCACCATCGCCCACGACAGTCCGTCAATTCCAACAGCAGGCGAGCTGAGAAAGAAGAAAGGGTGCAGTGCAAGCTGTCTGGTTGTCAGACGGAAGTGCCGCGATAGCCTGTTGAGAGCAAGACGGTCCTTCGCGCCGGGAGGTCAGACAATCAACTCAGCCAGCCATATACCTTAGGTAAGACTGGTAGCCAAGCACGGCCTGAAGTATCCAAGAAATCCAAGAATAGGCATCGGTCTGCCTGCGCGGTACTTGTACTCTGCAGCTCTGTACAGGTAGGATGGCGCAATGGCTAGTGCGAGCAAGAACAACAAGAGTGCCAAGCTGCTGGTCTGTCGTATGAACAAGAATCTGGCCCGGAGGACGCCGTCACGGCCAACCCCCCCCGTAAACCGCCTTACTCGATGTGATCAAAGACCAAACGGCGCGTGTACTAAGGAGTCAAGTGGAAGTACGGCAAACCAGGGCCAGCTCTGGTCTGGCACGGCGCCAGGCAGCCTCTTCTCCGCCCCCCCTGGCGGGGGAGGCTTTGCTCAGCGACGCCATTCCACTTTGGCCGACTGATGGTACCTCGCTCCCACGCCTTTTTCTCCCTCACATTCCTCTCTCTCACGACCTCTTCTCTTCTCATTCCCGCTCACACTCCATTCCATTCATTCTCTAACCACAGTCGCTCTCTCAGCTCGCGTGTCTGCCTCGCAGTCTGCATTCGCTCATTTTTTACATATAGTCACTCTCTTTTCCCACCACCACCCCACCACCGTTCTGCTACCAGCTTTCCGGACCTCTCGCCCCAGCATCAACACCGCATCGCATACTTTGTACGACTCGCCGATCCTCTCGACCAACTCAGCAAAAATGCGTTTCGCCGTCTCCGCCGCTGCCATCCTGGCCTTTGTCAGCTCCGCGCTGGCCCAGAACCCGACCGCCGACTTCGACTCGGTCAGCAAGCCGGAGAAGAACGAGAACGTCGCCGCCGGCTCGACCTACGTCGTGACCTGGACCGCCCCCGCCAAGTACTCGGGCAAGGTCTCCATCTCCCTGCTCGGCGGCAACGACCCCAGCACTCTGCAGGTCGTCGACACCGTTGCCAGTAAGTAGAAGACCGCTTTCGGCGCAAACCCACCAGCCATCGTTTGAACATAAACATATCCGGACAATGGGACTAACCACATCTCATGAATAGCTGGTGTTGACAACGCCGCCGGCAAGTACTCGTGGGCTGTCGGCAAGTCCCTGGGCTCTGCCAAGACCTACGGCCTCAAGTTCGTCTACGAGTCCGACCAGTCCATCTTCCAGTTCTCCCAGCCCTTCCAGATCACCGGCGGCGTCGCCAGCTCCTCCGGCAGCAGCTCGGCCACCGGCTCGTCCTCCGCCTCCAGCTCCGCGACCAGCAGCAGCGCCAGCACCACCATGTCCACCACCTCGTCCGCGTCGTCCTCGTCCTCGTCGTCTGCTGCCCCCAGCACCACCGTCGTCAAGACCACCTCTGTCAGCAACTCGACCGTGACTACCGGCGCCAAGACCACCCTCGCCACCCAGACGTCCGCCGGCACGAGCGCCTCGGGCACCTCCAAGCCCAGCACCATTCCCACCAACGGCGCCGGCCGCGTCGCCGCCGGCTCTCTGGCCCTGTTCGCCGGTGTCGCCGCTGCCGTCTTTGCTCTGTAAACTGTCGCCAGCCAGCCGGCTCTGGATGAGTAGAGGTGTGTCGTCTTGCTTTTTACGGGTTGGTATTGCATCAAATCATGGGGTCACTTTTTCGTTTCTCCATAACCATGTTGGATGGTAAAATTTGGAGGAAAAAAGAGCTTTTTTGGGTGCTTGTGTGTGTGTGTGTCCCCCATTTCGCCGGGACTGGAGGCGCAAACTTTTTTTGATGAATATGTGCTGCCACCGTTTTCTTTCTCGGTATCAAGGGACCATCTGGTGTCATAACATTGAGGGAATTGCATCGCATCCATACCAAATTAACTATTTTGTAATCTGCAAACATGGCCGCACAGTTCTACTTTTGATCTTGCTGCGGTCCGGAGCCGCATGTGGGATCTGCAATGCAATGTGACGTGAGATTAAACGTAACAAAGTAAATCCTTGCTTTCTTTTTCCTTGCTCACGCACCATAATCATGATCTTGTTTTTTTTTGCTGATCATCGCTCAGCCCTACATTTCTATTTCTTGTTTGGTGGGGAACGGAGAAGCTTGATTCTACTTGTACACCATCTTCTTGCCTTTCGCTTGATGGTGCCTGTTGATCATTTCCCTGGGCAGAGGGAGGGTGGAGGGGTTGACTAAGTGTCCAACATGCATGTATGTACTGTACTGTGCAGACCGTGTATCCAAACGAATCACATCTACGGAACCCAATTTGACCCCAGAACCAGTAATCATTGTTGGCTGCACCACTACCAAGAGCACAGATGGGGGGTTCTTCTGTCCATGTCTTTCCTTCCTTTCGACTTTTGGCCCGTCTTGGGCCGCTGTACCACCCACCTTTGTCAGAGAGAGCCACGCGGCTGGGTCTTGTGCGGTGCAAGCATGGGAATGCGGCGTTACTGCAACCCGCGCCTCCGACCCGCGTCTTTCTGACAGCGGGACCGGGTCGACGACGGAATGGTAGAAATTGATGGGGCCGCGTGGCCTCCTTCCGGACCGCTTCAGGCCTTTTTTTTGTTTCCGAGCTGAGCTGGGCCGATGCCCGGGTCCGCGACCCCACGCCGCCGGTGCCACCAAACCGGGGACCTCGACACGCGCACCCCCGATGTTATCAATATCTGCATCGCAAGGTTGATTGCTTGGTTCAATCTCTTTGAATCGTGCCTAACGTATGCATCAGGTCGGTACAATGCTTTCCAAAACCATGGGGGAATAATTATTTTTCATTGTCTCATCCCAAGTCCGATCTAAATATCCTCATCAAAAATCTCAATACGAGTTATTTGGTATCCCAAACGCCATCCTGTTCCTTTCTCCCGGTGATGTGCCACTGCAAGCTTTTGATTGCTCTTTTGTTCCGAATCATCCTGTGATTTCCACCCCCGCGATTACCATTATCTGAGCGTAGCACCGCAAATCACACAGGCCCGAGGTCGTTCGTTTGCCTCCCTCTGTGCAGCATCCTTCCCGGCCAGTGCAAGCCGTCCTCAGCTTTCCTCCCCCGAACAACAGCCAGATCAGTGCCCGCCGACCTGGCCCTTGGGGATGGGCGGGATCCAGCACACGGCGAGGTTCAGGCCGATGTGCATGACGCCCATGACCCACAGCGCCTTGGCGTAGTTGCTCCCGCCGTCCATGAAGCGGAAGATGACGGCGAAGACGACGCCGCCGAGGTTGCCGCCCGCGCCCGTGAGCCCGGAGACGATGCCGTTGGCGAAGGGGTGCACGTGCGGCACGAGGGCAAAGTTGGCGCCGTTGCCGGCCTCGAGGAAGACGGCCATGAGGGCGACGAGGCCGAACATGGTCGCCTCGTCGCGCGGGTCGAGGCGCCCGATGACGACGAGCATGGCGCCCGCCAGCAGGCCGCAGGCCGTGACCCAGCCCTTCTTGAGCCACAGGTTGCGCCCGCCGCGGTTGTACAGCAGGTCGCCGACGAGGCCGCCCAGCGGCCGCGTGGCGAAGTTGAGGAAGCCGAACATGGCGGCCCAGTTGGCGGCCCCGGTCTGGCCCAGCCGCGGGAAGTTCTTGAGGTAGTAGGAGCTCAGGACCGAGTTGATGGCCAGCTCGCCGCCAAAGGAGCACACGTACGTGACGATGTGGAACCAGGTCTGGGCCGACGTGGCCACCATCCAGGTCTCCCTGCCCGTCGGCTTGACCACGATCTCCCCCTTGGCCGTCTCGAGCATCTCCGACCGGGAGATGGCGACCTCGTGGTCGGCGGGCATCTTGACAGACGTCTCGTCCTGCTCGGGGCTCTTCTCGCGGTCCGACGGGGCCCGGTCCGTTATGAGGCCCGGCACCGTGACGACGTTGTCGGCGCTGTCGGCGAAGTCCACGCCGTGCGAGTGCAGGTTCTGCTCGGCGCGGAGGAACCTGTCCTTCCACTTGCCCGTGGGCGTGTCGGGGCACAGCAGCAGCAGGCCGATGCCAATGACCAGGACCATGATCAGGGGCACGACGAAGGTTACCCTCCACGCCTTGTCGGCGGTGTACCCCATGCTGTGCACGAGGGAGTCAAAGACGGCGGGCATGATAAAGTAGGTGATGCCGCCGCCGGCATTACCGAAGCCGCCCGTGAGGGCATTGGCAGTGCCGACCACGTTCTTGTCGAAGAAGGCAGTGGTCCATACTTGGCACGGGACGAAGCTGCCGCCCAGGATGCCGATGAAGAATCGGCTCACATATAGCCCCGTCGCATTCTGGACAAGAGGAGCAAGGCCCAGGGGGATGGCACCGACGAGTAACGTTCCGGCAAAGACGATTCGGGGGCCGAACTGATCGCACAGGGGTCCTGCTACAGCGCGAATGAGGAGGCTGCACCACAAGAGAGAAGGTGTCAGTGTCTTGCTAGCTTTTCAAGAGTAACACGCACGACTGAACTTACGTGGCACAGAGCGAGACAATGTTGGAGTTGGCGACTTGTTCAGTTGTGAGCTTCAAGTCTGCCTTGATCGTCGTTGTTAACTACAAAGACAGTTAGCTCTCTGACATCGACACGAAACACCAGATGGCTGATGGTGTATATCGGTGATAATAGTGGATACAGGTTGACAGCAGGTGAATGCGAGGGCAAGCCAATGAATATGGGGGAGCAGGTGCTGGATACGGGATCACTTGCCAGTGGGGGAAAGGTATACCAGCCCCAAAACGCTATCATGAAACTAATCCAAGAGAAGAAGAACACCCTCCCATACATATTAATGGGGTTGAGGAAGGGGATCGAGTGGGCCTTGCGGTTGATGGGGTTGATGTCTGGAGCCCTATACAGGTCCGAGAACCGAAAGCTGGAGCCCATCTTGCTGACTATTCGAGACCTTTGGACTAAGTGTGACAATGTTGCAGACCAGGATGAGTGTCTGAGGGCAATAATTCCCAGGTTGACGACAGCTTGGTACGAGACTTCAGGCTGATCCAAGGCTGCCACTCAACTCTTCTCGCATAGAGTTAAATACACCATGTCGACTAGGCGTCACAGTCCCAAAAGGTAGAGTCCCAATCTGGATTCAGCATCTCCGAGGACGACGACATCTGTACTACCACGTCTGAAAGACGTCTCTTGGCGGGGGCCTATCTAGAGAGTGAAGAGGCTAGGAAAAGAAGTGGAGGACGGGACCTGGGATAAGAATGGTTCAAGCGCCTCGAACGTGGGTTGAGGTGGGACGAGATACCCGCGAGTTTTGTTCGGGACGGACCAGGGGCACGCACAGGACTTGTCGATCTCCGATAAGACGGTAGCAGTAGCGGCAAAGCCAAGTCGACGAAAGACCCGAAAGCGGGAGCTTATCAGCGAGACGTCAGCTGTCGCCCACACGCCCAGTGGTCAAGCCCTCGACGCGGGATCTCTTCACTTGAGATGCCCGCGTTTATTGGCGATATATATGGACTGTACGTTTGAATCACCGAGTGAATTTCTGCCGCCGCGTCTTATGTGAGACGGAAGGATACGAGATCGTGAACATGTACCGTGATGCAGTCCACCAGTTTGTAGCCGAGGACCTCTGGTGCCGGTCGCAGTCACAATGAGACGAACATTGTCGCCGATGATGGGATCCTTGGGGAATGTCACTCCCTTTGGGCGCGTGTAGGTAGAACACCACGACCCAATGTCTACAAAGTGACGGAAAAAGTCGCAATGGCAATGGCAATGAACACTTGTTCCAATCCCGCCCTTTAACTGACCATCCGTCTCAAGGCCCAAGGAGGCAGTGGATATGCTGCTGCTGTATAATAAGGCCGGGAATGGCAGTATTCCTATATCTGTTCCAGAGGTACCAGGCAGTCCAGCATGTCCAGTATGTCCAGCATTCCTGGAGTTCTGGGGAACAGGGAGGTGGATAATATTGCGTAGGCCACACCAAGATTCTCATCAATGCGAGCTTCGTGATTGGGTGCGTGTTGACGGGATTGGTGATAAAGAGACGGGCACTGAATGGACAGAGACGCCCCTTATCTTCGGCAATGTCTGACACAGAGGTCGGAAGGTGTGGTATCTTGATAGGGCCTGATATCAAGATATCAAGGGCAGAGAAAGTGGGGCCGCGGAGCAGAGGCAGAGATAAGAGCCTGCCTCCTGCCTCCCAATGGCATCAATCCGAGCGATGCGCAGTACGGAATGCTTGATATATGGTCAGCAATGCCCTTCTCTGCTCAGGAAGTGTTTCTGGACTGAGGAATGGTCTATCTTGTACTTCTCAGTATTTGGTGTCGAGTTGGGCGCCAGCGCGGGATTGGCCCGCAAGCCGTGAAGCCCCTTTGGTTTTCCAGCCTGTAGAGTAGCGAGGCACGCTAGGGGCGACGGGAAGGCTTCAAGTGATGCTTGACACAAACGCGAACATGCCATCTGCATGGACCGCGGGATTGCCTCACCGCTATAGCAGATTTTCTGGCATGCCTCTGCCTGCATGATGAGGGTAGAAGGCTCTTGAGATTGACGCCCATTGACTCCTTGTTTGTTGGAGGTTGGATCTGCAAGGCACCGATAGGCTGCACGATAACGACTGGCTGGCCTGTGACCAATCACCAGCAGACGGAGCGGACTGCACGTGTGGAGAGCCAGCCGAGATCATCTTAAGCAGCCCTGAAAATAGACCGCCGAGTACCAGAGCCGCAAGAATAAGCTTGCGGGCCCCCAACGCAAGTATGTAGTTCCATTAGGATGTGTTTACGGAGTAAGAATGGCTTGGGTCGCCGGAAGAGGGAGCCATGAAAAAGGAAACCCAGACCAATCCGGGCCACAGTACGAATTACTGACTGATCTGAGTACCTCTTCGATGCCCTGGCACCACGGTGTCCGCCGGCGCTCTCGTGAGAGTTTCACAGTGCGATGTGATGGAGTGATGGAGCTGGGGATAAACGGCATCCAGAAACAAGCGGCCGCCGCGAGCCGGGCCTGGCAACCTTCTTCCCCCGGCCAGCAGTGACGTAGCTGTTCATCGTTTCTCTGCAGCATGTAATCTCGGCCAGTTGATGCCCAACGTGCCAGGATATGGAACATGCTGCAGCATCAAGAGCGCTTTGTGAAGAACATTAGTAGTTTTCAGTGCGCGTTGTGTTGCTCGGCGTTGCTTAGTATTGCTTCCCGGTTGACCTTCCATTGGGGTTCGACCAGGACATTTCTTGGCAGAATCTGAGAATCTACCATTTAAGGTCTGTATATCAATCACGTTGATGCAACTCCCCTAACCCAGAGGCCTTGCTCTCAGCTCCTCAATGTCATCCATCCCCATGTTTGGTGTGGCCCACGGCACTCGGCGGCTGTCGGTCTCCGTGGAGGACGGGCTGGGGTTGACGGCGCTAGTCCCGAATGCCGGATCTCCCTCCACCTGGCCGGACCGAAGAGCTGGGTCCTCCGGCTTTGCACTAATGTTTACCGCAAATCGACACCCGCTCTGCGTTTGTCCGCCTACAAGGTCAGCTAACATGAAAACCTTCTTCAGCATCGAGAATGATGGCCAGGGTTGAGCCAATGCTCGCAGTAAATTTAATTTCACGACCCTGTGAGATTGGGCCGTAGCTGACCTTGTCAAGGGGTTGCAATCTCGCTGCCGGGGGATCCCGGTGGCGATGCCGGGTGTCGGAGTGGAGTGCCATCACGGCCCAAGAAAAGGAACGAAAACTCTGCCTCATCGATGCCCAGGCGCCAGCAGGGAGGTGATCGCTTCGGCATCGGCAGTCCGTATCCTTGGCAGCTCTTAAGTGTCTTGGCCTCCTGCCGCCACAATGCTTGGCCCTCTTCCGGATCTTCACCATCATCGCTTGTCAATGTGATTGCTTGTATCCTGTATTCCAAAAGACCGCTTCGACAGCTCAAGCGTCATGGAAGGAACTTCTAATCCCGTCACCATGGACAGCGCCGTACACGAAGACACGAGGAGCTCATCAAGAAGCGACTCGGAGTATGAGTTGCCTCTACCAGAACAAAACGTTCGAGCTGCACGCCAGAGAAGAAACTCGCAGGTTTCTGCTCGGCCGAAGAACCCGACGCGATGGCAGGGCATATGGTATCGCCTTACCGAGCCAATTCGACCCTCAGGGTTTGCTGAACTCCAGCTGATCATTTTGACCTTTTGCACTGGTCTCCAAGGTTCGTCCCTTGTCTTGACATCTTTCCAGCACGGCGTCGCTAATCCTATAACGCATCCGCGCAGACGCCATCTCCTTCCCAGACTATCACTGTTTCGCCTCCAACCAGACCGGCAACACCGTCTTCCTGACACTAGCCATTGTGCTGCCCGAGTTAAACGGCGAGATGTTCATAACTGCCAATATCGGGATGGCCCTAGGCCTGTTTCTTGGCGCGGGATGGCTTACCGGGCAGCTCAGCCACGTTATCGGCCCTCGGTGCCGGCTGTGGCTGATCTTTTGCAACTTTGTCCAGACCGCACTTGTCTTTGGCGCGGGAGCGATCCAGTACCGGTACGGCGTTGAGCTGCAGGGCGGGATCACCCTGGCCGTCATTGGCCTCTTGGCATTCGCTGCCGGGAGCCAGGTCGTGCAGTCGCGTTCCCTAGCCATGACCGAAATCTCGACAGCCATGGCCACTGCCGCTCTAGTCGATCTGGTCATTGATCCAAACATCCTCGGCCTCAAGAATAGACCCCGCAACAGGCGGGTCATGTTCCTCTTGGCTCTCATCGTGGGGTCACTCCTTGGTGCGCTCATCTGGAAGCGGGTAGGCTCCGCTGCCGCCCTCATGGTGTCCGCCGCTGGCAAAATGCTCGTCACCATCATGTACTTTTTCACTCCTGCTGAAAAGCCCAAGAAGCCACAGGCTGGGGAGGTTTGAGGATGGAGGATAACGACTTGAGGACCGTGATATAAGCCCCGGATCCGGGCAAGTAACGACTTGTTTTCTGATTGGTTTTGGAGCGCATCTTAGGGAGCCGGAGTATTGAAATTACGTCCAAAGGTTTGGACTTGGAGAAAACTTAGAGTATAAGGTCCAGGTAATAAAAAGGGAAATAGACTAGAATAATATTAATCCTCATCGCGGTATATTGCGGGTAGTTTCTGTAGACTTTGATATGCCTATGATGTGGTAATCCGTCTGGCTTGGCTGGCCGGCCGAGACCCACTTGCTATGATAGAATGAGAGGATGGAACATATGGCTAATATCTTTCTCAGTTGTATTTTTGATAAATCCCGGTAGTATATCCAACAGGAGCTGATGACATTCTGCTCCGTGCTTGGGGGATAGAAATACAGAATACCTGTATTGTCGATGTTGGAGACGGGTCAGCCACAGTTGGTTCCAAGGTTGGCTTTGTGGCTGTCGTTGGTGGGTCGCGTGACCTGGCGCCACGAGCTTCCAGCGAGACGTGTGGCGTTTTCCCAGGGACGCGATCCCACTCTAGGCGGCGACGCGACTTGCACCGACGAGCTCGGCCCGCCATAACACAAGCGATTCCAGATATCGCCAAAGGCCTTCACTCACAGCACTCGTCACAACCCCAACCCTTTCAATGCACATGGACGAGCTGTGGAACGCTCGTTCCACCCTGGATTCATGACTCGAAACAACCTCGGCGACCACCTTTCCTGGTTATTACGAAACGTCGAGCTCTCTGCGCCGAAGGGCCCCTCCCTGCCTACCGCACACCGAGATCAGAGCAATCCAAATTCGGAGATTTACCTGACGCCGGCCATAACGCAGCCCTCTGATACCTCCGGCAGACCAACTCCACGACCACCGATCCCAGAGGGTAGGCTACCATCTGCCGTTCCTAATGGGCCGAGAAATCCAGTCGGGATCCCACAGGTAGCAACGAGGGTGGAGGAGATGGCCAGGCTTACATCCAGTACGAAGTCTAAGAAGCCGTCGCTTGTCGTCAAGCAACAATCACAGGCCCAGGCCCCGCTCCCTACGCCCGCATCGACCAAAGGCGTTGGCCCGCTGCAACAGGCCTACTCCGCATCGCTCGGTGGTGAAGATGCGAGGGCTCGAGTTTCAGCGTCTACCCCGAGGCCGGCGGCTGTGACGCCTGGGTCTAGGAAATTGAAGACACCGGTGTCACGGGCTCACCTAGACCTAGATGACGAGTACGAGTCGGTAGACTTGACCTCTGACGACATTATCGGACTCTCTCCATCAGGCAGGGTACAGGTCAAGGAGACGCCGAAGCCCCGAGGGTCCGCGGTACGAACCGATGTTCTTTCTGGCAGGGGGAAGAAAAGGAAGAGCAATGATCTCAGTAGGACACCTGCCAAATTCGACGAGCTGGACGACGACGAGTTTCCCGATGTGCACGACCTCGTTGACCTGGACTCCCCTCCGGCAAAGATTTCGCGCCACAGTTCGAAGGCACCCTCACCAAGAACAGTGCCTCCGCCCATATCCTCACAAAACACTGTTATAGAGAGACGGAGTCCTTCAAAGCGACCGATTGGCCATACAGAAGCTATACCAGATGCTACTCCAAGGGAACCATTCGCGACAACTCCGCCGCGAAGGAGCTCTCGCGACATCTGTGCAGGATCAGGTCGCAAGATCAATTCGCAGATACAAACCAAAGAATTGATGGACCAAGCCAGCGGTAACGTACCGCAACGGGAACGCAGGTTGCACCGCAAATCCGGCCAAAGCCAAATAATTCAAGATTCTGAAGACGAGTTCCTTACTCCACCTACGCGCAACGCCTCTTTTGTTACCTGTCAGTCTCATCCGGGTTCTGGCAAGGACGAAACAAACCCCGCGGATGACCACGGCAACGTCGTTCTTGCTGCCGATACACCAACCAAGAAACAATATGGAACAAGGGAAACGGGCTCAAATGTGGACCATGAGATCTTATCCATGATGGAAGACGGAAACATGGATCTCGATGAGCCGTGCGAGACCGCAGCGCCCACTTCGAACTCATACGGGTCCGTCCCGAGTTCCCATACAGATGGTGTCACCCTGGACATGGATCTGTTTTTATCGAATCCTTCGGTCATACAGCGGAGGCGAAGGGTCGTGGACGCCGCTTTGTCGAAGAATAATGCCGACTACCTGAGGTCCCTGCGGGAAAAATGGCCTGCTCAACGACGCGAACAAGTTAAGAAGGAAAAGGACCCCTTGCTTAAGCAACGAGAGGCTCTGGACCTCCTATCTACCGAGTTCAACGCCCACCGGGAACTACATGGTGAGCAGGAAGCATTGCTTGGTCAACTTGCCGAGGCCTATGAGAAGGGTCTCGACACGGAGCAGGATGAGAAGCGCTTGGACAAGCTCGGCTTGGACTTGCAGGAACGGGAAAGAGCGATACAACGATGCCTTGTGAAGGCCGGTATAGACGCTGCTTTTTTCGCGGATGGGAGTAGTGAGGCGGAGGTCACAGAGCAGATACACCCTGAGGTGCTCGCAACCCAGATGTCTCAGCGAGCACCAAACTCCTCACAGCAGCGAGGCAGCATTCTGATACCTGAGTGCCACTCTCAAGTTATACTGCAGACGCAGATCCACCCAAGGTCGCAGCCGCCGGCAAGCGTCGATGCCTGGGAGGAAGACGTACCGACGGCGTCGCCTGAGTTCCCCCGAGAGCTGAGAGGGTCTGCCTCTCATGCTGTCAGCGGCAGCCATCGGGAGTCACGACAGAGCCAGTCCAGACCTGCCAGAGCCGAGCCGGACTTGTTCGACGAAGATGACCTTTTCCCAGATTTAGATAATCCACAGCCGCGGACCCATCCGCTCCCGCCAGCTCGCGTATCATCTGCTCGTAAACGAAGCCCTGTTAAGACGCTGTCGCGTCCACAAGAATGCTTTGACGACTTTAGCGACGATATCGAGATGCTTCAATTCGCCGAGGACTTTGAGCAGAGACAGTCATCTGGGGAGACGGTAGCCGCCCACCCAGCACGAGCAGTGTTCACCGAGACATCCGGAAATGCAGTTATCACCCCTCGTGCTCGAAGCGTGGCGAGAAAGGTGCCGTCATCACAGCCGAAGGCGGCTATACCGCCGGAACTGATGCGTCACCCGTGGTCTCCGGATGTGCGGCGGGCACTGAAGGACCGCTTTAGAATGTCCGGCTTTCGGCACAACCAGCTCGAGGCCATCAACGCGACTCTGGATGGCAAGGATGCCTTTGTGCTCATGCCGACGGGGGGTGGCAAGTCTCTCTGCTATCAACTCCCCGCCGTGGTCAATAGCGGCAAAACCCATGGAGTCACCATCGTGATCAGCCCCCTGCTCAGTCTGATGCAGGACCAGGTCGACCATCTAGAGGCCCTGAACATCAGAGCTAGCTCTTTCAACGGCGAGATGCCGTCCGAGGCCCGCAATCACGTTTTGGATCTCTTCAAGCGCCCATTCCCCGAGCACACTCTCCAGCTCCTCTACGTCACCCCGGAGATGATCAACAAGAGCAAGACCTTTATCAACGGTCTGATGAATCTTTACCGAAATAAGAAGCTCGCCAGACTCGTGATTGACGAAGCGCACTGTGTCAGCCAGTGGGGTCACGACTTCAGGCCAGACTACAAGGCGCTCGGCGAAGTACGCTGCCAGTTCCCACAGGTGCCGGTGATGGCCTTGACGGCGACGGCGACGCCCAATGTCATTGTCGATATCAAACACAATCTGAGTATCGACGGCTGCAAAGTCTTCTCGCAGAGCTTCAACCGGCCCAATCTCTACTACGAAATTCGACAGAAGGAAAAGGGGGCCATTGAGGACATCGCCGATCTAATCAAGACAAAATTCTCGGGCCAGACGGGCATTGTGTACACGCTCTCGAGGAAGTCGGCAGAGACGATAGCCAAGAAGCTTCGTGAGGATCACGGCGTCGCTGCGCATCACTATCACGCCTCGATTGAGAGTGTAGACAAGGCCCAGATCCAGCGAAATTGGCAGAGCGGCAAGCTCAAAGTTGTCGTGGCCACTATTGCCTTTGGCATGGGCATTGACAAGGCAGACGTTCGCTTTGTCATACACCATTACCTACCCAAGAGTCTCGAGGGCTACTACCAAGAGACTGGCCGTGCTGGCAGAGATGGCAAGCGCTCTGAATGCATTCTTTTCTTCAACTACGGCGACATCAAGTCTCTGCGGAATCTCATCTCGGATTCGGATGGAAGTGAGGATCAGAAAGACCGCCAGAGGGAGATGCTCAACCGCGTTGTCACCTTCTGCGAGGATAAACGAGATTGCCGCCGCGTCGAGATACTCCGGTACTTTGGCGAGAAGTTTGACAAGGCCGACTGCAAGGGAACGTGTGACAACTGCAAGAACGGCGGGACCTTCCATCTCAAAGACTACAGCGAATACGCCGTTGCCGCGCTCGAGATCATCAGGGCGTACCGGCGCATGACGCTTGTGCAGTGTGCCGAGGTCCTCATGGGCAAGAAACGCCCCGAGTTCGACTGCCTCGCTCCCTACCATGGCTTGGCTAAAAAGCTCAAGAAGCACGAGGTGCACGGCATGATCTATCGCCTCTTGGCTGAAGACGCATTGGATGAAGAAAACAAGGTCAACAGATCTGTTGGAATTGCCATCCAATACTTTAGTGTAAGTTGACTCACTTGTCCTGATCCTGAAGTGGGTGCGAGAAACTAATAGAAGCACCATCTAGCTTGGGCGCACGTCTGCGGATTTCTTGTCCGGGCGGCGGAAACTCGAGCTCGTTACTAAGATTGTCAGCGACGCGGACGCCGCAGCAGCCAAGCCGAAGAAGCGAGCCAAGAAAGCAACGGCTCTTCCGCCGTCCACCAACGTATCCTCTCCCGTCAGAGGATCGAGCAAGAAACGAAAGGGAAGGTCCCTGCTGCTGGACGAGGAGGACGAGGAGAGCGACGTGGAGCCAAGCGGGCCCCTCCACGCCAACGGATACGAGAAGGACAACTTTGTCGTGTCGGATGTCGAGGAAGACTCCGAGGACGACGGCTTCGCGCCAATGCGCCGGCCGCCCCCAAAGCGACGTCAGCAGACGCTGCACGAGCTCGGCGGGCCCATCTCGAGGGACTCGCGCTTCGACGAGGCCAACATCAACGAGGTGCACGCCGACATCATCTTGGCTTTCGTCGAGGAGGCCAAGCAGCTGGAGGAGAACCTGAGGAACGAGAGGGGGCTCCGGCGGGTGCTCTTCACCGAGAAGCAGTTCCGCGAGATGGCCATCGGCTGGACCACGACGGTGGACCAGATGCGCCAGATCCCCGAGGTCAACCTCGAGAGCATCGACAGGTTCGGCTCCAAGTTTGTGCCCCTGGTGAAGAAATACCACAGCAACTACCGGGAGATGATGGGCGAGGCGGAAGACAGGAGGGGCGGCAACACCGCAGCGGCAGGGGCTCGTCGAGGCGGCGACGCTGCTGCCGTGTCCATGCAGGAGATTGTCGACCTGATCAGTTCAGACGAAGACGGGCTATTCGACGACGACGACGACGACCTAGACCTGATGGGTCGGGGCAATGACGAAGAAGACGAAGAAGAAGACGATGATGACCTGGAGTCGTCCAAGTACTTTGCTCCAAACACGGGGTCGGCGGCGCAGGACCGCGAGGCTCGCGAGTGGCACGAGCGGATGGCGCAGCTGAGCCAGGGCGCGCCTTCGCGCTCCAATTCTGGAGGGGGCACTGGCGGCGGCGGCAACGGCAACGGCAAGTCTGGCGGCAACTGGCGAGGCGGCAAGAGGCCGTTTGCACGTCGCGGCGGTCGGTCCGGAGGTGGGTCGTACCGGTCTGCTTCCGGCGGCGGCGCCGGCGGCGTGACGAAGCGCAAGGCGTCCGGGTCTCGAAAGAGCAGCGCCGCGAGCACTGGTCGGGGGGCCAGGGGTGGCAGGAGCGGTGGGAGGGCCGCCGGCACGTCTGCGTCGCGAGGTGTGAGCGGCATCGGGATGATGCCCATGTGAGAGAACAGGGGGTTTCGCTTTTTCTAACATCGGGCAAGTGTGGTCATCGATCGACAAGCAGCAAGAGAAAGGAGATGGAAAGCTCCGCCATAGCGAAGAGGCGCTTCTCATCTTGTTAACTTTGCATTGAATGGGTCACGGAACGGAGTTTGTTCGTTATGGGTTGGCATGAGTATATTGGGGAGGGAAGATGCGTGTGCACACTACCTCTCCCTGTGCTCAACTTCTGTTTATATCATTTATCACGAAACTTGACACGTGCATACATTGGCGGGCGTGGCTATTCTCTTGTTGCTTGGCTTGGGACGCATCAATCTATCTCTTATTAGACAATGGCAAGCATAACGGAATGGGAGAGAATATGAATATGAATTGTAAATGAATTCTTCCTCCTAAAGTAGAAAAGAGTATGCTAAACGGGGGGGTATATCGTTTCAAGAGAACTAATATGTTAAACTAGTATTCATGGACGAGACGTCCTTGACGAAAAAACATCCCAGCGACGTTGATGGCTGAGTATGGCCTGGGGAGGAATGAAAAGTCAGATAAGGGGAGGCGTGATGAAAAAAGAAAGAATGGGCGATGCCTCCATGAAAACTCCGAAATAAGCCAGAAAAGAAAGTAAAGCAAATGCAGATGCGTGCGGGTGTGTCGATATCTGTATGAGTGTGTGTATGTGTAGCAACGTCAAAGTCGTGATCCTCGTGTCCCTCTTCTCTCGTGTCTCTTTCTGTGTGCCTCCTATGTTTTTTTTATCTCCCGCTCCGGGCTGTCCATGTCTGCATGACATGACATGGCACACTCTCCACCAGACCGCCCAAAAAAGAAAAAGAACCGAAGAAAGGCTTGCACACCTCTCTCAATGTTATCCAAGTCATACGCGTAGAGTCCCCAACAATCGGGGTGCCCCATTCACCACCACGCACCGTCACCCAGCGAGGTCATGTCGCGCCAAAGCAGCCACGGGACGTCCTAGTCCCGCACGTCGCCGGCGATTTCCTCCCGCACGCGCCGGCACCACTTGAGGATCGCGTCCTCGAACTCGGCGTACAGCGCCGCGTGGGCGGTGGCGGCAGCGGCGGCAGCGGTAGCCGGGTCATTATCGTCATGGGAGCCACCCGCCGCCGGGGCCGGAGACGACCTGGACGAGGCGCGCCTCCCCTCCTCGGCGGCGGCGGCCAGGGTGCCGACGCCGAGGGCGTCGACGCGCAGCAGCACCTCCCAGCGCAGCTCGGCGGCCTTGACCCAGTAGCGCAGGTTCTCGGCGCAGCGGTACGGCTTCTGCGTGTCGGTGTGGTAGCTCGGGATGGCGCCGAAGCGCCGGCGCGACTTGCGCACGGCGGCGTTGTGCAGCTGCACGAGGCGCACGCCGCTCTGCATGTAGCGCAGGAAGGGCGTCGGCCCGGCGTACCGGTCCCGGTCGAGCGGGGTCCAGGGCGGCGGCAGCTCGTCGGCGGCCGGGGTCGCGGCGGCGGAGGCGGCGGCGGCGGTGGTGGTGGCACCACCTGTAGAAGTAGTAGAGGTGGTCGTCGAGGGGGCGGGAGCCGGGCCCTCCTCGGCGAACATGGAGAGGATGAAGGCGTACTCGCGCTCGTGGTCGCGGCCCGTGCCGGCGGGCCACTGGTCGTCGTGCAGCCACGTCCACGAGGCGCGCTCGGCCTTCTCGGCCGCCTCGAGCTCCTCCTCCCGCCGCAGCATGTCGTACAGCCCCGCGATCCAGGACTCCATGGTGCGCACCTCGTCGGGCCGCATGCCGCCGCCGAAGAGGCGGGTGGCCATGCGCTTGAGCACGTCCATGACGGAGAGGAGCTCGGCGCGGACCTCCTTCTCCGGCTTGATGGCGTCGAGGCGGTCCGGGTGCTCGTGCGAGGTGTAGTACATCTTGGCGGCGCGGATGGCGAGCGTCATGACGTCGAGGATGTGCATCCCCTGCACCTCGTACCAGGTGGTGCCCAGCGGCTTGTTATTCTGGCCGTCTGTGGTCTGGATCGCCGGCGTGACCGGGCTGTCTGGGGGCGTCGCGGCGTGTTTGGTGCTCTCGACTGCCTTGCTCGCTGCGTCGAGCGCGCTCCGGAGGTCCGCCTTGAGCTCTTCTATTGACGGGGGCTTGGGGAGCGGCTTCTCCCGGTAATTGTACGTGCTCGCCGTGGGCGGCAGCATGTTGGGGTCTGGCTCCTCAAAGTCGTCCACGTACCACTCGTCGTCCGGCTGCTCCTCCTGGATCGGAGACTCGACCAGCCCGTTGCTGCCCCCGAATCCGTGCGCCACGAGGTCCGGGCTGCTGCCCATGGAGGCGTACGACGAGTCGACGTCGGAGCCCATGCTCTTGGCGCCGAGGAAGCTGGACGTGTCGAGCTGCGACAGGTCCAGGGTCTGCGCCTTTTGCTGCCTCTTGCGGGCGAGCTGGCCGCCCTTGCCGTCGAGCAGGCCCGTCCGCGCAAAGTAGTACTGCAGGTGGGCGATGCTGCCGAGGCTGAGGACGCTCTCGCGGGAGCGGGCGCTGGCGGCGAAGTCGGTGGGCTGCGGCCGCATGTATCCCCTCCTCTTGACGGGGCGGTCGACGCTCATGGTGCTCATGGTGCTCATGGCGGACAGCCGGTGGCTCGGGTCGCGACGGGAGGTAGCTGAGGAACCGGCGGCGGCGAAGCTGGCAGAGGAGTGGCGGCTGAAGCCGGAGCTGTCGCTGCCGAGGGATTCCCGGGCGTGGGAGGCGTCTGTGGTGGCGGAGCCGTGGGACATGGAGGAGGCGGTGGACAGGCAGCGCGCCATGTCCCCAGATGCACCGATGGCGGGGGTAGGCACGACGTCCGGGCCCGGCGAGGAGGCTCGCAGGCCCAGCGGCGCATCGTCATGCGAGGTAGCCATCGTCGAGTATCGCTCTCGTAGTGTATCGGTGGGTGAAGCGAGCGGGGTTTTGATTAGTGATTATCTGGCAGTGTGCACTTATATGATGTGATGTTTGGTTGTCCGAGCAGTTCGAGTTGCAGAGCCGCACAGCAGCTTCGAGGGCGGGCAGAAGATGCACGATGTGGCAGGCAGAGATGAGGAAGATCAACAGCAGCAGCAGCAGCACGGGCCCGTGTTGTCGGAACAATCACTTCTGGGGCCGGAGTGTCTGGAAGTCGAGAGTGTTGCCAGGGGTGTTTTGGCTGCTGCAACAGTGGAGGTTGCCAGATGCCATTTGCCAGCTTCCGACTGGTGGTGATGGGGAGGAGACCCCGGCCTGCGTGTGGGGTTTTGGCTCCCTTGAGCTGCAGCAAAAGGGCTGGACGTGTGTTTGTAGGTACGTGTACGAAGTAACAAGGCTTTGCAAGAATTGGGGTTTGCCATGAGAGCCAGAAGCGGTGCTGACAGAGGAAATCATCGCCAACTACTCCGTGGATTCATGTGACCCGTGGAGGACTGACCTCCTTTACTTTGTCTGGAGTGCTTTGACGGCCGGCATGGCCACTTACTGAACGGCTGCCCGCTCCCCGCACCTTTGCTTGTTTTGAATACTTTGCATGATGTGGTCTATGGTCTGGTCTTGTTCTTCATAAGGAAGAGAAATCTGTAGCTAGTACCTAATCTGCCTCCATACTTATTCTGACTTGTTGATTTTCACAGGAATGAAATGAGGAAGATCAGATCAGAGTCGTTGGGCCCATGCTGTCAGGTACTAGAGGCTGCTACTGTCACTAGTTGCGGCCGGTACAGAAGGTCCACTCCACTAAAGAATGCAGTCCATTGGCACTTCGGCTTCTGTAATCTCACTACTGCATAGCGCATGTTTCACAAGTGTTTGCCCCTTCCAACCGAGTATCCCGAATGCCACCTTTCCCACCATGAGCGACTGCTGTCACCCGGGAGACACGCTCAACATCTTTGCATTGTTGACTTGACACTTGATCTCAGACTCCCTTTTTCGACTTTCCAAGCATTGGAGATGAAACGTTTTTCCACCACCGACCTCTCGTCTCGGGAAGGTAACTATTGCCTTGGACTTCCTCAGCAGCATTCGTTCTTTGACTGTGGGCTCGACGGGGTTGAAGGTGCGGTGCGCTCCAACAAAGATGCACTTTGTTTAATTTAATAATTCATGAAGCTGATTAGTCGAGACGCGACAACGCGTGCCGCGTGTAAGTTGGCAATTAACTACGTAAGAGTGCAGTTTTGGTACCTACTTGCGACTCACCTATTGGACTGAAGCTCGAGAGTGGGAGGGCGACTACCTAGGTAGTTCGGACGGTTCGCCGCCACCAAAACCCCATCCTGCGACGGGTGTGAGTGGAGATGGAACGGCAGCTAAAAGGCTCTCTCCCCAACAACGCAGTACCTGCATGCATATCCAATATTCACTGCAGCAGCGCCCAAGCCAAGGAAGCAATCAATCAAGCAAGACGGGCCGCCGTGCAGGTTTGCATCCCGAACAATCGAAGCTTCGCTTGACCCTGACCAGCATTTATTCCTCCTACAGACGCTATAGAAGCGTTCTAGATGCGTTGCATTGACGTTCCAAGGCGGGGCAACGGTGTGTGTTTCGATACTGTTAGAGCCATCTGTCGGATCCATGCGCTTCCAGACTTGACACATGTGTGCCTCGTCGACAGCTTGGAAAGTGTTTCTGTTTCAAGCAAGGCTTGGACCAAGCCTTGAAGATGGGAAAGATTCCCCCAAAAACGTGGCCTTGACCCTGGGTGCATCGTCAATTACGCCTTTCCTTCCTTGGGGTGCCCGTCCGCGCTTGATTGCGGCACCTTTGATGATGATGTGCAACCCCCAGACCGTCCAGAGAGAACAAAAGCTCGCTTACAGTAGTTACAAGAATGACGGCAGAGATTCCTACCTGTCCTTCTCCCTCCGCTAGTTAGGGGTAGCTCCGCACCTATCAACACATAGCAATGGGTGTTGTTGTCGTCGTCGTCGATGTCGTTGTTGTTTCCATCCTCTTTACTTTCCCCCCCCCCTCGCTACCAGCGATCTGGTCGGTTCGATCCCCGTGCGCCGCGCGCCCGGCGCCCGCAAAGCACAGACAGGAGCGTTTTCTTTTTCCCCTTTTCGCAATAGAGCTTACTCCGTACGGAGTAAAGTATGTAGGTAACGTGGGTGTGACCCAAGGATCGAGGGAGACCCCATTCGGTGTGGCGGACTAGCAAGGCTAGCACGTCGAGCAGCGGCACCACTGTGACCTTATCTCGTTAAACGTCAAGTGCGGTTGCAACCAGAATGGATGGTCTGGACAGACTTGGTCTGAGCAGGCGGGGCTGGCAGAAGAGCTTCGCAACTGAACCTTGGCTTAATTACCGAGTTATTGACCCCGAGCCCACAACCCTGTCCGCGATCCCTGCCAACCTCCACTGCAAGAACCCGCGTGGAACCATTCTACGCTGGGTCCTGGAAGACGACCGTCGGCCTGTGATTGTGATACGAACGATTTGCTGCCCTTGCGAACTTGCTCAACCTGTCACTTGCTGGAGAAGGGGATCCGGCTGACAGGGCGTCGAATGCCAAGAAAAGGGGATTCGGGTTCGGGAGAGATGTACGTACAACTAGTTAACTACTTTGGAGGTGATACGCAAGGCACCAGGGGCTGCAGCTACTTGTACAAGTAGATACTCCGTACAAGTAATTTGCCTCGATCACATCTTGCGGCACACCTGGTAGTGCAGGGCGCCACAGCATGGCGATGGATCATGGATCAGTGCCACGTTGGACACCAACGTTCCCGAGCCGGAGAGTGTGTAATACCGTGAGTGGTACGTGACAGTGAGGGGAGTGGCGTCGAGGACTGTTGCATTGGGCACTGCTTTTGGTGGATGCTGCTGTATGGAAAGTGTTCAACATGTGTTTCACCAAGAAACATAACTACCTCCAAGTACTCAGCTCGAATCCTTTCCCTTTTCACGCCTGGAATCGCAACTCTGCAGAGCCTGACCTGGACGGCGTTGAAAGAGCACACGCGGCATCTCCCAGGGCCCTTTTCTTCTTCTCCCGGCCTGTGGTGGAGTGAGGAGCCCAAGAGACGTGAGCCTTTGTACGTAACAAAGGCAACGAGACGCACGGGAAAGACGGGGGGGGTCAAGGCACAGCTCTGGAAATTGGCCCTCGACGACGACCAACTAAACTCACGGCAACCAGCCAAAGAGCCTGTCTCATCCCTGCCCGTCCGCCCGCATTCCAACCTACCTGACTACAAGTACGGAGTATCTTCCGAGAAGGAAGAAGAACGAGGTCAATTGGTCAATTGGTCAATTGATGTGCTCCGTGACGGATGCACGAGGCGAACAAGTTGAGCGGACCAAACTCGCAGGGAGACCAGGCCAATCTAAATTACGCCAGTCTAAGCTGCCCGCCCTTGCCTCGCTGCCCGCCAGACTTCGTACTTCGTACTCTAGCCCTCGATCGTCTCTTTTTTTTTATTTTCTTCGTTCCTTTTTCCACTCCTTTACTTTCCTTGGCTCAATGGTTCGTGTCATAGCTGGATCTTCTCGGCAATCGGATCAAAAAGCCCTATTTCTGGAGCACTTTCTACTTCCCAGCCTTCTCGCCTCGAAACACATTGCATACCTAGCAGAGCAGAGCTGCACACAGACATTTCCCATACCCAACATCGCTCTGTCAATCCTCTGCAAAAGCCAGCCAGCAATCCCGGCGCAGCACGCCCCACAGCCAGCCCTGGAGGGATCCGACGGTGCGTTGAATCGCATCCACCTGGCCAGGAAGCCTGCAGAGCTACTGCGAGCTTCACAGGGGGAGCTGCTTCTGTCTGCGCCCACGAGGGACACGAAAAAAGGCGGCACCGACTTGCCAGTGGATCGCCATTCACTGCCTATCCCATAACTAACTATCTTGCTGCCTGTGCACGTATGCAAGCATGCTTGGATAGGATTGCGTCCATGAAGCAGGCAGGCGACTTTTAGAGTGCGCGCGTAACGCTGTGGACATTCACTTCTCGGGCGCTCGCGGACAGGACATCCATTCATTCACCGCCGCCGCCGCACCCCTTTCTCTCGCCCTCTCGCGCGCTCGTAGCCGGCGGCACTTCACCCGTGCTGTCTGGGGTAAATGAGCGGCCCGGTGACTGCTGTCTCTGGCAGGAGCGAGGCCAGCCAATTTCCAGCCAATGCTTCCTCCACCCAGCAGCACACCACCAACTTCACCACATCTCAGCAACAGGACCGAGTCCAGCCTGAAGAGTTCCAGCAATCCCGCCAAAATGGCCATCTGGAACCCGCGTCGTCGACCGTGCTAACCTTTGCTGATCTGCCCACCGACCTGGCCCAGCTCTCCTTTGACACCCTCCACTCTCACTCCTCGCACACCCACATCCACAGCCAAACCCTGAATTCTGGCGACGCTAGCCACGACCACCAAAACCAGCGCGGCCAGAACCAGAACCAGAATACCACCGCCATTCACCACACCAACAACAACAATAATAACCACCTCTCCAGACGCACCAGCAGCAACAGACTCCGCTCTTCCTTTTCCTCTTCGACCTCCGCCCAGCTCGGCCCCGCCGACGACTTCTCTGCCACATCACGAGGCAATTCTCGCTCTCCTTCCCGCCCTAGTCATCGCAAACCCTCTCCTGGACTCGCCGCCCGGCTCAAAGCGCTAGGCTTCGGCGCGTCCCGAAAGTCGTCCTCCCCGCCTCCCAGTGCTCACCACTCGCACGAACGCGTCGGCCGCCTGCCCGAGGACCAATTACGAGAGTTTGACCAGAAGCACCTGGCCGGCTCCGCAGATCCTGTCGTCGAGCGGCGTGGGCGCCCTTGGAAGGGTGCCATCGCCCGCATCCCTTCCGTCGCCAGCCTGCGAGGTTCCAGCAGGTCGGAAAACGCCAACCACGAAAGCGACGGGAAGCAAGCCTCGGCCGCTGTCGAAGAAGCGACCGACACTGTCGCCAGCACGACGTCTGACTTTCTCCCCGTCATCGAGACCGCTCCGCCGTTGGAAATGGACACAAACAAATATCGGCTGCCGGACCACACCAATGGAAACGGCACCAAAGTCCAGTTAGACACGCGGCAACAACACCTCGACCGCGATTCCCGCCTCCCATCCGCTTCCTCGTCTTCTGACCTACCTCCGCCTCCCCTCCCTCCCAAGGACTCTCCCCCTCTCCCCTCCACACCCGGCACAGGCACACCGGGCGGTGTGCTCGATTTCAGCCAAGACGCACCCATATACTTCAATCCGTTGGGGCTGCAGAGGGCCGGCTCCATCTACACCATCTCCAGAGCTTCACTGGCCAACCAAATAGCCCAGCTGACGTCCTTGCAACTCCCCGATGCCGAGTCGCTGTCGAGCAAGGTCTCGGCCATCCCCACGGCACAGGCTGCGGCGAGGGCATTGATAGGAGCTGCCGACCAGATCCGTATATGGATTCACAAAGCCTCTGAAGTAATCAGCGGGCTCGACTGTGAGGACGATGTGGAATGGGCTGCCGCTGGTGGCCGCGAAGGCCTCGAGGAGGTCGAGAGCGCCATCACTCGGTTCGAGGAGTTGATCAACGTCTACGTCGGGGCTATAGAGGAGCTTCAGCTACGAGGTGACATCGCCAGCGTATCGACCGATGATTTGAATCAGGCCGTTGTCCAGATGGAGGCAATTGTGACGGAATGGGCCAATATCCGAGAAACCCTGCAGACTGTCAAGGTGCAAGTAGAGATTGCCATGGAGTGGGAAGAGCTTTGGAACGTGGTCTTGGGGGAGATACAGAACGAAATGGACGAACTTAGCAGGCTAGTCTTCGAAATGGAGGAGCGGCGGCACAAGTCCGTGCTCGCCCTCGGCACTGGCGATGGAGTGGACATCGGCGACCTGGAGACCATCGTCGAGGAGACCCCTCCGCCCGCGGTCAAGCTGCAAGCAAACCCGCGGTTTAGTCTGCCGCCCTTCCCTGTGAGCCCCAGCTCGCCAGGCACGCCGACCGTCACCCAGGACGACGCCAGCCTGTTGGCACTATTCGCCCGTATGCAGCCGTTGAGGGCTTCGCTGGACTTCCTGCCCATGAGGTTATCGGTTTTCGAAGCTCGGGCCGAAAAATCATTTCCCACCGCATGCGAAGAGCTGGATATGCGCCGGACAGGGCTTGACGCGAGTTACCAAAAGCTGCAAAAGGATGCCGAATCCCTGCGCAAGGAGCTCGGCGAGGACCGATGGGTGGCCGTCTTCCGCAACGCCGGCAGGCAGGCCCAGAAGCTCTACGAGTCTGTCGAGCGCAGCACGGTCAAGCTCCGGGAAGCCGTGGACTCGGGCATGCACCTGACCAACCAGCCCATGATGGCCAAGAAGATCGAGAGCTACGAGGCCAAGAAGGTCCATTACGCGCCCGCCATGGAGCGGATCCTGAACATCATCGACAAGGGTGTCAAGGAGCGGTTTACGGTCAACGGCGAGATCCTGCGGGTGCATGCCGAGACGCAAGCCAAATGGGACGAGCTCAAGCAGCGCATGGCTGAGCTCGATATTGTTCTTGAGGAAGTGCAAGCCGACAAGGGCCAGCAGCTGCGCGATTCGATATCAAGTATGCTATCGAACGACCGTTCGACCCTTGCGAGCGGCCAAGAGACGCCGCAGAGCTCGCCGCCGTCCTCGATCATTATGTCGAGCCTGGGCATAGATGTCGCGACACCCACAAACAAGGCAAAGCGCCGCTCCTCGAGCGTCCACAGCCATCTACCTCAGCCAGCGACGGCTCGAAGGAGCGTCTCGGCGACGGGCCCACCCGGCTCTCATCTGCCGCGGAAGCCTGTCTCTCGCCTGTCGACGATGCCCGGCACGTCCATCCCGAATAGAGAGGGTTCCGCAACGCCGACCGGCGCCCGCAATATCCCTCGACCAACGTCGGCTCTCAACAACCGCCCTCGTTGGAACACCTCCACGGTCGGCATCGACACAGGGCACAACTTCAAACCCCTTACCCTTACATCACCCAGCCCTTACGCCAGGAATACGCCAACCGTCACCCGAACAACGTCCGCCCTCACTCCAACCTCGGCGGGATCCTCAAAGTTGCCTATGCGCAGCCCCCTGGGCCGCGCCAGCTCATCCTCTCCGATCCCGGAAGGCACTCCTTCCAAGAGTCCTGCACCCATCACCAAACTGCCACACAGCACCGCTACCAACCGCCTCCCTTCCTTCCGCGACCGTATCTCCTCTACACCCGGCCCCTATTCCCAGCAGGGTCTTGCATCTAGCAAACCTGCTCCTCGCCTCACCAACCAATCCTCTATGTCCTCCCTAAGCAATCGGCGAGCATCATTACAGCCCCCGAGGCCGAACCAAGCAGCAACCGGTGGCATGACACCGCGGCCAGCGAGCTCGATGGCATCGTCGAGGAGGAGCAGCATGCTCCCCACGCCTCGTGCGTCCCGAGAGAGCAGTGTTGCGGGCAGAGAGTCGCCACAGGCAATCGCTGGTGCTCGGATGGCTATGCGCAGGACGACTGGCAGTGCCTCGCTTGCAGGGGACTCCAAGGCCAAGGATAATAGGCCGCGCTGGCGGGGCTGATGCCCATGATGACCTTTTATCAAGAGTGAAACGCCCGTGTTGGCTGCTTTTACGTCATGTCGGCTATGACCTCGTGTCCTTTCATCTTCATGACTGTCGCTTCCTCGTCCTCTTTTTTCCAATCTCGGGATTATTGTCTTTACGACGGGCCAATACACGACGTGCTTGAATTTGTCTGTCGCAAATATGCGTACAGCCCCCTCTTATTGCAGCCTCTTGTCCTGTCTGGCACTCGTATCACGCATGACCTGGCGTTTCTACTTTGTTTATTCTACCTGATAGCGACAAGCGCTGCACTGTTTCTTTTATACCATCCATCAATGATAGTTGCTTGTTATCATTCTCTAATGTCTTCTCTTGATCCACATAGATTGTGACGTCGCTACCGAAGCCGACTTCTCCTTGCTGTCATATTCTGCTGTGTATGCGGGTGGAGGAGGAAAGGTTTCTCCAGGATCATTGGGCATATCGGCAGGCCCAAGAGGAATGAATGGGTAGGAAACAGGAGGGCAGGTGCGGAAGACATGGAGGGCTTCTGGGCCAACTCTTTTTACTTTTGTTATTCGTACTACTCTGCTCTGCCGTGGAGTGTTAGTTGTAGGAACATGAATACCCCCAGCGAATCAATCTTGGAAGAATATTATTGCTCTATAAACTTCAATTTCCCGAGTCGGTACAGATGTAACTCGCTTCTTTAGGAGACTATCCAAGGGTATATATGTCAATGACTACGACACCATTACAGCAGCACATGCTACTACTCCACGGACACCCCGTCTCCCTCTACATGTTGTTCGCAGGGTCGCCAGATAGAGGCTTATATTGGGAGCTACCTAGCAAAGCACCGAAACGCCACAGGCCTCTTGGGGTATTATATATAGATATATATACAATATAGATACATATATATATATATATATATAAGAATAGTAGAAGACAAGACCGCACCCGACCTCGCCGTCCAAGTCTTCTTTTGCACCCTCTCCTCG